GAACTGGGTTAGATGGTGCTGGTCGTACTGAGCTTCCTCACCATGTCCTGTAAAGGGGAAGAACCCTGCTCCGAGCGCCAGATGTTGTTGACCTGCTTTCATTCCCCCGCCCTTGCCTGGACCACCGTGCTGCTTGTTCATCATCTTCCCCACGACTCCTGCTCCGCCCTTGTGGTTGTGCGGACTGGCGTTGTTTGTAGTTCCCCCACGATTTTGGTTCCACATCATGTGTCCACCGACAGTACTAGAGTGCTGCTGTTGACCCCCGCTCTGAAGATGCTGCGGTTGATACTGGTGATCCTGTTCTGCATATTGAGAGGAAAAACCCCCCCTCCCCATACCAAAGCGGGATACTTCTGAAAATTTGTGATGCTGATTTGAGACCTCAAATCGTCTCTGTATTGCAAGAAGACAAACCCAAAAACCCCACCGCTTTCCGCAGGAAATTTGTAACGCTGCATGGCCTAAGGAGGATATGCCTGCCTTGCTAGGCGCCTACGCCAAAACGCCCCTACTCTGGCTTTGTATCTGCCTGCAGTCTTCTACTGCAAGACAGATTGGATTTGTGTACGCAAATCCCGCATCACAGAGTTCTGTTTTGATATGGGGAGGGGGGATTTTTCCTTGTGATACTGCAGAAGCAGTAGAATTTTGATCAACACCGGGCCGCGCAGCAGTGCCTCCCCCTCCTCCAGGCGTCCCGCCGCGGTTCACATTGTACAGAAAATCTCCGTATCAACTGTAAAAATGTCTGGGTCTGGAAGAATTCATGTTTGTCATGCTTGTCTGGCATGACTCTTAAATCTGTCATGCACGTTACCCAAGAGCTCCGTTTTTCTGTGATGCAGAGCCGCAGTTTGTCATGCTGAATAGACAACACCTAGGAGCTCAGAAACTTGTCATGCTGAGCCAGTAGTCGTAGCCTCATCATGAGACGCCACCCAGCATCACAAGTTTCCAGACCCAGACATTTTTACTTTTGATACTTCGTGCTGCTGATGCTCTTGCTTCGTCTGGTGCTGCGCTTGATGTTGTCCTTGTCCTTGACCTTGGGAGGAGTCAGCTCCTGAAGTTGCAAAAACGGCCACGTTCTTGTCGTTCGTTCCAGCGCCTCCTTTACGCTGCTGCTGCTGCTGCTGCTGTTGCGGCGGACCCGGGCCTGGACCTCCTTTCGTCTTACCCAGTTGCTGCTGCGGTTTCCCGCCTCCGCCTGGGAAAGCAGAGGTAGATTGCTGATAGTTCATCAACACTCCACCTTTGCTTCCGTTTTGGGGGTGTTGGCTTTGCTGCGCTTGGTTGTACTGCATCTTTCTAGAAGATGCAGATCGTGTTGATGGTTTTCTTGAAGATTGGCACCAATTTTTACTTTTACTTCTAAACGCAGGAGCGAGGATAAAAAATAAATCTTCGCAGGGTTTTTGTCTTTCTTGTGCTTCAGCTCGTGCTCCGTTTTGGTGTCCTCCAGTTCTTTGGTGCTTATGATATATGTGCTTCACGCTCTACTTCTTTCTGAGTAGATCTGAAGATCGGAGAAGAAAGCAAAAGGTCTCGTGGGGATAAAATCAATATTTTTTATTTCTTGGTAAAAGTGATATCTTCTTGTTCTTCCGCGGTTTTAGCTTTACAACTGGCGCCGCGCGTGCTGCAGGTGTCCTCGACAATGTCGTCGTGAAGAAGTAGAAGCCCGGCGGGTCGTCGTATTAACAGGAGTTTGTTGACTTCTTGAAAGTTCCAGGCAATAAAAATCGTTGTGTCGAAGCCCAGAAGATGTATTAAGTGTAACTACGTGTATAATTCCTCGCTTCGGTACCTCCGTACTAGCTGAAGGCGCAATTGGAATTACAAATAAGTAGTCCACCGTCCCCGAATAAAGAAAAACTATGGGCGTGTCAGGATTGAAATCGTCAAAGCTGAAATAGTTTGTCATGCATAAAAGCGATACCAGTCGGAAGCCTACTTATCAAGCGGCGCATGACAAATTTTCCGGGCACCGGAATCCGATTTGCCATGCTGTTTGGGCACAGAAGACTGCTTTTGTCATGCTACTTTAGCAGCTCTATTTCAATCCCTAAACAGGCTCACAATCGGCCTCGCTTGCCATCTCGGCAAGACAAGCACTAAGCGCCTTGCATTTTATGCATGGCAAATCATTTCAACTCTGTCGATTTCAAACCTGACGCTTCCATAAAAGCAACGCTGCTCGTATTCATCAAGAATCCGCTTCGCCGCCACAGATGTGCATGAAGAGCAGCTATTTCTCTATTTTTCGGCGTCCTCGATACTATTACAGCTCGCTGCCAAAGAACTTGTTCAATCAGTTTTATTTTCTTCTTCGTAAAAGCCGGTCCGTTGGTGATTTTATTCCGTCGCGCCCGTTAAAAGATGTTGTCGAAGAAGACAGAGATTTAGATTATAATGAATGGCTCGTCCGCCCGTCAGGTTGTTCGTTCGTCGTAGTAGTTGTTCCAAAAACCAGTCGTCTGGGGGAGTTGTACTGCAGGCTATAGGACGAGAGGTGGAAGAGATCAGCGGGGTCGGTTGGCAAGAACTCTCTTCGTTTTATTTATTTGTCCAAATCCAAAGACTACAAACTTCTATCTAATACAGGCAGCTGGTACAACCGGTGGAAATCTATCAGTTGTGAGAGATGCGTAGTCTTGGTTTTCTTTAGCGCGAGCTTGAAAGTTTCAATTTATTTGCACCGCAAACCAAAGCTTGAGATATGCTGGATAAAAACGCACATGCGCCACACCGTGGCGTCTTGCTTTGTACACACTTAGATATGTTTACGTTTAATATGAAGCGATAAGCCTAAGTGAGCGAGTGAAATTGCTAGACGCTCCTGCAGGACCACGAGCTGGTAGACTATTTACAGTATTTTGTCTACGCCGAAAGGGATTATGATTAAGAACAAGTAGCAGACAAAAAACGTATAGCAACACCCTGTGCCTGCAACTGCACAAATTATGATTATACCGCCCGGGAAAAGAGCCAAGAAATTCTTCCCAACGAATTTAGTGCGTGTGTAAATATATCTTTATAATTTTAAAGAGGAAAAGTATGTATCTGTACTGACTTGCTTTTCTCTTCAGTGCCTAAATAGATTTTTTAGTCGAAATAAATTGGACTTATTTCTATCCACGAGGAATGTTTTCTTTCAGGTAGTTCTTTATCTCTTGCTTAATGTGCCCGGACCATGGTGGGTATGAAGAAGGGCGAGCGATGGAAGGTTTCACAACAATATCGATCGTGTAGTAAAAACCTCAAAAATTTTTCTAGTACTATTCACGCCTCTCTAGTACAAGTTAATACTATTTCTAGTGTCACACAAGAGTCTTTACTTTTTAGAAAGCGCCTATTGAGCATGAAGCTCGAAAAGAAAAAACAACGTATGGGTGGCAACTACAAAGAATATCCTCGCTTTTTACATCAACAACTTCTACGCCTCTCTAAAACTAATACAGCATCAAACTGAATCTCGTCCTAAATATTAGCGTGGACCAACTAAAATTAAACTTAAAGCAAGATCATGAAGACTGATTGTGCCTTATTTTCGTATCGATATGTTGGCATGACTCGTTCCGCGTATTGGAAGTTTTCAAAAACAAGAGACGAAGGCTTGGTGCGTCAAAATTACAGCGTATTTATGACCACACCCAACAGATGAATAGAATGAGTCGCAACTCTTAATAGCTTGGAATAAACGGTACTAAAAATAATCATGAAGAATATCAAGAGTATTTTTACAACGCTTACGATGGCCGAGTGCTTATTTCTTTGGTTCTTTGTGTGATACAAGTAACTACTGTATATCAACACAGACAATCGGATTATATCAACATGGGTACAAGAGGAGAGAATGTCCACCAACCTCTCGATGAGGATGAGGAAGGTCAAGGTCTGATCGAAAACGAAATAATGCGGTGCTGGGACGTGTGATTATAAGTCGAAATCGTGTGATGTGGTACGAGCCTCCAGAAATTTATTTTAGATGTAGAAATTTTTACGACAGGCTCAAGTCTTTTCGGTTTGTGATTGAAAATACGAAAATCGTAAACAGAATCGATTCCAACTGAGTAAAGTAGTACACTCCCTCAAATCTGGAAAACCTGGAGGAAAAAAAAATGAATATGGAAACTGGGCATGGGTGCTTGTTGCGAGGAAAGCTTCTTGCGGCACAACCTTTCCTGCAAAATTTTAGGGACCGCGAAGGAACTACATTACAGCGGCGACACGGATGATGTGGTTGTAGATGTAGTCGTGTATCTATCGTCTAAATCAATCGCAACGGATCTCAACGTTTTTCAGATCACGCTGCTGCTTGTGCTTGTTCTAGTTTGCCTGCTATATAAAACCACCTCATCTATATTCTAGATTCCAGTTCCGTACATATATTAGAGCCTTCTTCTTGTTTATCGAGCGCGGCGGTATGTAGATCACGCGATCACGATTTCTAACGTAGGAGTAGATCCAGCTAGCCCGCAAGTGCACGTCTACAAGTTCTTTGGGATCTACCAGGCAGGACGGCGACGGGGACCTAATATTTTTCTAGTTCTTACTAGAGTTGTTCTTTGTGCGGATCATCAGAAACCGGTCATCTTGCTCGGTGAAAAAACAAAAAGAGAAGGAGAACACGATCGGAGACAATAATAATAAAATGGGTCACGGTCGAGACATAACTCTATCATTCTGTCCGCCAGATGAAATACATGCCAGGAGAAATAAAGAGCTGCGGACCACTAGAAGTTGCTTCTCGACGTCAGATCGAACAGAAACAGAGCCAAACTAACATCATACACAGGGGTAATATCAAGATGAGCATATTTCTCCACATGATGCGTGTAGTCGTCCAAGAACTTCGGAACGAAAAATTGAAATGCGTACAAGAACTATGCGTGTCGTCTTCGTCATACATACTGAGAAGAGATCAACCGTGATTGGAACAAGAGAACTCATTTTGAGGACAGGCCGTGAAGTTCCTGGTGACCGCAGAGACGGCAATTTCAAGTAGAAGAAAGACACTCGCTGGACGAAAAATCTGAGCGAGTTAAAATTAATTGTCGCTTTGTTGATTATTTCGCGGTTCATTCATCACACTTTCCTTTTTCGTCGGTAGAGAAGCTTTGTCGTATTTCGATTTCTCTTTGTTCTTGTCCTTGTCGAGGACATCAAATAGGAGCTCCGTTGTAGTTGTGATACTGATTTAGCACGACGTGCGGTGCTGCTGGTGTTCATTGTCATTGATAAAATATCCAAGAACTACGTTTTTAGTACTACATCTACATGATCGAACAAAAGAACTACTACGCGCGGCACTGATGCGACCACTGACTCGGATGAAAGTCTATCTTCGTGTGCCAATGTAAAAGAGACGAAAACTACTGCATGCAAATTAGCTACACAAAAAGATTCATTCGATGTCCTCGCAGGAGGTACAACCTTCCAACGCGCTTTTGGATGCTACAAAAAATCTTTAATTATAGTGCTCGAAGATAGAAGATCATAATTCGGAACGTAGGTGGTGTCGACACGACGACTCCGTCACATGATCTGATTGCCCTGTCCGCTCTTGTCCGTGCAAATCAAGTCGTTGGGTGCGTTTTGTGCCTTCCCGCAGGCGTAATTCAGCTGGTCCATGATCGCCAGTAGGCCCGTGTCATTGGACTCGAAGTAGGACACATTCTCCGTCCAAATGATGGGCTTGAAGTGCATGATGGCTCTCTGCGCGCCCATAATCACTTGGTTTTCCATCCCCTCGACGTCAATCTTGATGAGCCTGTAGTTTAATCTTTTTGCATCATCAGGCAGTTGCTGTGTGGGTTAAAAAAATCGATATAACGACATGAACCTAGCGTCGACCCAGGCACAGTGCACAGCTTGAGCTAGTTCCTTCTACTCCTGCAAATTTCGCATTATGACGAAGAAAAGGAGTAGTTTTTTTATATTTTTTATCACCTCAAATTTTGCACGTCGGGCATTCGGATGCTCTTCTGGCTGAGCAGCTCATCCAGAGACGCTTGCATCACCGTTTCCGGTTCCATTTCGTAGTCGTAGAGTTGCATCGCTTGCTCCTGTATCACTTGCAAATGTGTCTGGGTCTGGAAGAGAGCATAGTTTGTCATGCATATTTTGCATGGCGATGGCCCACGATGCCTGTAATGCATGAGCTAGTGTCACAGATTTTGAGAGGGTTTCCTGATGCCTATTCCGCATAACAAATGCCCTCCCCGCGTAGCACAAACTGGACTCCTCTACTTGCTGGTCCTGCAATACAGATGTTTTTGGAATCCATAAACAGCATCACAAGTTGCACCCTTCCAGACCCAGACATATTTGCAATGCATATCCTGTTTCATGTTCGCGTCTTGCTCCTTGAGCTTCACCCCTCCGGGCGAGCTGAAAAACCGTAACTGCGGGGGCCGCGATTCGAAGCTTCCCATGGCCTATGAAATGCAAAAGCATCGCACTAGTATAAACCAGCCATGCTCCGGCTGGCCTGCCGCCGGAGCGCAAGGCTGTTGGGCCGGGGCAAGACAGTTTGCCGATCGGACCACAACGCCACGCGCCTGTGCACAGCGAAAGATACTGGAGTCCTGCACAACGAAACACACTGGAGCTTGCGCCGCGCCAACCCACAGGACCACTTGCGCGCTTCCCGCGCCTGTGGGCGCTCTGCGCAGGGAGCAGCTGCAAAGAACACCGGGGGCGAACAGAAGCCGCCCGGCGCGAGAGGGTAGCGCGAGAGGGTGGGTAGCGCGAGAGGGTGGCGCGGGAGGGTGGCGCGAGAGGGTTGCGCGAGAGGGTGGCGCGAGAGGGTGCGCGAGAGGCTGGCGCGAGAGGGTGCGCGAGAGGGTGGCGCGGAAAGGCGCCGAACAAAACAAGTCCGCGAATGGCCTGCAATGCCAAATATGGGGAGCGCCATGGGGATTCGCGCCCGCTTGGGTGTGCTTTTACCCTCTCGCAGACCTCCCGCAGACCCTCTTTTTGACCTCTTTTGGGGGTCCCCGCTAATAATCCGGCTATACTCATGGGTAGAGGTCGACAGAGGTGGCCGAGAGGTGGCCAAGAGGGTCCGCGAGAGGTCGCCCCTTATTCGCGTCACCTCTCTCCACCTCTGTCGACCTCTCGCGCCCCCTCTTTTTGACCTCTCTGCACCCTCTCAGGCACTTAGGCGGCACTTTAGGGTGAGCGCTTCGGCGGGCTATACTCGCGCACCCTCTCGCCGACCCTCTCGAATGGGGTCCCGCGCCACCTCTCCACCTCTGTCGACCTCTTTTTTACCTCTTTTGACCTCTTTTTGACCTCTCGGCCACCTCTTGTTTACCCTCTGTCTACCTCTTTTTTCGCATGAATATAATATATAGTAATCGCATGACAAATTCCCTCAACAGCATGAAAAATGGAATTTGTAATGCGGATTTAGGTTAGGAGGGAGATTTGTAATGCATGATTGCGATAATTACTACAAGTACGATACTTTTGCACAGGATATGGCCTCGCCGAGACCCATGTTGTACGTGTAAACGTTGGAAAGCTATCAAATGCAAATGTGTCTGGCGGGTCTGGAAGGAAACAAAGGTTTGCCATGCACATTTTGCATGACTCCTGATGTCTGTGATGCATGCCCTAGCGTCACAGATGTCGCGAGGGGGGCTTCCCGATGTTGCCCATACCGCATGAGAAATATTACCCGCTCGCCGTGGCAAAGACTGGACCTCTTTTGCTGTTCATGCAATACAGATTTTTGTAGAATCCAAATGCAGCATCACAAGTTGCATCCTTCCAGACATGCAGGGACATAATTTGCAATGCATAAAAGCCCGTTCAATGCTACGTTGGCGGTCAGGAGTTGGTGGATCCAGCGGAATATCCTGTGCAAAAGTATCGCACTCGTATTGCAGTCATGCATTACAAATCCTTTTGTTAAGGTGAATCCGCATTACAAATTATATTTCTCATGCTGAGGAAATTTGTAATGCATTTATACGAGGACGATACTTTTGCAGTTCATACGGAACGGTTCGAAGGCGAGCACCTTGCCCTGGCGGCCGACCTGATGAAAAAAAAAAAATGCAATGATAGAGCAACTACAAGAACTACATTGTCCTCGCGTTGATGCTCCTTTGACATCGATTCTATTTCTATCAAAAACGTGGTGACGCATATACAGGATCTACTCCTTCACGATGATGATGAACAATGACAATCTGCGGTGAAGCTGCAATTCATTCTTCCAGATGTTGAGGCGATAGAAAGAGCTCAAGTGATGTGCGACACCAGTTACAGTAGTACCCTCTCCGCAAACGGGATCGTATGCATTGCAAAAGTATCGCACTCGTACTAAAAATTGCGTCTATGCATTACAAATCTCTTTCTTAAGGCGAATCCGCATTACAAATTTAATATGTAATCCTGAGCCAATTTGTATTGCAATTTATACTACTTAGTACGATGCTTTTGCATTGCATAGATCGTGTAACTCCCCAGATTCGCGCCGACGTCCACCACCACGTCGCCGGGTCGCAGTAGACTCTGCATTTCATATATCGCAAGAAAAAGGCGTTACAGTTACACATTGTGCTGCAGGCCACGCAAGACAGACAATGACAAGCTCTGTCATGCCGGATATGCATAGGAGCCTCGTTTCATAGGTGTTTTCCCGTAGGATTTCTGCATTACAAGTTTTTCTCGCTCATGCAGAGATATTTGCGTTGCTGAATTCACTACAAAGGTGGAACTGTAACACTTTTTTCGTGGGATATCATACGACTGCAGCACGTTCATGGACCCGAACTCCTTGATCCAGTGCCCGATATGGAAGCGTCAGGGTTGAAATCGTCAAAGTTGAAATAAATTGTGATGCATAAAATGCAACCCACAGAGTGCCTGTCTTGCAGAGTAGGCAAGGGAGGCAGATTGCAAGCCTGTTGAGGGGTAGCAATAGAGCTGCTAAAGTAGCATGAAGAAAGGCGTCTTCCTTACCCAAACAGCATTACAAACTCGGTTCAGGCACCGCCAAAATTTGTCATGCGCCACTTGGAAACTGGGTTACAAATTTCATCCATTTTATGCATGACAAACTATTTCAACTCTGACGATTTCAAACCTGACACATCCATACCCGATGTTCGTGTCGTAGAACGGGAGAATGAAGGCGTGATTCCGCGCCCGGGGCAAAACGTACGTCCCGACCGACGCGTGTAGCTCGCCCGTTACCGTGCCCGGCCCGTTTGGGTTGTAGTACGCGGACTCGGGGGTCGCCTCGCCGCCACGCAGCTCCCTCTCGACGTCCTCCGGGATCTGCGGGATCGGGTCGCGGAAGTTGGTGATCAGCGACACTGGGTAGTGCTGTCCGAGAACGTCGATGTCCTGCGAGTTTTAATACAGTGATTTGGAAGATTCTTTTTTTCCTGATGGAGTTCCGAGCTTTGGCTTTGGCTTGAGAAAGGATATGTAAGGAGGTTGGAAATCCAAATCCATCCTTCGCACCTCAAAAGATGCAGTCACTGTATGCTTGACATACCCTATACCTTCGGATGTGGTTCTGCAGCGAGTTTGCCGGTCAAAAGCTGCTCTCCGCACCAGTTGTAAATGTCCATATTTGCCGGTTTGTGAAATTCGCTGTTCGGATCGCCCCCATTGGCCTGAAACGAGAAAAAAAATGTTTTGTCTAGTAGGTCCAGAAGAGATATACAGCGAGAACGCGATGTAATGGTAATGCTGTCATTCATGACGATGAGCATGGCCATCCATGGGCGACACGATGAGGAATCAATTTCGACAGAGCAGGTGGTTGCATCATGTGCAACTACTCGTCTCCACGATCTCTATACCTTCAAAATGAACTCCTTGCAGCCCTTCGCACTGTCCGGTCTGACCACTGGTGGCGGTCCAATCGGCAGCTTTTCCGCTCGTTCCTTCACAAAGCCCATGGTCCACCCAGGGTGATCCACAATTTCCGGCCGCATCCTCACGTGGTAGCACCCGTCGCACCCGTTCCCAAGCGGGGCGCACACCTCCCACGCGACGCACTCCTCCAGTTCCTCACATTTGGCGTGACAGGCGTCCGGGTCTAGTGGTGTGGCTTTGCCTATCATGTGGGACTCAATTTCGCGGTATTGAAACCCTTTATCCGTGGCGCGAAGCACGTCGAGCGGAGGAATAATCGCGGCCGGGGCTCCCGCGAGTTCCCCTGAGGCGCCGAACATGTCTTGGGCGGAGCATGAACATGATAGAACGCTGGAGTTGATGTGCAAAGCGGAAACGGCGAGGAGACAGGTCGTGGTTGCTGCTTGTCTATTTTTCGTCCTCCTCGAAGGGCGACTCGAAGCAGTTGCAGTCCGTTCTGCAGCTGACGACCTCGAGCTCTGCGACGTTGAGCCAGTCGGGGCGCAAGAACTGCTGTCAAAGGACAGCACCGTCCCCATTCCGGAACAAGTAGGTGTTGCCATGGTGCAACGAGAGGTTTTTGGAAGTACAACGGCAAGGAAAAAGAAATAAAACAGGAAACGCTACTCCTGCTGATTTCTGCTGGAAGCAAGACAAGTCACAGTAAGTAGACTTTATTTCGGTGGCAGCACCACCAGTGTCTCTTTGATTACTTAAGCGTTGTCGCGTCGCTACTTACTGTCGTATGAAGCCGGCGGGATCTTCCGGATCCTCCTTGTTTCAACCGTTTTGTGAATTTTAATTTGTTCTTGAAAAGAACAAAAGCTGGAGCGTCAACCTAGGGATCTACTCTCCATCACAGCAGGATCGTCAAGGTCAAACTAGGGTATCTATGCAGTTACGTTGGTCAACAGAAAGCTGCGAGGTAGTTTAGATTGCAGAAAAACAAAGAAGTGAGCGACGAAAAATTATGAATGCAACCTGCAAGAAAAAGAATAGAGAAAAAAAAATGTGGGATCGTCAGTCGGAGAAAAAATGGCGTGGCCGTGGGTAAATTAAGTGAGGGTGCCTGGACCAAGAAGAACTTTGTAAAAGAAATAAATGCAAACTCAAAACATTAGTGTCAATCAAAACAGTCAGAGGAAACGACGCAGCAAAACACATCTATCAGCCATAAAGACTTTGCGAGACCAGAACAACTGCAACACGGACGTGGCTACCGAGTACCAGGTACTAAGCCAACTGGGAACTAGGCAGAGCGGACCATTGCGATTGCCACTTCTCCATTCGCATTCTTCTCAATATGTAGTCGTTGTGGTTGTATTCTACTACATGTTCTTGGCATTCGCTCACAACTCCATGATTTCCAAATGTAATTGTACAGGATAATGTTTTACTGCGTCATGATGTTCAATTCTGTGACAATGCAAAATCTAAATCATTGAAAACTATCTTGTGTAATCAACTTCTGTCCTCTACTGTAGTTGACTAGTCTGGAGGTCGGTGGTCACTCCTTCTCTCACGGCTCACTCACTCAACAAACTCAAAAATGTGGTCATTAATTTTCGATATAAATGACATCGTGCACGACCCGGCACCTCTGAATCAATCTTACACTTTCTGTCTCTCAGCGATTGGTTCACTGTAGCAGAAGATCACAAATAAAGTAGTCCACTTAAGCTAGTACTACACGCAAGAATCTGAATCGCAAAATTTCGAAATCAAGTCGCTTCCCCATCAACGACCATTGTCCACTTCCTCACACCGCCCCCGAGAGGACAAAGGACCGGAATTCCTGGAAATCGATTTCCCCACTGCAGTATGCAATGCAAAAGCATCGTACTAGTATAAATCGCATGACAAATTTGCTTAGCATGAGAAAGAAAATTTGTAATGCTGTTTTAGCTCGGGAAGAAGATTTGTCATGCATATTTGCAATTACTACGAGTACGATACTTTTGCACGGGATATGCAGTCCGCATCCGCCAAGGCCACCATGTCTTCCGCTTCCTTATGGATTGCAAATATGTCTGGGTCTGGAAACTTGTAATGCTAAAAGTGAATGATAGACGCACTACAATACGCAGCTATTCATGACAAATTTTTTGGCTGCCATGTCTTACTTATTCCGCATGGCAAAATGCGTTTTGGCATGACAGGGAAGAGGGCCTTTTCGTGCCCGAACAACACAGATTCTCGAGTCATGCCAAACAAGCATGACAAACTTGCATTCTTCCAGACCCAGATATTTTTGCATTTGATATTCCTCCGTGGTCAGCGATTCCCCGACACACGTCATCATGGTTCTTAATTCTCCCGCGGAGATGGTTCCGCCCTTATCCCGGTCCATCAGATCGAACGTTTCCCGCAGATCCGTTTCCGTCAACGGCGGTTTCCGGAAAAGCGCCATAATGTCGACGAAGCTCTGGAAGTTCCAAATACCCTTGCCCTCTGGGTCGGTCTTGTTCAGTGCCGTCTGGAAAACGAACTCGGATTCGGCTGTTTTGGTTCTTTTGATAAAAATCTTCTCACACAAGTTTGTCATTTGCATGACGTGAAACACGATTCGATTTTGTCATGGACCAACATCGTCATGCATGGAGATTTACAACAACAACAAAACTTTATAGTACCCTGTTGCCCAATGATCTCCAGCACTCTAATGATGCCCCGCTCCCCCAGAATTTCGTCCCCAAGAACATCGACTAAGTGGTACCCCCGGGCAAAGTCCGCGATCTCGAACGGGGCGAAGTCGTAGGTGTTGCTCACGTATGCATTGCAAAGTAGCATCGTGGTAAAAAGTGGGAATTTTTTCAGATGAAAAAAACCAAATTTATTCTCATGCAAATTGAGTCAAGTAGAAAGTAGATCTGTCATGCCAAATTGCAGTGACTTTCACGACGAGCTGCACGATACTTCAACGTTTGCAATGCATATCACATCGTAGCGTACCAGGGACTTGTCGCCGAGAAGCTCCCTTTCGTACGAGGATTTCGTCCTGAGGGCGAATGATTCCTGGGTTTCTTCATCTTGACCTTCGTCCCCGTTCTCCTGGTCTTTTGCTCCTGATGGTGTCGTCGTGTTTTCAACACCTACTTCTGTATCGCCGTCTCCTTCAGCCGCTGTCGGTTGTTCACCGCCTACTTCTGCAGAGCTGTCTGCGACAAGAACAACCGTCACTTTTTTCGGTGCGGTACTATCGGCGGTTTCCGGCTCCTGCCTTTCATCTGCAGTAGCTCCGCCCTGCTCCGATTCTTGGGATTTGGTTACCGCGGCGGAGGCACTGCTGGACTCTTGCTTCCCTGCAGTTGGAGTGGATTAAGATTGAGTTTGACTAGGTTGAGGGTCAAGAACAATGCAAGCTGCAGCTAGTAATTTTATTTTGCGCATCAATCCATTGATACGGAACCGTCAAGGTGAACGTGAACGTGAACCTCAAGAAGGTGAACGTCAACGTGAGTGTGAAGTTATAACTACGTCAGCACCGCAACAACCAGGACTGCAGCAAGATGCACTCACAACTTTCAAATCATAGAGGTCCGGAAATATTATTACCTGACACACTACTTGTCTTCCCGACGTCATCGCCTCCTTGCGCAGCGGCCCCTGTAGTCGCTCCCGCAGGTACTTTCTGTGAGGCCTCGAGTAGAGTCGGTGCTGCTTTTTCAGAATCTGTTCTGGAAACAGGAGTGGCCGCCGCGTCAGAGGCCGATGTCGGCGGAGTTTCGTTCTTGGGCTGGTCGGCCATTTATTTTGATTTCGCGCTCGTGTCGTGGTCGTGCGTGCGGATAGATTTAAATGCTGTATTTCGACGACACCAGGTACCCTAATACGAGGTGAAATTGTAACTTAAACTTCTTCCAAGATCGTAATGCCTCAGTAGGAGCGTGCAAAAGCGTGTGATGTTGAGCACTGAACCGACACCAAATCTTCACCTGTCAAAAACAAGAATAAAGGGAATCTGAATGAGGACGTAAATGGAAACTCACACCGATGCCGAATGCGGAGGAAAGAAAACCAAGTCACGCTCGTCCTCGCGTTCTTGCGGCTAGGTCTGGTAGATTGCTGATGAATGAAAGAAAAACACAAAAAAAGAAAAACAAAAAGTTTCGTCCGGCCACAAAGGGGATAAACATCAAACAAACACAACCGATGAACATAATGCCGACGCTCGACGAAATTATAACTCAAACGCGAACACATGAATGGCGAACCATGAAGCTGCTGCGACAAGGATAACTCAACAGGGTGAGTCAGGGCGTTAAAAAAATGTTGGGTATCTCGTCGAGTTCTTTGAGAAATCTTCTTCTATCAAGTCGTACTCTCTGAGTTTGTTCCAGCATTTGTGATTATCACAATGACAAAAATGATGCTCTGTACCGACGATGGACGAGATGATGATGCTACCCGGTGCCAATACAGGGTGAAAATAGAAGTGGAATTCTTTTTAGTTCTGGAGTGAAGCTAGGGAGGGCGCTGTAGCTTCAGGGTTGCACCTCCTACTGTCCTCCCCTCAAGCTCCTCATACTTTTTCTGCTACTTCTTCTGCTACTTTTCCGGCTGCTCGTTTTTTGTTCATCCTTTTCTCCTTGTGAAGATTCTAAAATATCAAGTGGCACAATGTGAAAAGAAGTGCCTTGATCATCTTTCTGAAACATATACTGCAAGCCTTTGTGCTCAATAACAACAATAGGCTTCTGAGAGTCATCCTCTGGCATGCCAATCTGCTGATAAACTAGTACATTGCTCCCATTCACGCCGAAAGTGCGACTGTCACGCTGGTCACTCTCTGGCACATTCTGATATTTCTTACCTTCATCTTTAATCTGTGCTGTCAACTGCGAATAGGAAAAAACTCTGGCTGGTTCAGCCGGGATCTTCTTGTTATCAGAAATTGTTTTAGTTTTTCCCAGCCCGAAGCCGAAGGCCGCCTCACGCGCTGCACCTGTGTCATCTCCTGGTGTGAGGAAAAGAGATTCAGGGCGCCGCATCTCCACGACAACCACTGGGACGTCACCGGCTCGCATTTCGAAGAACAGGCCCTCCTGCTCCTGGCTTGCGACAGCATCTTCGCTTATTTCCGTATCTTCTTCGATCTCCACCTCCGTGAATTCTTGCCCACCCTTGTCGTCCAAGACGATGTCCTGCATGTTAGAAGTCTTCGTGGGGCCATTCGAAGCCGAAGGATCGTCCTCTGTAGCTGCAGGGACTAATCCATTCGCGATACCTTGTTTTCAGTTGATGTTGAAAAATGATGGGAGAATTATCAATATTCTTGCCCATACTCCACGTCCTCGACGTTGTTGAGCAATGAAGAAGATTTGAAATTAACAAGAAAATATAAAATATGTTTCTTCCCCATCTATGTTTCTAGCAAAAGAACCACTATACCAGGACTGAGATGAAACAACATCCCTGCCGCGCCAAACGTCGCCGTGGACAGCAACGCGGAGCCGTACTTAGAAGTCCCTGGACTGACAGCAGGAGCTCGACCGCCGGCGGCCTGCTGGCGCAGGCGACAACGCCGGAAGAAAAACTGCAATGACATCGCTTTCGCTTTGATTAACTACATCAACATCTTGATCTTGTGTGAATTAGAGGAACTCATCGATCCTTTTCCCATTTCATTTCGGTTTGAAAATATGAAAATGTGGTCTTCGGCCGCGCGTCTCTAGTAATTTCATTTTCAACGTACCAGATTTTCTGCTCTGTTTACTCCGTTTTTCCTTCCCGTGACCAATTGGAATTTCGTCCAAAACGGTCGGCGTGGTGGTAAATGAGGCCTGACTGCAGACGACGAGAAGAACAACCGCAATGGTAGTACAAGAAACCTACGAAACTCCCTCAAGACTCGTCAAAAATTTGCCTTCGCGACCTCCACAGCTCCCCTAGTAGAAGAGTTGTCCTGCGTCTCAATCACACACACAGTCTCTCGTACGGATACAACCTCTTTCCCCAAGCGCTAGAGAAAAGACTAAATTTACCGACAACGCAGCCGGCAAACCCCTCCTGCAGGAGCATCTTGCCTATTCACCAACACCAGCCGGAAAAGATGCGCGAGATTTTTGCTTGTTCTTCATTTTTTCCTCTTAATATTGGTACAAATGCATTGCTCAAACCCATCCAAGGACATCTCCTCCGCATTTTTACCATCCTGTGGCGTATCTTGGTTTCGTTGGTTTCGTAAATACAGCGGCAGAATAAAGATTCTTGGTTCAAGCTAGATATAGAGTTGTTGGGTGTAAGATAACTAGTAGCTATTAAATTAGAGTGAGCGGAAATATTCTACATGGGAGTTTTTCTTGTACAAGAAGTTTCATAGATAATACGAACGGGATGAATTTGTACAGGTTACATTGAATATGGAACTGTCAGAATCGAAATCGACAAAGTTGAAATGATTTGTCATGCATAAAATGGATGCCAGTTGGAACCCAGTTTCCAATTGGCGCATGACAAATTTCGGCGGTCCCTAAATCCAGTCTGTCATGCTGTTTAGGCAAAGAAGGGTGGTTTTCTCAAGCTACTTTAGCAGCTCGAGCTGTAACCCCAAACAGGCTTACAATCGGCCTCACTTTCCCGCTCTGCAACGCACGTACTTCGGGCCATGCATTTTATGCATTACAAATTATTTCAACTTTGACCATTTCAAACCTGACACTACCATATTGAAGATGGTTTACATACAAGTAAAAAACTACGGTTTATTCTCGAGTTTGAAGTTGGTTTCTATCTGGGTGTATTTCTGTCAAATTTGCAACAATGAATCAACGATTGGAGGCCAAGCTGCTGAGATGATATAATTTTTTTGTCAACTGTTTATTGCGATTGCCTTCTGTGAATTTTTTTTACGCTGTTTGTCAAAGTTTTTCTACTGGCATAGACATCTTCTTTCAAGATGTACTGATTCTGAAAACTACCTCAAGAACTAAATTTGAAACTTGGCGTGCCGCCGCTCTAACAACCGAGCAGCCCCCGACGTGCTAATAAGAACTTTTGTGCATTAATTTAAACTTGCATCCTGTACTATCGGATGACTTGTACAGCTTGCTGCATTTATTTTGTTCACCCCTTTTCTACTATTGAAACGTCGCACAGAATTCATTATGAATGCGGAACATCCCCCACGCCAGCTTCCGGCGCGCCGATGTGCAGACCCGGCCCGAATTTCACGCGAACATATTTCCGGACGGCGTGAACAAAATCCTGCAGAAAGTTGTGCTCCACCGTTGACAGGTACAGGACTGAAGTTAAAAACAGCAACATGATGACTGCAAAGCGGAAATCCTCTGCGATGATGATCTGCTCTTTACTCGAGGCTCCTTGGACCGCCGCACTGTGGTCAGAAGATGAGCCGTAGTTGTTCATCTGGTCGTTCCGTCGCGACAAAGAACCGCCTGGAGGTGCAGCCGAAGAACCAACATTCTGGGTCGTCGCGGTGGAGCTGCTGCAAGAAGCACTTCTACTACTCAGAAGCTCCGTCGGTTTCCTTGTAAACCAACTACTTACCGTCTCCGCGAAGGTTTCGCAGTGGTGCTGCAGTCTGGAGAGAATCATGATAGAAGAAGCTTCGTCTTCTTCTTCGTCATCGTCCGATTGTACTATGGTGGAAGGAAGGAGCTTCTGCTGTTCCTCGTCGTTCTCATCCACTGCGATCAAGTCTTCCTTCGTTTGTGGGTTTTCCAGATCTCGCTCGTCGATGAAATTGTGGTTGTCTTCCCTGTATGAACTGCAGAAGTATCGCACTCGTAGTAATTGCAGTCATGCATTACAAGTTTTTATCTTAAGGTAGTTCCGCATTGCAAATTTTGTTTCTAAACATGCTGCGGAAATTTGTAAATGCATCTACACGAGTACGATGCTTTTGCAATTCATACCCTGCTGGCGCCGACATTCTTCATCACGGGCTTCGCGGTCACGACCCGCAGCTTCAAGTCGCTGGAGGCAGCTCCTGCTGTGCCTGGTTTGATATTGGCGATTTTTCGGCGTAATTTGAGGCAGCTTTCCAGGAATCTAACGTCGTCGCTGCAGGTGTCACGCATAAAGAATCTGAATTTGCATGACAAAGTCAGTGAATAAATCAGTACCAGCCCGTCGAAACTGAATTTCGTCCTCCTCGGCAGGTGTCACCACTCGAACGTGCAGCTGCTTCTTGTCGCGCGAAGGAACACAAGAACGACCTTGAGGAGCTGGGTCATTTGTTCCATGCTTCTTTCCTTTTCGCTTTGCCTTTCCTTTATTCTTTCCCGGAGCGACTGGATGAGAAACTGACGTGTCGTGCCTCGGTTCTTGGTCGAAATGAAGCACCACAGGCTCGTCGAAGACCTACGTTTTTTTCTTGTTGCGTTCAAGTTGCTGTGTATTCGTGTCGCGCTATTAACGTCCGGAAAGGCATACTTCGAGTACTTCTAGGCATAATAAATGATCATCGCATCAGATTCACATGGTAAGAAAAGCAGCGAGTGTGTGTACCAAAAGTCCTCCTAACCCCCCGGCCCCTGGTTCCTCGCCCTTCCAAAACGTCGACCGCATTCTGTCGCTGTCCCACGGCGCATATGACAGCGCGCAACTCCCCCTCCCGCCCTTCATTTGTGTGGCATGAACAGCAACACAAACAACGGCAGATATGTCGCTTCCGCATGACAAACCTGAACACGGGTTGTCGTACTGTTTGAGCTTCCAAATAAATTTGCCATGCAGGCAGTGGCTCAAGGCAAGATGTGGATTTGGTATTTTGCATTACAAATGAGGGGGAGGGGGTGGAGTTGTGCACACTCATAGCGCACGACAGGAGTTCTTTACAACTTCATTCGGTGAGAGGTAGATGTCTTCGAATTTATTGTGCTCCTCTTCGTCCACCCTGCGCTTCTTCGCAGCGGTGAAGGATATCAAATGCAAAAATGTCTGTGTCTGGAAGAGTCATGCTATTTTTGCATGACAGAGAAGGTCGGGCATGGAAGCTCTAGCATCACAGGTTTCGAGAAGCTTCCGCAATGCCAAATCCGCATGACAAATCCCCCAGTTTGGTGACAGAAACTGGGCAGCTTTTGCTAGCTATGCATGACAGATTTTTCTGTGTTCTGAAATGTGCATCACAAGTTACACCCTTCCAGACCCAGACATCTTTGCATTTGATAAAGGACTCGGCGAAACAATGATCCCCATCGCCATCAGCTTGCTCTACGCGCCAGTCGTGGTCCCGAGTATCAGTATGTTGCGCATGATCAAACTGGGCACCAATTCCTCCTCGGTGGCCGCTGGTGTTGTACGGCCCTGCATCTTCAAAATCAATCTCCTCTTGCTCGTCAATGAACCCCGAGAGGTCATCAGCGTAATTGTTCGAAGGATGTTTATATCGGTCGTCTTCCCGGCAATTGTTCTCCTGCATGGCAAAGTCACGGCTCTTGGTCGTGTACCCGTCGTCGTCCCGCATCTTCTTGATTTCCTTCCCGCCAAACCCAAATTTCAGATCAGCAAACAGCTTCTCGCGGATGACGCTAATATTCTGGAGAGCAGCTGCGCCATCACTGTCCTCGTGGTTACTGTCTACTTGCTGTGCGCCGACGAGAAGTTCCTCATCCATCAGACCGTTCACTACCACCGACGGCGACGTGAAGGACTGCGAGAGCAGTGTTGCCTGCTCAAACGCCTTATCAAATGTAAAAATGTCTGGGTCTGGAAACTTGTGATGCTGTGTGGCGTATCATGAGGAGGCCACACTTGCTGGCTCAGCATGACAAGTTTCTGAGCTTCTAGGTGTTGCCTATTCTGCATGACAAACTACGTTTCTGCATGACAGAAAAGTGGGGCTCTTTGGTAATGCGCAGGACAGATTTTTTAGGAGTCATGCCAGACAAGCATGACAAACTTGCATTCTTCCAGACCCAGACATTTTTACATTTGATACGCCTTGTCCATGTTTTGCTGTGCGATCTTGCCCGGGGTGTCGTGGTATCCTGTGCAAAAGTATCGCATTCGTACGAATGCAAGTCTTGCATTACAAATCTTTTTCTTGAGGCAAATCCGCACTACAAATTTTATTTCTCATCATGAGAAATAAAATTTGTAGTGCGGATTTGGGTATTGCAGGCGAAATTTCCGACATTTTTCGGATGCAAAATCCATTTTTGCCAAGCCGCGGCCAGTCGTGAGTTGATATGGGGGCCCCTGAGCATGGCCTCTCCTTTATGGCTGTCAGCTGCACGGCACGGGGCACGACACACACTCACCCCCATGAGGGCGGCAAGGAGATGACGCTGCGGGCTAATCGCACGGATGATTTTCCCGAGCGACACGCCACACCGCAAGGTACACCACCCGGAACTCCTCCGCACCCCCCAAAACCATACTTACCGCAGCAGCACGGGCTTCGTGCACTGCCGCAAGGCCCATTGCCGAAACCGCTAGGCGGCCTATCTCAAGGAAAGGCCGGGGCGCCTCCTGGCGCGCCTACTTTTTCGAAGCGACCCAAGACTGGGGAACGGCCATCAGCGGCGAGACCGCGTCGCGGCCCGTGGTGTGGTTTCGCCCCGCTGCGTTTTTGCGGGCCCCACACTAGCAGGCAATTGCCGCATGGCCTCCCACCCTCCTTCGCGCCCTGCCTGTTTTCGCTTGGCCCCTGCCACCTCCCTTTACGCCGCGGCCCCCCCGTGTGGCCGCTGCCCGGCTGCGCGTGCCCCTGCTCCGTGTCCTTCGAGGCTGCTTGCCAGGATGCCCCAACGGAGCGTCGGGGCCGCGGCATGGTAAAGGAAGCGCCGGGCCACCCGCTGCGCGCCGGCTTTGTTCGGCCGATTTGCGCAATACAAGCGGGGGGATTTTTGCAAAAAGCCAGGCCGGTGCTGGGGAACTTCAGAAACATGCACACGCGCCCGGCAGAAAAACAACGCGGCCGGCTGCCAACGCGTCTCCAGGTAAGCCCGCCCCGCGGCCCGGTCTTTTTTCCGGCCGCGGCCTGCCGGGGGTTTGGGCCTTTTGCGTGGTTTCCTCGCGTGCCGCCGGGCAGAGGGCAAATCCCAAAAAGGCGCTGTGGCCGGGCCCGGGCACAAGGGCGCGATAGTGGCTCGGAAGGCGGCGGCGCCATCCGGCGGGCTAAGGTCTGCGACGGGGGGCCCCGGGTGTTCCGCGGACGCGCGCGCCAGGTAGCTTGCGCGAACCCTCTCCCACTGCAGGGGCCTTCCCCGAAGCCAAGGGGCCGCCCATCCACATCCTCTGGGCGGCCGGCCGGGCAGCGGAAGAGCCCCCAAGCGGACATCGCTGACGCCGGCCTTGCCGGCGGAGCCTTTGCGGCCTTTTTCACGTTGCCCCCGAGTTCTTCCCCGGGCCCGCCCTGCATTCCCCGGGCGGGGGCTTGGGGCCCGTCGCCCTGCTGCCTGCGTCGGAGAGGCACCACCGGGGCCCCGGAAGCCCTCGCGAAGCGCCAATCCGGTCCGCGGCCCGGCTGCCGGAACACTGCGAAAATTTAGCTCGGAACGCTTCTGATATTTACAAAATATTTAGCTCGAAACGCGGCCGGATTCGGCTCCTTAATGATTTCAATGGGAAAACACTGTGGTCGCGTTTCGAGCTAAATATTTTGTAAATATCAGGGGCAGACGAACCTAAATATTTCGCAAATTTCGCCCGGTAAGAAATTTACCTCCAACTACCCCCCCGGACGGGGTCGCCCGGGGGGCGCGGCAGGCCCGGGGGCATGCGAACAAGCGGTCGCCGCCCGTGAGCAGTCCTGCCCGAAGAGGACCGCCCCTGGGCGCAGGCCGCTGGCCCTCAGCCCACGGGCGGCTTGGCAACAACGGCGCCAAGCCGCGATAGCTGGGGAAAATGCAAAGGGTTGCGTCGCTTCCTTTCTTGTCCCCGGGGCTGCGCCCCATTCGCGGGGCGCGGGGGCGGTCTTTTTTTGCCCATAAAGCTGCCCCCGCTGCCGCGCGACACCTTTCCCGGGCCCCAAGCCCCAGCCTAAGCACCTGCGCGGGCGGGGCCGAGCTAGTCGCGCATCCTGCTGGCCCCCCCGCCGGCGGCCTTTTCTTTTTGCCCGGCAGCCGATGGCGCCTCCTGAGAGCAGGAAGGCGCGCCGGGGCGGTTGTGGCGCGCCAGCATTTTGCGCGGCCGGGCCGCGGCAGGCGCCGGGCAAAGCTTTAAGAATAGGGGGGGGCAGGCTTCGGGGGGCTTTCACGGGGGCAAAAGCAGCCGCCGCGGGAGGCTGGGGCTTGGCGGTTTTCATTGCGTTTCCCTGCTCGCCACCTTCTTTGGCCGGCGCGCTTGTATCCAGGGGCCGGCCGGGCATTTTTCTTAGGCAACTGCTTACCCCCCCTTCCGCGCGGGGGGCCCGGAAAAAGAACGCCCCTGCCGGGCCCGGGCGCAGGGGCATGGCGGTGACCCGCAAAGACTTCCGGCCGCCCAAGCCTGCTCTTCTTTTAAGGACCCCGGGTGGTGTGCTGCTCCTCAAGCACCGCTGCCAATGCGAGACCCCAGCCTTTGCTTGGGAGAGGCCCGATGCCGGCCAACCACCAAAGCCATCGCGAAGCCAGGGGGGAGGCCGCGCAAGCAGGCGAACCCATCAGCTGTGCCGCCGGCCCATAGCAAAAAAGTTTTCGCAGAGCGCTTCACCGCGCCGCGGCGTCTTGTTGGCCGGGACTGTCGGGCGCCGGTGTGGCTGGTGCGCCAGGCCGAATTCAATGCGGCCCCACTGTCACAGGACGGGGGCCACGAAGACGCCTGGAAGCGCTGCGCGCTGCGTGCGATCTTGCGCGTCAAGCCACGCAGGTCCTGACCCGCCCGACCCGGTCTAGCGCAACAGGCCAACCCGGAAAAACATTAAGCAATGCGATGGGGGCCAATGTCCGTCAACAGCTAATGGCCTAAAAGCTCAGGCGACGCAGGCTCCTAAACGCCACAACTCCGATTGCCAGCGCGAAGGCAATCAGGGCTCTTCAGCCCAGCGATTTTTTTTTTTCGCCAAAAAAAATTGCAGTCTGTCGGAAATAAACCTCAAATAGCCCATCGGTGAATACCTCGCCAACTCATGCTGAGGAAATTTGTAATGCATTTATACGAGTGCGATACTTTTGCAGTTCATACATGGTTGTTCTTGCTAGAAGCCCCCGGGAAGTAGAGAGCGTTAGCGTTATTCTTTTGCTCCAGAAATTGATCACCATCATCACTGGACACGTCGTCGCCAATGTGGAACATCTCGGGGCCATACGTACAGCGGTTTGATGCAGCTTTGATGTTCAACAAGCCGGAGTTGTTCGTGTGTGACTGCAAACTGGTCTGCAAAAACGTGCGGATAGAGGATCGCGGATGGGGAAGGGAATCCGACTGAAGTTGCTGGTCTTGCAGCTCATCTTGCATGTAGTTGTCATGTTGTCGTGCTGGTTGTTTTCCGCCGTCCCACGTCCTGGCTTGTTCTTTCGCATCACACACTACAGGCTGCGTCGTGGCAAGAGAAACAACTTCTGCTGTCGACGCAGCCGCGTCCACCAGGTAGTTGTTTTCGCACAAGCTGGTGCTCCGCCTGTCTTTCTGATTGCTGTCCACGTGGAATGCAAAAGAGGAAGCCCCCGCTGCGGGCGTGACACACGCCTCCGGTTCTGGTTCCTTTAGGCGGTCCGGCGCGTCCACAAGAGTGATGAGAGAGGACGAGGATTTTGTGGCATCGTGAAGAAGATAACTATCGTGGTCCACCTCGTCGTGTCCTTTCTTGTCGTCCGAAACCGCACTACAGGTTGTCTGCTTGGACGAGACCTGGATGTCCTGCAGATGGAGTTCTTTGTCTTCCACTTCCTTCATTACCATTTCATCGGCAGTGCCTACTCGTTCTTTTTCCACATCATCCACAGGAAGAACACGAGCTCCTTCTTTCACCAAGACCTCCTTCGTTTGCTTCCTGGTTTTCAGCAGAACCTCACGCGGCTTCCTCGTGTACTCCGGGTGTTCATGATCCGCTTCGGAGCAGCAGTTCGGCGAGAACGAGTGCACGTCTTCTAAACAAGTTGGCGCTGGCTGCAATTGTTCAAGTTCTTCTTCTAGTCCGACACCATTGCTTTTGTTCAACAATCCATCCGCAACAACTTCTTCTACCTTCGCCGAAGGGCTGCTGCGGGTCGCTACCATCTCGTCGAGCTGGGCGCACAGGACGCTGTTTTCTTCTTCTGGCTGTGGCGATAAACTTCTAGCTTTCTCGATACAGTCGCGAGGATTGTTGACCTGCTCTTGAAGTTGCAGCTCCACTGCACCAACCTGTTCATGATCTACACGGCCGCCAGTGCCGGTCGTCGTCGAACCGAAGTCCGCCGGGGAGGTCGCCAGCACCTCAGCGCCGGAAGTAGTTGACGCGTTCAAAACCATCGACGGTGGCTGGAAGCTGAAAGAAGTTTTTAGTTGTACCTGCTCTGCCTCCTGACCCTTTGGTGCGTTTTCGAAGACGATATTTTCCTGCAACTCCGTGTCAACGACGATTTCTATTGCAGCTGACGTGCTCGTCTTCGACGAGTTTCGCTTCTCAACATGCGGCGAAACTAGCTGCACCTGGTGATCAAGAACTTCGTCGTCCCGTGTGATGATGTCTTCTTGTTTTGACCCCATCACCAGCTGTTCTGGGCTTTCTGGACACTGCTCCAGCAAAATTTCCTCACTTTCGAATTCCAAAACCGGCTCGAGTTCGATGTTGCACGACAGAGACGTCGCGTTCATTCCGACATTCTCCACCGCGGATAGGTCAAACAAACTCGAGTTGTTGTTTTTCTGCTCGGTGTCGCTGATAGGAGGAGTACAGCCGTCAGCTGCGTAGAGGTGTTTTTCCATGAGTAGGCTCGTCCCGCTCTGGTCGTGGTTCAGGATGTTTGGCTGGAGACAACTGATTGAGGAATTATTGTTAGATAAAACGTGGACACAATCGCCGACATACAGGATAGAGCTGTTCTTCTTTTCTTCGTTCCGTTCCCGCCTCCTCTTGCTGGTATCAGTGCCGATGTTCTCGCACTGTTCAACCAAGCAGGTCTCGACGTTTTGCGCAAACTGCTGGTACGCGTCGGGAGAGGACCAATGACCTAGGCCTGGCGCGGGTCGTTCATCTTCGGCCTTCACTAACAGAGACCGTTCCTTCTCCTGGTCGCACAATTGCAACTCCTCGACGTTGTACTGCTCTCCCTCATTTGGCACTTCCTTCTCCGGCGAGAGACACGGAGCAATCGTCTCCTTCTTCGGAACATCGTTGTGAAATAAACAGTCGGGCACGGGCTCTGGAACAACTACAACTACAGCTTCTTGTGCTTGTAATCTTCCTTCTTGTGGCGCCGTTGGTGGAGGGCCCTGCGGCGGTTGTACTAGCGGATGCAACGCACTGACAGCCTGCACTTGTGAATCGGTAACGCTGACGAGGGAAAGAGATGGCTGGTCACCTCCTGAAAGAAAAGTTTGAAAAAGAAGGTGGCGAAGATACAACACCAGCCGCAACACTTAGCATTTTACTTACATGATTGATTTCGCTCCTTGCGCTCTGCATGACGTCCGTGCATGAGGAAATCAATCTACATCTAGTGTATTGATAAAGTGGTATAGCTATAGTAAGTACCTGCATGATAAACCGCAGTCGTTCCGGCAGGTAACAATGTGCTCCCGTCAACCGAATACACCACTCCGTATTCGACGGGACTGGTCGTCGCACTGTTATTCGCACTCGACGGAACGGTTGTGGCCTTTGACGCCGATCCGGAATGATGAGAATCGCATTCGTAGGTGGAAATCTTGTTGAAAAAGCACAAGGAGTTGCTGCTTACTGCGGAGCTTTTGGAAGTGCTACTGGCAGAACTCGTGCTGGTAATGGCTCTAATATTCGCTGGTGGTCCACCTGCACCTGGGACTACTGCACCAAGACCCCGCCCCGAAGTTCCAAGTCCTCCGACAATCGTGCTCGACCGGCTTCTTGCGGAGTCTTCTATCGCGGGACCCCCACTGGAGACCAGCTGCTCTTCCTGTTCGGTGGAGCTTCTGCTGCGTCTGGAATCCGTTTCTTCGTCGGTTGTGCGGTGGTGGTGAAAAGCACCGGCGGGTCGTCTACCACTACCAGACGAAACTTCTCCTCCGGGCGTACTACTATCGTTGTTTCTGCTGCCGCCGGTTCTGTCACTGCAGCCGGAGGAACTCTGGCCTTCAATGGAGGAAATCGGAGTGTCGTTATTTTCCATGTCAATTGGGTGTGTAGTACCATCTCCAGCAACTGGTCGAAGTCGCCCACCTTCGTCACACACAACATCCGCTGGCACGTACTGTGCCCCAGTGGCATCTGTATACACGACGGCGGTTTGGATGATGTGATGTTCGGAATTTTGTTGTTGAAACAGTTTCGAACCGGTGTACACGAGGTTCAGTTCCTTTCGCTGTTCGGTCCTATTACCATCGTTGTTGTTGTTACTTCCTTTGGCGTTAGAGAAAGACGATGAAGATGATGAGCCACAACTTTTCGACAATCTTGCGCCAGCCGCGCGGTTATTTTCCCCAGGAGAAGACTTGGCATGCAAAAGTCCTCTACAACGCTGGTTGGTACTTGCACTTGCAGCGACGTTTGCCCCTTGTTTTCTCGTCGACCGCGTATTTGTATTTGTTCCAGCTTTATTGCCACTGTTCACTGGACTGCCACTACTCTCCCGCTGAAGGATATTAGTGTCCCGCCGGCGTCGCTGCTCCTTGGCTTGTTCCCTTTGCCGTCGGCTTGGAAAAAAGCCACCGATGGTGGACGATCGGAGTCTAGAAGAGCTGTTCTCCAGCTTGACGTCCGAGCGAATTGGCACAAAAGAAGGGTCTTTTGCAGTAGAACCTGAACCCCCGATCTCCGCCTCCAGCATCATGACCTGTTCCTGGAGCCTGCTCAACGCGCTCCGCAACCGATGCGCGCCAACCGAGCTGGTGCTCGTGGTCGAGAAAACGGAGAGATTGTGTTTGTTGGAGCAATGGTGGGTGGAGTTGTCTAGTACTTGTTCTGTGTGGGAGGAAAGCACGGACATGTTGACGTTGTGCGCGTGAGAATTGTTGCTGTTGCTGCTTTGAAGATCAGGTGGATCTGGATGCTCATCTATGGAGGCGGAGGACGAGGAGCTTTTTTCATCATGGTTTCTGTGTTGTTCTACGTGGTCAAGGTCATGCTCCTCCTGCTCCTGCTGGTGATCAGGTCGCATGGAGCCGTCCTCGACGCGAGCTGGACTAGTACTTCCGTCGCGAGCACCAGCTGCGGATAAGCAATCTGGATCCACGTTATTTGCAACATATACAGATGGAGCAGCAGCTGTTCTTGCCTCAGTCGGCAGGCGAAGCTGTGGCGCAGGCACACCAGGTGGTGCTGTGGGTGGGCGGACTCGTCCAGCAGGTGCGGTGGTCGCGCAAGACACGTTCTTGCCAGCAGAAGAAGTACTGGCGTTGCTAGTAAAAATAACTTCGCGCTCGTTCATCATGCTGTGTGTAGAATTCGAGTCGGCTGCCGTTGTGGTCTCGACGTCGTCGCTCATCATTTTCAATCAAAAACAAATTTCTCGGAAATTCTCAATGGCAACAAAGCCGAAAATGCGACGTACTTACCAGATTTTCATTTCTTTCTCGAACTTCTCAGGACTACTTGGCATTGTTCATCTTTTTGTAGCTTTATCAATCAGGTTCATGTTGTTGACGAGGCGGCTACACCTATCCAGCACGATCAGGGATGCAATCGAATCTTCGTATTCCTACACCAATCTCGAAACAAACGAAACAAGCCGGTGGTCTTGTCGTCTTAGTTCGATTTCGAAAAAATCATCTGAAAAAACAACAAGAACAACGAAAACAAGACAATTATCTCAGGCAACTTCAGCGAGCTTCAACTTAACTGGCCCCTCTCTCATGAAAAATTAAAATTCCCTCTCTCGTGGTTATGTTTCCTCAGCCGCGAGTAGAATGTTGATTCAGCGAAACGATTAAATTTTCGCTGATCACACGAGTCGTTGTGCAGGGGGAACGAGTCAACTAATGCTGGAGTTGGACGACGAAAAAATTAGCGGAGACACCGTGAAAGAGCGACCACGAACAACATCTACATCTTCGTAGCTCCGCCGCTAGAAGTAGTCCTGCTGCGACAACATCACAATGCAAGTATTCCGTTTCAAATTATGCACTTATAGAGGTGGGGGACAAGAACATCAGCAAAAAAGGACGATTTACAACTCACTTACATTCTTTAACGTGGTTGCTCCCTTTTCGTCGGAATAACACTTCGCATCAGGAACGGCAGGAAGGTCTGCCTTTGTTAGGGGGGAGGAAGCGTCGAGAAGATGGACTTACGCTTAGCGTATTCAAGAGAAAAAGTTGCGTTACGGAAAGCAAAAAAGAAAATCAAAGAAACACGTGAGTGTGGGTTGTTTAAGGTGGGTGTGGGTTGTTTAAGGGTACAACTAGAAATCAGGAGATGAACGAGTACAAAATATTACAGGTTGTGAGTTCAAGAAAAAGAATCGAAAAACGTGCGAAACGAGTAATGCTAACGAATGGATATGGAATGAAAAAAAGGTAAATTTTTGCATAACGAGTGTATAAACTGCGTCAGGAGGGCTGCTGAATCGCCAGCGCAAGTGGCTGGTTGAGCACGTCGATCTTGTTCTGGTGGACTGTTTCCATTGATTCATTCGGTGGAAAGGTCTTTTGAAAGCTACCGTTCGGTCTTAAGTAATACTTAACCAACAACAAATTATCCTTCTGCATCTGCACAGCAGCACCACAACTCCCGACGGCCGAGCAGCTCAATCTGAATGCGCAGCGCCATCGCTCTCCCCACCTTCATCCCCGGCGGCCGAGCTGCCGTCATCTTCCGCGGGTTCGACGGACGAAGCACGATCGTCGTCCTCCTCGTCCCCGTCCTCTCCCAGTCGGTCGGTGCCTGAGATCAACATTTTTGGATCGAATATCCGAACAAAATTTGTTTTTTGATCGCTGGATTTTATTTGATACAGGATTTCAATTTCTTTGGATGCAGCACTTTTGTGGAAACGGAAAGAAACATCACGGAGAAAACAAGTATACCCTGCCTCCCGGGACGAGACGGGTCGGCCTTCTCCTCCCAATTCTCCAGGTACGAAGACGGGCCGGCTTCTTCCGTCTCAGCCGTGGAAAAATGATCGGAGTTTTGTTCACCAGAGGACTGCATGGTCGTCTCATCGTCTTCGTGGTCTTCTTCGTCCGCCCGAAGCTCGCCCGCTTTCCGTTTCAATTTCTCGAGGAACCGGTCAGCAGTTGTCGTGCCAGTCGTGCTGGCGCCCTGGTGCTCCGCAGTTCTTGTGTCGGCGTAGTCGTCCCAATTCGCAGGGCCGAGATCGGAAGCTTGTGCTTGTTCGGTGTTGTCATGATCTTCGCGGCCATTTTTGTTATTGAACAAGTGGCCGTACAGCTTCTGTAGAAAGCTGGTTTCGCTTTCCGCGTCTTGCAGTTGCAAATCTTGATCTCGGTTTTCCAGAAACGAAGACGAGCTATGGGAGCTCCGGCGCCGGCCGGAATCCCGCCTGCGGCTGGAGTCCCGCCTGCGGCTCGAGTTGTCACGCCGCCGGCTGTCTTCCACCCTGGCGGAAAGAAAATGATCGGCCTCGCGGCGGCGCCGGCGCCGGCTGTCGGAAAAAATGGCGTCGCGGCGGCGGCTAGAGCTAGACAGGAAACCACCCGAGTCGTCGGGAGCGCCAGAGGTGGAATTGGTGCACTTTGTCGTCTTTACCCCGTTCACCTCGGTTGTCACACACTCCGAAGTATGGATTGCAAAAATGAGTGGGTCTGGAAGGTGGTAACTTGTCATGGTCCTTGTAAATCTGAAGCATGCGATGAAAAAAATCTGTGTTGATGCATGAGTGCCAAAAGCTGCCCACTTTCGTCCGAGTTGGAAGGGAGCTCCTTCTCACGCGGGATAGGCATGGCGGAGACCTCGCTGCAGTAGAGTCTGTCATGCTAAGTCCCGCATTCCAGACCTCATGGGTCAAGGTCATGGAAAATCTGCATGACAAGTTTAATACACTCTTCCAGACCCAGACATTTTTGCACTTGATACGAAGTGTGCTTGTCTTCGTACCCGTAACAGGCCCTGCAGCAATACACGATCGACCCAATAATGATCAACAGACAGATGCAGGGGAGGACGCAGAGCAAGCAGATCATATTGTTGATCATGTCCGTGATCGGATTGCCCGAACCGCCTCCGCCTCCATGCGAGCCATGCGAGCCGTGCGAGGAGTGGCTGTGATGGCTGCTGTGGTGACTGTGATGACTGTGGTGCGAGCCGTGGGAGCTGGACCGGCTGTGGTTGCTGGACCGGTGGTCGCCCCCGAAGAACAAGGGCTCCTTAGGCGCGGCTCCGGGAAATTCTTCGTGTTCGTCATCATGATCGACGTGAGGATCATGATGTTCCTGCTCAGTCTCAACGTCGGACATGATCTTGTTGCTTCCGATTCGGGTTTTGCTAGAGCCGACGAATTTTACTATTTAAATTTTTAGAACCGTCAAAGAAGTAAAGATTTTCTTTGGAGTTTTTGTTTGGTGGCACAACACCAAAAGGATGAACTACTCTACATAGCGAGTTGTGACCTACTAATTTTTTACGAGAGGAACTGTGTGCCAAAAACTCCTGAGGGTTTTATTGCCTCTGGAGCCAGTTGTGATGTGAGAAGTCTGCTTGTTTTTATTGTGTGACTGTGAGAACGATAATAAGTAATACAGTTCTTCACCATTTAAGTGTCTTCAAAACAAAAACGCTAGCACTGACGACGGTAGCTGCACGAGGTGACAGTTGTCATGAGGACGAGTTGTTTTCTTGCAGGGACGCAAATAAAACGGGATTGGAAACACGAACGAGCACGATGGATAGTACGACATACGTTTTAGAACAACGACTGACGATACTGAGTATGGTGACACGACATGGACGCCGGCGAAGTAGAAAAAGAGCTACTAGATGAACAAACTCTACTTCTTTCGTTCACAGCAAATCGCACGAACAAAAAATGAGACTCACAGTCCCGAGAGGTTGCGGCGCTTGCGCTTCACTACCGCTGAGCACTTGACCTGCAGCAAGGTCGTATCGATTATATCGTGCTCAACTACGAGGAGTCCTCAGCAGGAGGACATCTCCTTGTCTCTTGCTCTTCTGGGCAAATAATGGGTCGTGAGAGCAGATCTTCCTTGTGTTGTACGCATAGATACCATGATTAAAGAAGTTGGCTCGTCTTCCTTCAAGAGAAGTATCGCGATCAATAACGTCACAAATTGTTCCTGACATCACCAGACCTAGTACAACTATCCGCGCCACGGCCCGCCGCTGCATCTTTTTTCGCAGCTGCGATCATGTGGTCTTTCTGCAATTGCATGTCCGCATCATACACACACTGCAGGTGGCGGTCGTGTGAAAGAGCGACCGTTTCGTAGTCGTACAAATCTACATCTTCGGCATAGCTTTCGCGATTGCTCCCTTTCGTCGTCGTTTCAGCATCTGCTGGAGCGTGTTGGGCCGCATGGTCTTTGCCGTCGGTGTCACCAGCAGAAGATGGCGAGGACGCGCTTACGTTTCTTTCCTTCGGCACCAAAACGTTAATACTCGTGTACCCTTGTTCTCCGTGCGCTCCGCTCAATGCCGTAACCGCAGCCGACGTCGGCCCTCCGTGGGTGCAGAGGATTAGGGTTTCGTTTGGAAATCGCGTTTCAAGCTCCGCGACAAAGTTCTTCATGCGCTGCTTCAGTTCCCGGCTCGTCTCCGGGCTGAAGAGGTTGTATGCAGCTTCGAAGCTGCTTTGGCACGCGAAGGGGATCATGACTGCAGCTCCTTGTAGGTCCGCGTCCCTGCTGCGTTTTTTTCCCTCCTCGCAGCCAATGTGGTGGTCTACAGTCGTCCCTTCACTGATCTGCTCTCTGCAAATTTTCCGGGACTCTGCCGTGAGTTCCCTGGTCAAGATCACCTTGTTATTCGTCCCGTCTTTGGTGAACGTGTTTACTCGTTGAAAATCGTCCGAAGGCAGCGCTGCGTCAACATCTTGATATGGTCCATCTCGGTCTAACCAGTAGCAGCTCGACTTCGACGGACGACCGGGTGGACCTTCTACTTGATGTCTCCCAGAGGCTACTCCTGCCTGCTCCCCTTGTTCAACACCAACAGCACGACCTCCGGCGGTCCTGATCGCGCTGAGAAAATTCTCTTTCACGCACTTCTGGAGCAATTTCCCGATCGGCGCTGTCGCCGCGGGGTGGAGATTCAGCGCGTTCTTCTCCTCCTCACTAGAGGGCAGCTTGAACCCGTACGGCCCGCCCCAGGAGCCGTCGGATTGGTTTGGGACACACCACGCGAGATACCACTTATCCATTGCAACTTCCGTCAGGGCGAGGCTGCAGTGGAAGGGAATAGGACGAGAACAAGAAGAGCCGGAGGGCGTCCCAACTTCTCCCTCTCTGGTGTTATCGTTACCGACGTCGTCGCCAGCTTCCCTTGTTCCCAATTGTCCTCTCTCCTTCAAGTTCAACAGCCCCTCCCGCAGTCCACAGCTCGTTTGCACACAACGCAACAGGGGCGAGGTGATTATGCGGAGGGGACGAGCTGCGCAAGTTTTGTCAGTTTTTTTCTCCTATGAAATGCCAAAGTATCGTACTAGTAGTAACTGCATTACAAATTCGCTTAGCATTACAAATGAAATTTGTAATGCTGTTTCACCTTACGAAGGACGTTTGTCATGCATGAATGCGATTAGTACGAGTACGATACTTTTGCATAGGATATCTCCACCACTTCCTGAAGCAACTTCGCAATTTCCCGCCCCGCCTGCCGGGCCATTTGAAACCCGCGATCGGTCAAGGGCGGGTCATAGGGTGTGGATTCTGGATTATTCAGAGGAAAAATCCCCCCACCCCATATCGAAAGGGTATGCTTCCGAAAATTTGCGTTGCTGCTTTGAGACCACAAACCACGCCTGTCTTGCAAGAAGACAAGCGCAGAGGCTTCCGCGCCATTATGGAAGCGATTTGGCACGCTGTTCGGCCTAGGGGGAAGCCGTTTGTAATGCTAAACAACTAGACCCAATAAACGCCCCAAGCTAGGCTGAGGATCTGGCTGCGATGCCGTATTGCAAGACAGCGCGCATTTGTGTACGGAAATCCGGCATCAGAAGCTTCGTCTAGATATGGGAAGAGAGGATTTTTCCTTGCAATACGGATCGGAGCTGCGGCTCAGCACCCAGGTGGAATCTTCGTAGTCTAACCGTTCTCCGTGGTATCCTGTGCAAAACTATCGCACTCGTAGTAATCGCATTCATGCATTACAAATTTCTTTCTCAGGTCGAATCCGCATTACAAATTTTCTTTCTCATGCTGAGGAAATTTGTCATGCGATTCATACTAGTACGATGCTTTTGAATTTCATACATGACGGACAATGACGATGGTGCAAGTTTTTTTCGCCTTGCGTGGCTCGTCCTGTGGAAGAACCGGGGTCGACATGGCGTCGCAGGTTGAGGTTGCGCTATTTCGTTTTTATATACTGCGGACGCTGGAAGATCTTTTTTTTTTTCTTGGAAGAAGGTAGAACTATGTGATGTCTAGTACAGGATCTAAGTTTAAGTTCGCGCTCCTCCTGGTTCATGCAGCAGTAGTTGCTTCAGCTTGTTCTTCGTCTTCGTGTATTATTATCGTTTGACGCACCCAATGTCAAACTTCGAACATGATCTTCTTGCATTGACGTTGCCGATTGACCACGGCATTTATTGCGCACTGTCATAGTGGAGAAATTGCTGGATTGCGCAGCAGGCAAACAAGTCGAACATTTCTGGTGCGCCCTGTTCTTGCATAAGCATATGCAATCTACAAAATTATTTGCTCGTTCATCGTTCGTTTATTGTACACATCACACGCACACCCTTTTGGTACAACAGGGCTCTCTATCTATCTTCCAAAGCTGTTGCGGTGGGGGAGAGGAGCTAGAGTATTTCAGGAAAGCGCACGACGTTCGGAGAGCGCCGGAGGAGGTGAAATAGCAAGAGAAACTACAATCGTACACATACATTAACATTCATCCGATCCGGAACCGCAGCTTCGGTGAAACTTACAATACGGACGCGGAGGTCGAGGACGAGTTCTTTTTGTTCGTATGAATCACTTATTTATCTGAGGGCGTCAATATTTAGACACTACTGCAATATTAAGTATCTGCTTTGTGTACTAAAGTGCATCGTTTTAATCAACCGTTTTTTGCTTTCGCTTCAGTGTTGATGCCCTGAAGAGTTAAATTTCAGTGCCACATTGAGCTTTCTTCTGGATGCGGCTGCTGCACCACCACCACAGGCTGCCGGTTCGTTGCGTAGTTGATGCAGAAAAACGCACAGCAGATGGGTGTGGCAGTCACGCTATCCTGTGCAAAAGTATCGTACTCGTACTAATTGCAAATGTGCATGACTTTTTTTTCTCAAGGAAAGACAGCATTACAAATTCCACTTGCACTTTACCTTCTTGCCAAAATAAAAATTTGTAATGCAATTTATACTAGAGCGATACTTTATTTGCAATGCATACACGCAGCCGCAGAACAGGAGGAGGAGAAAACAGCTGCCAAAGAGATCCGCGAACCAGGTACAGCCGTCCTTGACGTGTTTCGAACCGTCCCTGGCGTATTCCGATTTCGGGCAGGAAAGCCCGTAGTGGTCGATTGCGTCGTAGCAGGAGTTATGCATTGCAAATATGTCTGAATCTGGAAAGATGCAAGGTTTGTCATGCACAGCTTGCATGACTCCTGACGTCTGTGATGCATGCTTTAGCATGACAGATTTTGTGAGGGCTTTCTCATGCATATACCGCATGAGAAATGCCCTCTCTCCGTGGACCTCTTGTGCTGTTCATGCAATGCAGACTTTTGTAGTATCCAAATACAGCATCACAAGTTGCAACCTGCTTCCAGACCCAGACACATTTGCATTTGATAGGAGTCGCTACACTGATCTTCTTCAGCCTTGGTCACAAGGTCGGGGCCCTGTGGGAGTCGTATTATGAACTGCAAAAGTATCGTACTCGTATAAATGCATTACAAATTTCGTCAGCATCAGAAATCAAATTTGTAATGCGGATTTTCCTTAAGAAAAAGATTTGTAATGCAACAAGACTTGCATTTATACGAATACGGAATACGATACTTTTGCACAGGATACGTGTCACATAATGACAATACAATTCATGAAGAGTTGCTGTAAAGCGAATGAAAACATGCACAAGCGTCAGTGTGCGTTTGAGTTTGAGATTACCTGTGCGCACAAATTTATATACTGAAAAAAATTGTGGAGCTGCACCCGTAGGAATGCGTGAAACTGTCAGTACTAGGAATATACTGAAAAAATGCGTGAAACTGTCAGTAATAGCATGATAGTAGAGCACTACAGTTGCAGTTACCGGCACGGCATGAGTGCCATGCCTGGGACGTTGTTGCTTAGCCTAGTAGGCTGGCGCCAAGTTGGTGCTAAGGCTATGAACAGCCAGCGCCTCTTGCTGTAGTCAGAATTTCGGTTTTTGATTTTAAAAGTTGCTCCTTCGGTCAAGGTCGGCTCCGGGGTTTAGAATGTTGAAGTGCAGTGGACATGAACTCAAGCTGGATCTCCCCTGTGCACTGCATGCGCTGCTTCGGAAGACTGAAAGATATTCTTGTATGATTTGAGCTCCGTGTACAGTGACAATCTATTCTTTGATGGCTGCGCTAGCACTAAAACAGACTCTAGGAAGAAGATCACAGCTCCGACGTCAAGCTGCGCATGGCAAATCTTTGCTGTGCCATCAAGTGTTCTTCCATGAAAGGTCGAAGGAGTGCAGAACGATCATATTGAGAAAAGGAACACCTTCCATTTGCGATGCGAAATTCTATTGCAAAATAAAAATCCAGGTCACAGAGCCATAGTGAGTTGAGCTCGAGACTTATCACGCATCTGTAGCAGTATATTTTTGCCTCGTCATGGTCCCTATCCCGCATGCCAAGTGTACCACCTACGGACAAAAGCCTGTCGCTCCCGTGGCCTGTGGGAGTTTGCGTGCGCGACAAATTGCTGCCTGATATACCATGTTGCTGCCCTTCATGTCGATGACCATGCAAGCTTGTTGCTGTTGCCCATGCAAGCTGGAGATGTCCTGCCAATGCAGATGTAGATGCTGCAGCAGGTGCATCCTGCATCGTTACCTGTCTTTGCCCGTGATGATGATTGGCACCCCCTAGTGTGCCACCTACGGACAAAACAAGGGGGTACTGGTGCGGCCTCCAAGTGGCGCCCCCGGGGTCCGGCTGCGCCCTTCGCATGGTCTATGCTGACGCATCGGGATTGGGTAGGATAGGACGAGGAAGTAGAGAAAATTATTTACTGAAAAAAATTGTGGAGCTGCACCCGTAGGAAACAGACCAGAATCAGAAGTTCATACCAAGATAGCTATTTATTATCGAAATCAAAAATACGTGCAGAGGCGGGTCGTGGCACTTGTAGTAGTAGTCCTTACACGCATAAAAACACGTGTCGCCGCCGCCATTCTTCTTCTCTGTAGTATGAAACACAGAACAACTCTTCTTGATACGTATTCGAAGAGACCAATGCTGTGACGGCGCTTCGTCTGAGCTACAAGCTGAAAATGGATGATAGATAGGACAGCGACTGCCACGACAATTCGTACATGACGCCAAGGACTAGTTTGCGTTTCATCATCTCAATGTGAAAAAACGGCCTGAACCGCTTACAGACACTCTTTTGATCTCCGATGGATCAAGGAAAGTAGAGCTTGGTATGCATGTCCGATATATCCAAGAGAAAAACTGTGTTAGTGTAGGTCTCGTGGAGAGACAGCATGACAAATCTCTTCTGCATGACCACACAGAAAGCCTGTTAATGTGATGCTCAACTAGTTAGTAGTTGAAAACAAAACGCGATGAAAAACAAATAGCTTCCCATGGCTGGCCAGCATGTTGACAAGTGTAACTGTGAGTGTTCGTGTTGCATGATCGCATTACAGACTTAAACGTACCCAGGTTATTTTCTCTTGCATACGATATGCCTCCGCTTCACAATATTCCGTCACCGTCATGAGGTAACTGGGCTCGTGGTCGCTTGCTCGGTTGCTCTTCAGATGCTGGGTTTGCAGGAGGAGGTTCTTGCCGGTTGACGCAGGTTCCGTTCTGCTTCCGAAAGCTTTCTGGCGCAGACGCTTCGTAAATTTGGGAACGGAGACGATTCGTAGCAAAACTTGTTCCAGGAAGCTGCTTGCTCCTTCCGCCGGAACAGTATGTTGCTGACGGGAGAACGGAGGTTGCCCGGGGTTGTTCTGCTTCGAGGAGACGTCTGCTGCGTTTATTCTCGACGACTCGTCTCTTCCCGAAGTTGTTCTGCTTGTTGTGTGCTGTTTTTCTTGCTGAACAGACAGAGAACTTCCATCTTTTTCTTTGCGCACGGCAGCAGGTGGTGACTTCTTGTTCTTAGTCGAGTTGTCTCCTTGGAGGGGGTGCAGCTCCAGCGGCGACGACTTGCTCACGCGCTGTACTGGCGCAGAATCGACGCTCACGTCGTGACCAGGCACATGATCATGGGGCATCATGCTGGGATGATCCAAAGCCAGTTGTAGTTCACTAGCCGACTGTGAGGAAGATGTTCTTGGAGCTGATCCTGATTTCGTTTTCGTGTTGCGTCGTAGTCTACCATTGTTTCTCTCCTTGCTGCCCGACGTGGTAGCCGACACTGAGCCATTTCCATCTAGTAGTAACGCAGCACCAGAATCTTCATCGACGTCGCCAACAGAGTCCAGGAACACGCTATCTGCTTTTCCGGTGGTAAAAGCGCGATGATCCGACGACACCGCAGTTCTTGCTGATGAGGTTGCAGCGGAAGCGGATCGCGGTAGGCCGGTACTAAAGAGAGCGGTATGATCTTCTCCTGCGGCTGAAGTTGATGCCAATGGTCGTCCACTAGCACTAGAAGATTTATCTTGTTGCGACGATTGACCGTTACGGTTGCCAGAGACACCTCCGGGCGAGAACAGAAGGATGCAAGAGCTGCTCTTGATCACCAAGGGTAGGCGCGAGAATAAAAGGGCGGAACGGCCGCGACGAGCCGATGTTTTTACTGTCGGCGCAGCTGCATTTCCCCTGCTCGTCCTGGTGGTCGTTTGTTGTGCTGTCATTCTCGTACTGGTTCTACTTCTAGTACCACATCATTGACGCTCACTACTTCTCGTTTCTCGTCCTGGCCGAACGAAAATAAGTTCACAGTGAGTGTACAATACGTAGATCTACCATCCTAGGCGATGACTGCTCAGGTCGCGCTAGGTCGGGAGAACGAGGAGAGGTTGAACAACATCGAAAACATCTTTCTCTCTCGTCACTTCTTGTTCATCTCACACACTAGAGAGCATTTGAGTCTGCGACTGTGCTTCATCCCAACACACAATCTTCACGGAAGATATCTGTTTCCTCGCTCACGAACAAAGCATGTTGATGTTCCGTAACTCAGGGCCCTCAGCCGCACACTCAGACTGTGACTGACCGATGTGGTGAAATACAACGGACGATAAACTCACTTCCATGTGGATGCAGACCCGCGGCCTTCGCTTCCAAGACACTTCAAATCGATCCGCAGACACGGAGCCTATTTCTGATTCAACGTTCCTTGCGAAGTAAACCACGCGACGCACGCGATGAGGCGGCCGTGGCGCCCGTGCTGCAAGGGGGGCAAATATGATTCTCTTTGTATCGTCCTTATCACATAATTTGAAAATCACATGCATTTTTTGAATATTTCTCGGAGTCCGACGTGAGTGGCGCATTTACACCAAAGGTGTCTTTGAATGTGTAATCCACATTCTTCGTATACGTACTCTTCATCATCATTTTTCACTATCACAATAAACTAACGCTCTGTGATCGGTGCCACCTGTTGCTGTTGATTCTCAACTGTAAGTAATAGTACACGACTAGAAGAGTTCTCTAGTCAAGAACATTGGCCCAGCAAAATCGCCAATCGCTGAGCTTGCAGCCCTGCGGTTGGCGATTTTGGCGATGGGGCTACGGAAAACCGAGCCTGTCGCAGCTGCGCTTTTCATGTATCACCTAACCTTCAACACCCAGGAAGGGAAAAAGAGGTTTTTCGTGCTAAAGCTTCTTCTTGTCCCCGTTCTACTGCTGGGACGAGATGATCCTTATCACAAACACAAGAATCAGAGGCTGAAACTGAATGCTGTTCCGTCTGCACACTAGATGCAGATCGGGGTTCTCCTGTTCGCGCGTGCGCAGATGTCTCCATCCGTTCCGTGACCACGTCGTCTACTCCCGTCTCAGCGTTCACGGCACCACCTTCTACTACTACGCCACTTCTTGCCGCACTAACATGATCCTGCGGATGGTAGGTGGCATCAAAAAACTTGCGGATGCGAAAAGTCCGCGGACACAAATCACTGATTTGCAGCACCATAGCGCGCACGAAAGAAGAAATCCTAGAAGAGGACTCACAACTCTCCGACGTCCGGTCCGGTAGTTCTTGACTGGCACGTTTTACTTTTTTCATCCCCACCGACTCGTGCGCGTCGGAAATTTTCAACCCGCAGTTCGACACTATGGGAGTGTCAGGATCGAGATCGAAATCGACAAAATCGACAAAATCGAAAATGCATGAAATGTAGGGCACGCAAGGCCTGTATTGGGAAGCAGGCAATAAATGAGACCAATTGCAAGCCTCTACTTTAGGCGAAGCCGATGTGCTCCTGCCAGAGCAGCATGACAAGAGCAGTCTTCTTTGCCCAAACAGCATGGCAGACTGGATGTTGGTGCAGCGTCCGAAATTTCTCATGCGCCACTTGGAAACTGGGGCTCCAAGTGGTATCGATTTCATGCATCACAAATTATTTCGATTTTGTTGGTTTCGATTCTGACAGTTCCATAGACACGGAGCTGTTCAAAACCTTCACCTTGATCCACTCCGTGTTATCCTGTGCAAAAGCATCGTATTCGTATTGCAATCATGCATTACAATTTTTTTTCTCAACGTAAATCCGCATTACAAATTTCATTTCTCATGCTGAGGGAATTTGTCATGCATTTATACGAGTACGATACTTTTGCAGTTCATACGTGTTTTCTCGCAGCCATATCGCAAGGAAAAATCCCCCTCCCAATAGCGAAAACGAGATTTGTGCTGCTGTATTTGAGTACACAAGTCGACTTGTGTTGCTAGCAGGCTAAGAGACGCAGCTGCTCCACCCTCGTTTGCAGGCAATTGGTCATGCTGTTTCCCGTTTCCAGTTGCTTCCTGTCATGCTCAGGCCGCGAGGCATTCCTACGCCAGCTGCCAGCACCACTGTCCGCATCAGTTCCCTTCTAGCATGACAAAATGAATTGTGTACACAAATCCCGCATCACAGACTTCCATTTTGATATGGGAAGGGGGGACTTGTCCTCTTAATAAGCCACTCCATCCGCGACGTGAACCCTTTTGCGTCGTACTGTATTCCGTTGATCGAAATTTCGCAGTCCTCCGTGAAGTAATCGTGGAACTTCTCCACGTTCTGCGTTTCCAGAATATCGTGGTAAAAATGCTGGAAGTACGTTCTGCTCACACCGGTGTTGTCTTCGTTGGACCACGGATTTTTCTTTTTGCTCATTTCATGATTTGTCGCTACAGTCGTCGCGCTTTTTTTATTCCGGCTTCTGTTTTCTGTCGCAGTGAAATTTCCCTTCCCTATCTCCGCGGAAGCTTTGCGCTTGATCGGATTTTCTTGACGATCATGATGTTCGTCCTGCTTTATTCTCGGTGTAGCTGCGTCATTGGAGGTGATTGTGGAAGGGGCTCCTGCACCGCAGGAGGTAATATCCGGTGCAACAACATCGACAGACGTGGAGGCCGCGGCCGTAGTAAGTACCGCAATCTTGTTACTACTTGCGCTTGCCGTCGGGGGGACAAGACTGGGCATGATTTTTGTCTTGAAAGTGATGTCAGTTGTGGTGGCAGTTAAATGATTCAGATTCTCAAAGGAACTAGTACTGAAGGGCACTGCTTTCGCCTTGATAACCAAGTTGCAGGGGCCGCGCCAGCTGCTTGTGACTACTGGGGAGGAGCAAGGGGACACATTCCAAACCGGCTTTGCGGTGGATGATGGTCGACAACATGCCAAATACGAGTAGGCTGTTCGCGGTTTTGCAAATAGTAGCTCGGGAGAGAGAAAATGCTTTGACGAACAGTAGGAGACTCTACCTGCCGTTGTCATCCAGACGCAGGAGCGAAGGTCAGGTACAGCAACTCAAGAATATAAAATATTTGATCAGATAGAACAGGAACTTCGAGGTCAGCAAGAAAGGAGTATCACCAGTAACGGATACGGAAGCAGTAGAATTCGCAGGTCAAAGAAAAAGTTCCGTAGAAGTTGTCCAAAATGTAGTAAGAGAAAACTGTAGAGCAGCAAAGAGCTAGTGTATGATAGTTCGCCAGACCAATGCATCTTCCGGGTCAAGACGGGTCAGAAATGACCACAGAAAAAACTACACCGACTTTTCGAATTCAGGCACGAACATCTTGATCACTTTCTTTTCGTTCTTTTCCTCGATCTTTGATCAATCGGAAAACAAGAAATCCTCCAATGCCTGATGCACTACCGATCCCATTAGAGAAGTCATTGACTTCTCTTCTCCTACTTGATCTTCATCATGACCTAAGTAAATGGATCTTTGTTATTGTTTATTTTTCAGGCTACCTGCCGGCTGAAGAGCACGCTGCCAGTACTTTCGGTGATCTTCGTACACTGCATATAGAAAGTACCATGTCAGCAAGTCATTTCAACGAGAACTGAAAGAAAAAAGTCGTCTAAGTCCGACTTTGCTGCAACACAGGTAATCTGTTGCAACGAGGCTAGGGCGGAAAAAGGTTGACGGACTTTTCTGGATTGCACCTTGGGGTGGTAGGTATGATTTGCTTTGGTCTCGGTAGGAAATACAGAACGTGATAATTTGCTACAGGTTCATTATTACATTTTTCTGTTTGTTTTTGAAACTTCTAATCGTACAAGGTGCCGTGATGTCGAGGTGTTGACTCGCGTTGGAACATGAGAGACAAGTGCCACTAGTAGCCATAGCCACCGCCACCATCGCCACCATCGCCACCATCGCCACCATCGCCACCGCCACCATCGCCACCATCGCCACCGCCACCATCGCCACCGTCACCATAGCCTCCCGCCGCCTGCGCTTCGCCTGCATTCGCACCCGCAGCCGCTCCCTTTCCGGTCATCTTACCCCTGATAGTGTGCAGTGAGCTCATCCAACGTTAAAGTTTCTTCATGCGAGACATCGTTTTCATCTCCTGTCAGTCATCATGTTGATTTTGATGTGCAAGCGTAAGAACACGTGCACCATCTTCCGACAAATAAAGTAAGAGAGACTACACAGCTACGCGCACCATCCTGAAAGAAAAATTGTCCTCAACACAATGTACGTACTCAAATAGGCAGAAAATTATCTCAATACAGGAAGACCGCACAGCCTCCACAGCAGCACACGACAATGCAGGTAGCCGGAATGCAGATCGCGAGGAAAATCATAGTCACCATCATGAGGTAGTATATGCACAACAAATTTCGTTTTCCCGTACATGATGCACTACATCGCGATGAAGTACAAATGGAATACAGCATTCCATTTGTACAAATGGAATGCAAGTATTCAATACTTGCTGTCCTAATTGCATGACAAACCTGTACTTCCTCGATCTCATTCAGCCTGTTGAAAAGTCGGAATGTAAGTACTGCAGGGCGATGGGAAGTGAATTTGTAAAACAAGTCAGAAGTCACCACTTCGCGTTCGTCAGTGTCTCAGTGTACGGGGGTTGTAACTAAATTTGCATTTTTGCATATACCACGTCATCAGTGCGTTCCCCAAATCGTCCAACGCGTCGCAGAAGTCCTTGCCGTCGTCCTCACCGCCTTCCTCCTCCTCCTCCGAATCGTCCATCGTCATCCCTCATCAAATGCAAATGTGTCTGGGTCTGGAAGGTTTGTCATGCACATTTTGCATGATTCCTGATGTCTACTGTGATGCATGCCCTAGCATCACAGATTTTAGGAGGGCTTCCTGATGCCTATACTGCATGAGAAATGCCCTCTTGCCGTGGCAAAAACCGGACCTCTCTTGCTGTTCATGCAATACAGATTTATTGTAGAAACCAAATCCAGCGTGACAAGTTGCATCCTTCCAGACCCAGACATATTTGCAATGCATATCCCTATGAAGGACGATGGGCAATCTTTGCCAAACTTCTCCTCGGCCGCCTGACAAGCGTCGTCGCAGATGACGCGCGACGAACCGTCCCCTTTGTCTTCCGTGTCGTCACTGCTAAACTGGTACGGCGCCGTGTCACTCGGCTGCAGTGGCGGATCCCAGCAGTTAGCGTAGAACGCGAGGCAGGAATCCTTGCAATCCGCCGAGTCGGAATCCTTCGCCGCCTCCGTGTCGCACTCCTGGTCGACCGTCAGTGGCCCCGCTTCGGCGCCCGTCACATTTCTTGTGATGGTGATCTGTTGTTCCAGAAGTTGCTGGCGTCGGTTGCTCTTGTTTCTGAACGGTTTTTCCTTGTCCCATTTGTGGTGCTGGTACAAATCCCGCATGGTTTTGTACCGGTGGTCCTTTTTGAATTCGAATTTGTCCGAAATCCAGGTTGGAATCAGCCTCGACGCAGTGGTCCCGACGCTGTTGAGAAAGTCTTGAAGCCGATTGATTTTGGAAGTGGGGGTAGAGGGAGAGTTCTGGTGGTTGGATTTAATATTTCTCGCCGCGTCAAACACTCGTGCTCGTTCGTGGGTACTTCGACTGGCCAAATTTAAGCGCGGCCTCTTAATCTCTTACTTTTTTGACGCTGACAGACGTACTTCTTGCGGGACGAAGTCTGGTGTGGTTTGAAGTGGTTCGCGCGCGGCGCGTGAGCGAGTTTTTTCTTTTGACTCGTGGCTGCACATGGCGTAGGGGGCATTTACGCGCGCGCAGCGCGCAAAAATTTTTCTATGACCACCTGGAGAAACAGGGGCGTAGCAGAGGGCTCTCTGGGTCCCAGAAATGTTTGAGGATTTGTGTTGCGGGTGAGGGTTTTTGGCGATCCAGCGTACCGTCGGTTTTCGACGTTAAACACGACGGCACTACAATTCAGAAGGGGGGATCTGCCGAGTTCGTGTAAGTCGATTTCCACTGACACGAACTCCGGAGATGGATTTTCTTTTAGGATGGTCGCGTGTCACTGACACGAGGAAGGTCGAAATCGCGTGTAAGTCGAAATCGACTTACACGAACTCGCCAGTCGGGCGCCCGACTGGCGAGTTCGTGTAAGTCCATTTTCGACTTACACGAACTCGCCGGATCCCCCCTTCCGCGTTGTAGTGCCATCGTTTTTTGCCTCAAACACCGACGGCACGCTGGATTCTAATTTCAGACCTCCAAATCCTGAAATTACAATTAGAATCCAGCATACCACAGGTATTTGAGGCAAAGCCAAGTACTTACTTTGGATTGCTAGGCCCGGCAGTTTTTTAGCTAAAGCCAAGCACTGTGGAGCCTTGGAACCAAAAAGAAAAATTTTGGGCGCTTTTCTGCGTTGCCCTTCCTCCCTTGTCGAGCTGCTCCAGTTTCTCGGCGTTGCTCCTCTCGCTTTGTTACAAAAGTCGTGTCAAAAAAGCACAATTATGAGGCCGCGCGTAAATTAGGATTTTTGAAGTATTTCTGCTGTCGTGAGCAGCGTGCGCCGTCCTGGAGGGTGCTGTGGTGGGCGTTTCTCTCCTACTAATGCGTCGTGCCGAGGACGTGGAAGAAGCAAGCCGTGCGGCCTTTTGTTTCTTTTTCGATCTGCTCGCATGTTTCTCGAGATAAGAGGTCGACAGCGCGCCCAGGTGGTCCAGAAATTCCTTTTTCGACGAGGCAGAGGCACTTGCAGCCTGTGATGGTGCTGGTATTTTGACGTCATCAGCAGTTGGTGAGGTATGGGTATCCGCAGCGACGTGTCGCCGGAGTTGCTTCTGCTTCGCATTTCTACTACTGGAGCTCTTGGACGATGTTGCGACTCCACTTGCTGATGCTGAAGTAGAGCTTCCTTCTTCTAACGCGCGTTGACTAGTGGTGGACGAGACAAGATCTTCTTCCACTTCCCCGACGGAGTTGAGCAGAACTTCGTCCGCAGACGACTGGGTTGTGGGTTTGGATGACTTCGAAGATGATGCGATAGTCCTTGCTCCGAACCAAGCAGCGAGACTGCCGACAAGGAGCCGGGTTGGGCGGCGAGAAGATGTGGATGCCATGTTGCTGTTGTTGTTCGTGATAGAAGAGATACGGAGCGTGATCTGAGCTGAAGCACCTTGGGACTCGTCTACTGTTCTCTACATTTACGCACGTCACAACTTCGCCTTCATGTCTTCTGGATTATATCTTCGCTTAGTATCAATGACAATTGGTAATTCTTGAATTTATTTACTCTGAAGAGACCTACAATCTCGAGTCTCCTTCAAACCCAATACACGCGTCTCAACACGAATAACACCCTCATGCTCGAGTGTCGTTCTGTGAGTGGAGTTGTACATGTCACTCGCCTGCTCTCCTGCACCTCGATCAGACGGCTACCTCTCCTCCAAGCAGACACTAGTGAAACAAGGAGAGCGGGGCCATGCCCGTATGTCACTTCCCACAGGGCAAGTTCGCGACTGCGATTTTTACTGGCGGACAGCGACAACAGAATCGAAAGAAAGAATACGAGGAGTGAGGACACAGCCACAAAGATCGCGCATCAATGCCGCGACCCGACGCGAGGCCAATGCGCATTCTTGAGCGGCCCAGGCGCGGCGCCTGCCTGAGCGCGCAGCTCTTCAGCCGCGCACCCCCTTGAGCAGCAGGAAGCCTCACCAACGGCCAGGCGGGGTGGGGGGGGACACACACTGACCGGCGCCCGCGCCCGCAATTTCGCCAAACAATAAAAACGGGTGGCGACGCGGGCGCAGTTATGCCGGCCATAGTGAGAGAGCGCGCCCGCGGCGCGGCGCGCGAGCGCGAAGCGCCTGATGGCACACAGGCCGAGAGAGACAGACAGAGGCGCGGGCGGCCGGTCGGAGCCGGGGGGGCCGGCCAACAACCCGAGCGCGCCAGCTTCCACGTCCGAAATATTTCTCGCGCGGTGGGCCGTTTTCTTCCCTTCACCACCCGCCCGCCCATCCTCCTCGTCCAGTTCCGCATTTTCAACCGGGGGGAAGAAGAGCTGGATCGTCTTCTCCGCGGCCTCCGGGCCCACTGGTATGAGGGCCGCCAAAGGGGCCAACCTGGCACGCCCAAGCGCCAATAGGAGGCGGGCAACTCTGCGAAAAAAGGGCCGCCAAAGAAGAGGGGGCCCGAAGCAAGGGAAGAGCACAAGGCCCGAAGGGCGGGCAGGGCAAGCCAAGCGAGGCAACGCGTCGCGCGAAGGGTGGGGCGCATCTCACCCGGACGGCTTCGGCCAAGGACCGCCGTGTCGTCTTTGTTTGTCGTTGCAGCCGCGTCGCGAGGCGGAAGCCGACGCGGGCGCGGCTGAAGTTTACAGGCGTCCCGAAGCCGGCGCATTATTGGGCGGCGCAGCTTCTAGCTCGGTGCCGGGTCGGCCGGCCGCCTGCGTCGGTCCTTTCGCATTTCTTTCCTGCCTACAGGGGGGGGGCCAGCAACGCTCAACAAACGAGCAGCGCGGCGCTTAATAACTCTTGGGCGCGCCATTCATACGCGACGGCCTGGAGCTTCTGCATCGCAACAAAAACGGCCGCAAAGCGCTCGAACTTCTGGGCCTAGGTTCTGTGAGAGCGGTGCTCGATGAACTCCGCTCCGTCTCAACTGGGCTAGCACAATCTGCAGCCTCGCCTCACTCTCGCACTCGTTGAGAAAAGTATATATTACGTTTTAGTTCTTTTACTCACTTTCATCAATACCGCGCATTTACTCTCCTCATACTCATCTCGACACAACGCAGCAGGATCATCCACATATCGACGTGACAAGCAGCGTCCAAAACAAGCAGAACCGGAAACAACACCGTGTGCGAACTTCATCTTTTCAGTCGCGCGATGTAGTTTCACGCGTTGTCATTGACGTTGTGAGCGTTGTAGGACTACTAGCATCATTTTTCTTGTCGTTTTTTCATCAACAGCCAGCATTCATCTACAACTTGCCACTTTTTTTATAAGACCTAGTAGCGCCAACAAGAAGACCACCAACATGTAGTCAGGTCGCCAGTTCAATCTTCTCGGCACGTTACTTATGTTCAAATTCATTCGGATTCGGGAACAGCAGGAAAAATACAAACCATCCATGTTCATCGGGGCGAGGTCGACGAGGACATCGACATACGACCACGCGCGGCCCACCGAACTAAAGAATCCCCGCAAACGCGCAATACGGACACTTCCCGTTCGCCCGGACCGTGAAACACCTTTTGTGGAAAACCGCAAGGCAGTTTTCGCACTGATGAAACCCGTTCCAGTAGCACACATGCGCATTGCAGATTCCGCAGTTCGCGTAGTACAGGAGGGGGTTGTCGTTATCGGGGCCAGCAAAGGGGTTGCGTTCTTTGCCTTTGATGGCGGAAAGTTGTAGATCAGGAGAGTTCTTGTGCTGTTGCGATTCTTCTGGCAGCTGCGCGGCTGCGGCATGGCTATCGTCTGCTCCTGGTGTGGTCTCTTCGCGAAGTTGAGAAGAAGTGGTGTCGTCCAGCCCGTCCTCCGTCTCCCCAACCACGCCCTTCCCACCCCAGACTTCCCACCAAGCGCCATTCTGCAGTCCGAATTTCAGCCTTCCGGAGCTAACTTCGTTCTTCGCCAAGTGCTTCAAAATTTCGGCGAACAAGCGTCTGGCGACCTGTAGAATCGACAAACTTTTATCCGACAACCGGGAAATTTCCTCGAGCATGTGCATGGAATAGAAGATCGGCTGCTCCTCGAAGGCGTTCATCGAGCTGGCCCTTGACTGTACGAGAGCCTTGTCGTTCCTCTTTCGCAAAGCAAAAGTAGACATCGCTTCGTTTTTTATTTTCCGCTGCTCGTTTTGTAGTTGATCCATAAACCGCTTCAAATTACTTGGTCGTAAATCACAGCCACAATCCCACTTCAGCCCGACGTCGGCTTGCTCTGCAAGCTTTTGCAATTCCGCGTGGCAGGTTTGCAGTTTCATCTTCGAACCATCAGCTTCAACATCCGAAGGTAGGACATCGAGCTCTGGTAATGTCGGCGCTGGTGCACCAGCTTTTCCAACCCGCAACCCAGGATGGATTTCAACCTTTTGGTAAACATCAAACCCCACAACTTCCTGCAAGTCCCGGAGCAATTCAAAGCCAAACCCGACTTTGGTCAAGCAGCTGTTCAGTTCTTCCCACAGAACCTGCGATCTCGCTGTATTGTCCTCGTCGAAATGCTGGAAATCAGTCATGATGTGGTATTTCAGAGAAAGATTTTCCGTAACCTCGGCGACGTTGGTCATCATAGACTCCGTCGCCTGCAGTAATTGGTCTGCGAAAGATGAACTTTGTTGCGAAGACAAAAACTGGTTGTAATTCGCCGGTAAAATGGAGTCCAGGGTGCTTCTCGGAGCTGGTTGGGGGAGTTCATCCTCTTGTCCTCGTGTGGAGCTTTTTCCTAAATTCACGTCGCTCGTTGTGGTCATGCTCGCCTGGAGCAGATCCTGGTCCGGCTGGGTAACAACAGTTTCTTGCTGCGCATTGCCGAGAGCGAAGCTGCCGTCGTCGGAGGGCAGAGATGCTGTCCCCGGGACGGATAGAAGTTCTTTCGCGATTCTTTCTGCATCCACTTCGGCGTCAGCAACCACAGCTGCATCCTCGTCGCGTGAAAGAGAAAGATCGTGATCCGCAGTGCCGATGCTCCTTAAGGGAGATGATTCGACTGGTGGCATTATCGAGGTCATGCCATCCGTTTTATTGCCTCCTGCGAAAGAGGACCCGCTCGCTGGTTCTTTCTCCTCGTCGACTACAGGGAGCTGCAACACTGGCGGTGGAGGCGGTGGCGGAGGAACTGGAATCACCGCTCTCGGCGGAGACGGTGGCGGCGGTATAGGAACTTGAGTTCTACTCACGGCGCTTGACACGATTTCGCGGCTTTTTTCTCGCTCGAGCACTGAAGCAGCTCCTGGCGCGGCTAATGATCCTGTTGATGCTTTGCCGTCGATCTTGACAATGTTGGATGTATATCCTTCATCTTGAAGATCTTCTTCCCCGGAAAACAGAAACGTATCGAGCATGTCCTGGTGCAACTTGACAACCTCCGGTGAAATTTTGGATTTCGGCTTCGTGCTAGAAGAAGTTCTTGCTTGTGATGTTTCTGCATTATTAAAGTCCTTTATCTTCCTCCCGTCCACCAAACCTGCGTGAAAAACCGCCTCCAGGTACATTTTCGCGACGTAGCAAACCGGTCGCTTTGTGAAATCCCACCTCTCTGCGATGTAGCCGGGTATGACACTGCGGAAAGATTCCTGTTGCGCCTGGTCGGTGGAGGAGCCTGTGATGTTTTGTGATGATACGTCGACCCATGAAAGTCTAGTATGCACTATCACGATAATTTGGGAAGAATGTAGTAGTACTCTACATGGCATTGGCACCTGTTAGAGGATACCCAACATTGAAGCTGAAGTGCCTTGATTCGTGGTCTTCATATATCAGACATGCTTCTTTAGACGTACCCGGGCTCATCTCCAACGGCGATCCAGCCGGCGGTTTGCGAAAACAGTTCTCGCAGAAGATTTGGCCCGTATAGTAGCAAAAATTGTTGTATGGAAGCGTCAGGATTGAAATCGTGGTCAAAGTTGAAATGATTTCTCATGCCTAAATTGCAAGGCATGAAGTGCCTCTCTTGCAGGGACGGCAAGTGAGGTCGACTGTCAGCCTGTTTGGGGTCTGCGGTAGAGCTGCTAAAGTAGCACGACAAAAGACGCCTTCTCTCCCTAAACAGCATGACAAGCTGGATTTAGACGGCGCCGAAATTTCTCATGCACCGCTTGAAAATTGGGCTTCCCACTGGTGTCGATTTTATGCATTGCAAGTTATTTCAACTTTGTCGATTTCAAACCTGACACTCCCATATGTTGCTCGACCGCGTCACGTCCGTTCTGCCGCAGTCTGGGCAGATAACCACCTGCTTCATCTTTTTCACCATAGAGGAGGAAAACACCGTCAAAGTGAAGTCCAACCGCAACGGCGTGTGCAACAGAGGGGCTGACGGGAGGAGCGAAGCGACTAAATCGGCCTCTTTTCTGCCAAACTGCTTCGAAGTGTGAAGAGCGTCGTTGTAGTTGTTTTGGTCTTTACCAGCTGTGAGGGTAGTTTGCGTGTGGGAGGAAGCAGTTCCGTCGTCAAAGTCGCGGACGTTGATTCCAGGACCGCCCGTGGAAGAGGAACTGCGTTGCGTGCCAGAGCCGGCCGTACGATCACGATCACCTGCAGAAGCGGCAGCACCAGCTCTCGTTCTGTTGATCGCCTCGTCAGACTGCTTTAAGCTCATTGTCAGAGACCGCGCGTAATCAAACTCCAAAACGTTCAGTAATTCCGGCGAGGGAATCATATTTCCCGGATCGAGAGGTCCCTCTTGCTGCCCCCGCATGACAGGAGTTAGTTCGCTTGTTCCTACCACTGCAGCCACAACGTCGTGTTCCGTTTCCAGCTGTTGCTTTTTCGCGAACGCCCACAGATCTGAGAGTCCACCGAGCACGTCCAGGGGCTCCTCTTCGCTGACTGCGCCACTAATTCCGGCGTTAGTGGTAGAAGTCGCCACGTCTTCGTGATCGACGGCCATGATTGTTCTAGGCGAAGTTGTAGAGGCCAAAAGCGTCTTGTCGCGCAGAGACAGGTGCTGGTCTTCGTGATCTTCTTGTTGTTGCCTCCGGCGTAGATGCAGAGGCGGCCTCAATTCGACCACTGCCTGGAAAAGAGGTGCTTTCGTTTTCTTATTCAGGAAGGTGAGCGTCAGCAACACGTGATCTTCACGCTGTTGCTTTGAAGTTCTCGTTGTGTTGAGAGGACTTCTAGAAGCATACTCTCCGTTCTTTTCGTGAGGAGAAAACGGCCGCCCTGCCGGATCCAAAGTTCGCAGACGCATCTGCCAAAAATGCGTCTGAAGTTCTTCTTCCTCGCGAATCTTATCCCTTTTCCGGGGAAGCAGGTACGAGAATCTGTTCGCTCCGATGCGCTTGCCATCCCCACTTTCGCCCCCTCTGGTGCTTTCCGACAAGTTCTTCGAGTTCCGCAGGGCCACAGCAAGGCTGTCCCAACTTTGGTTTTTGGTTTGATTCACGGCCCTTGCTTGCAGTGATGTCGGAGACGACTTATGCTGCGGCGCCGAAAGCGGTACAGCCAGTGGCCCGGAAGTCGGCGCAAGAGGAGCATTCTGATTCACATAATCTTCCCGTCCTGAAACCGCAGTGACGATCGATTCGACGCTGTGCGTAGGCTGCAAAGTAGTAGTACCCGCGGTCGTTTCTACTGCTCGTGCTCCCGGTGCATGTTTCTGATTCTGTTGCAGCTCCCCAGTGCTACGTAGCTGTAAGCTGAAGTCCGTCGCATTTCCACGACTGAGTAATGACACAATGTGACTCGCGACACTGGAGGTCGTGTGATCTCGACTTTGCCCGTCGAGTGCAGCTTCATTTGTGCTTGTTCCACCCGCCGCGACGTAGTAAGACCGTCGTCCTCTTGTGGAATAAGCACCAGACTGTCCTGGCGTAGTTCCGTAGTTGTTCCGCCCCGCAGTGGTTTTCCACGACCCAAAAGCTGCCTCTTTCTCGAGCTCCTCCTCGTCGCTGCTGCTGGAAGAGCTGTCACTGGTCAAAACCGTGGTGCCACGTCCACCTACCGTTGCCAGCTTTCCGAAAGCGTACTTCTGCTTCCTCCTCTTCAGTCGCCCGCCCGTCCTTTTCTTTCTTTCTTTCACCAAATGGCCGTGCTTCAGCAAGTACCGCTGGCTGGTCAGCTGTGTGTAGTTGCTGATTCGGTCTTCTTCGTCTACATCCACATCCGGATCGAGTAGCAGGTCGTGAAACGTCTTCGACCGATTTGTGCCGAAGCTTTCCATCACCGCGGGTTGTCCACCGGGGATGGAGATGTTTTGAAGCTTGTCGGTCAGCTGCGTCGTCAATTTTGTCACCTGCTCCTGCATGGCTAGCACTGCTTGCTCCTCCGGAGAGAGCTGCGGTGGTGGTCGTGGTGGAGTTCTTGTTCCTGGTGAAGATGCGGCAGGCGCGTGGTCCGATGTACGACGACCAGGTCGTGTGGGTGATCTAATGACACTGATGTTGGACACTCCTGCTCGTGGTGGGCCGCGTAATAATCCAGATCCGCCACCTCTCTGTTTCGATGGAGATGATCTACTTCCGTTCTTCGAAACACCGTAATATTGGTCGTCTTCATCCCCCGGCAGCGAGGCGTCCCACCAGGTTCTCTCATTCGTCTCCTGAATCATCCCGAGGTCAAACAGACTGTTGCGCATGATAGTCGTAGGTGGAAATTTGATGTAGTTTGTCATGCCAGTCGTCCTAGTACTGGCGACAGTAGAACAGATTGGCTTCCTCCCACATTCTTCTCTTCTGCCATTTCTGAGCAGCAGGAACTGGAACATCCAGTCCCGGTAGGAAGCGCGGGAAGGAAATGATGTGTTAGGATTTTGTCTACGAGCACCTGGCCGCTGTGTTGGTTTTGTCGCGGGCCCACCTGCTCGACGAGCATCAAGAAGAGCCCCACCGGTAGTTCGTGTACTTGGAGAGAGGAACTCAGTCGTTTCTTCTCGCGTCCTCGAGAACTGTGGAAAGTGAAACGCCGGACGACAATCCTGATCGAGCTGCGAGGTGGAGGAAGTAGCAGGGCCGGTGCCGACCAAAACGCCACTGATTGCTCTTCCGTAGTAATTTTTGCTGGTGGAACTACTGTGATGTGCGCGCCAGCCGGTGAAGGATGTAGGCAACATCCCGGCAGGACTAGTGGTCGTGTCTTCATCTTGATCCTCTCCTGTGTCGTCCTTGTCAACGAGTTGTGTTGCTACGTCATGGTCTTCTTGTGCGCCAGCACCTGTAGTTCTTTGCACGACCGCTCCTGGCACACCTTGTCGACCGTCCGGTGTTGGTAACAAGGAGGATGATGTTCCCAGCAAAGCGTACAAATGCGCTGCCAGTGACGGCGAACCTTTCGGCTGGTGCGGATTTGCTGGATTTGATTCGTTTGTGAACGTTCTGCTTCGCGTAGTTTGCACGACTTGGAGTTGCGACGCTGCACTTGTCGTCTGCAGGTATCGCCTCGGAAAATTCTTGTTCCCCTCTTGAAGTAAACCACGACGAGCTGCAAAAGAGCCATGATCCTCTCTGTCCTTCCCGAAAAACGTTCGGTATTGCCAGTTCACCGAGACGAAGCAGGGTCGCTGTACGTGCTCTATCGCCGGCACGAGGGCGGACTGTCCTCGGAAGGGCAGCATGCGAAGGGTTTGGAACAGAATGGGGAGGGGAAGCGGCAGTTGGTGCTGGAGATGAAGCTGCGAAGGTCCTCGGGAGTTTGTCCCGGCAGCAGAAGATAAAAGGTCCGGTGACATCAAGACCTCATCTTGTTCCTCGACAACATCGTGGTGGTCCTCTACTACCGCCGGAGAGGCTGCTCGTCGTGCGCTGGAAGTAGAATCGCCAGCGGCGGCAGTAGTAGCGCTCGGTAATGACGGCGGCGGCGGTGGAGGCGGCGGCGGTGGTGGTGGAGGCGGCGGTGGGGGCGGTGGTGGTGGATTTGGTTGTTGCGCCGGTTGCTCCGCAGTTCCAATTTGCGCAGCATCGGAAGATGGAACCGCAATAGGAATGGCAGCTCCAGCACCAGCTTGTAGGAGCTGTCCTTCCGAAGAACCTCCCGCACTCGGTCCTCGCAGGTCAATGGTAAAGTCCCGTCCTTCGAAAGACGCGTGCGTCGGGCTGGTGTCGACGGGCTCGCTTGGGTTCTTTGGCAGAAGAGGGACAGAAGCGGATGTATTTTTGTCACTCTCCTCTCGATTTTCTACAACTCCTGTTTGAGCTCCTGCAGAAAGAATAGCCTCATCTTTTCCTCCTGCTGTCCCTTCTGTCCCAGCAAAAATATAGTCGTTGGAAAGCACGGCGAAGACGGTCCACGCGGCGATGCTGTGCAGGTTTTCGAAGTCGAAAAACAGTTTTTGGTCTAGGCGACGGAGGGATTCGAAAAGCTGAGAGCGCTGCCGACGGAAATCTTTATCGAAAACCTGAATTGTCTTCCTGTTCATCTTCGCCCCCAGGCCGTGGTCCCGGACAACATCATGATCCGGTGGTAATTCCAAGGCACTGCGCGGTTTCCGCGTCTTATTTCCCTGATCGAGTGCGAGGAAACACAGAGGGGAGAGAAGGTCAAAGACCGAACAAGAGGGAGCTTCAACATGAAGAAGATTATACTGAGGACCTTCAAGTTCATCTTGCTGAGCCTCAACTTCTACAGGTAGCACACCTCTTCCGCGATTTTTGTGTTCTTGCCTCGTTGGCGCGAGGAGCCGCGCCTTAGCACTTCTGCCGAAGCGACCTACTTCATCATCGAACCTTGATCTCGCGAACGCTTCGAGCGTGCCTTGCACCAGATGAAGCAGTAAAACTGGGTGTACATCATCGGACGATCTACCGCCCGTCCGGCTCTGGAGAATCAATCTCCGTGCGTCAGGATACGCCAGAAGAGGGTAACGGCTGGAAATGAACGCGGGGTCAAATAAAGCTGCGGCGGTCCACCTTCGGCCTGGTCTGGCAGCTCTGCTTGAGTTTGCACTTGTTGATGCCGAAAATTTGTCTAAACTTCTCTGGACCAGTCGCAAGAGGCGGATGCAGGCGGGGGACGATATTGCGATACAAGATGTTTGTGTTGTAGCAGGGACGAGAGATCTCCTTGGGAGCTGCAGAGTGTCTGTGCTGTCTTCTCCTTGAGTCGCTTGATTTTGACTTTGTGCATGTTGTTCGTCCTCATGCGAAGTGCCAACGCGCGCTGCTGAAACATCATCGTCAACGATCTCCAGAACCTGCGCCAATTGGTCAAGCAACTCATCCAGGCTTTTCGTGCCATCTTGTTTCGCATGATCCGATTTGTGGAGGGGCCTCTCGTAGAAGTCCTGAGGCTGAAAGGACTCCAAGGACTCGTCTCCTGCGGCGTCCACTCTGGTGCCGCCCGCAGCCTCGGGCTGTCTCGCGTCAGCATCTTCCTGTGCCTGTGGCAGGAGGTGCACGAACTTCTCCTGAAGCTCGAGCGTGCCGCTTTCGGTTTCGACGAAGTGTATGACAGGCACTGGGACGCCACGACCCTCTGGACGACGCTCCTGTCGAGAGGACGATGCTTCTGCAGAGGCTTCCGCTCCTTCAGATCCTGCTCCTGCCACAGCATTCCGGTGGTCTTGATGCTGATCCTCTTGCTCCCAGGGAAGCCGATACGACATCTACATCAAGTGTTACTTACACAGAAGATCTTGTTGCCTCTTACGGTTTGTGCTCAAGTCTGTCTCAGGTCGCGGACGCGGTACGCCGGCCTTAGTGGACTATTGATCTCGACGGCAGTCTTCAACTTCATCCCTCAAAAACAAAATCATGTATGTGCTATAGTGCTTGTTACGCTATTAACCGTAACCGTTGCCTATCACATAAGTAGCTTTCGTACCGGCGCACTCGTACAAAACAAGAGATGTTGACAAAAAACATCACACACATCCACGAGTGTGTACGTCGAGACCGTCCGTTGAGCGGATCTTTCTACTGAACTCTGTAAGTGCTCGCTTCTACTACTCCAACCACCTACTTACTATCTGGACAACACAATGCTCACTTTATCGCAGCCTGCGTCGTTGTCGGAAGTGGATCTCAACTTTTTACTCAAAGGATCTACAGCTTCAGAATCCGAAAAAAAAAGACAGACGTGGATGATCATCTTCAACAGTCTTCATCGAGTGGCTCACATCGTGTGGTCATGATTTGCAGCTCCACTTGTAAAAAGTTGTAGCGGCTTGCAGAAGTACTAGTGCATCGGTTGTGGTACCTACAACGCTGATCTTCCGTCATTCAATGAGTTACTCTGTTAATGCCAGCACGACAGCTGGCTGGTGACTTGACTGCTACCACATCGTCAAAAATGTCGTAGAACAAACAGCTGCTTTTCTCCAAAATGAGAATTATGCGTTTCCTTGGCGTGCTCGTGCTGCGCAGATGGGCATTCTTTCGTGTTGGCGAGTGATGAGTGGCTATGTCACACGACGACCAGTCGTCCTCGAGTTCATTTGATAAACGTGCGAAACATTGAAATTCATCCGTGTCTTTATCAGGTCGTATACATACGCAACCAAAAATCTGGCAGTGGTGAGGCTCCTGGAAAAGCACTCATCATGATGTTTTTCCTCAACTACATCATCAAAATTCTGAATTTGATTTTCTACGCCATCCCCGAGTACCTCGGCACCACAAACCCGGCCCCCGCCTCATTCTCATGCTCATCCCCACTATCATCATCTACATTCACCGCCCTCGAATGCGTCAGCGTCAGTGGGACGACCCCCGGGTGCGTGCGTCCGCCCTGCTGTATTTCTTCACCGGAAGGTGCAGCGCTGAACGGGCCGGTAATTGTTCCTTCGTTTTCATTTACAGTTCCGGCGAAAGTAGAACCCCCATGATTACCCCGCCCACTACTTCCAGTTATGTTGAATCCGTTCTGGTTGCAATTCAGGGCGAGTTCCTCCATTTCCAGCGCTCCAATGTACACATTCGCAGTGACACCTAACGCGATTTTCAAGATCGCGATGGAAAGCAACTCTGCGAGGAAAACGGCGAAACCCAGAACGAACAGCCGAATCGAGTAGGCGATAGCGCCAGCGGAGGAGGGGACGATAGGGACGCCATTCCAAGTGATTGAAGATGTTGTGGTGGTCCAGGCATCATTTATTTTCTCGCTGAGTAAGGTAGTAGAACTCGTGGTCAACATCTGGTGCGCCGGCGGCTCATCAAATCCGCCCTGCTCTGCGGCTAGTTTTATATGGATGTGTCAGAGTTGAAATCGACAAAGTTGAAATAATTTGTCATGCATAAAATGGATGCCAGTTGGAACCCAGTTTCCGAGTGGCGCGTGACAAATTTCGGCGGTCCCTCAATCCAGTTTGTCATGCTGTTTAGGCAAAGAAGAGTGACTTTCTCATGCTACTTCAGCAGCTCGAGCTGTAACCCCAAACAGGCTTACAATCGGCCTCACTTGCCTGCTCTGCAACACACGTGCCTCGGGTCATGCATTTTATGCATTACAAATTATTTCAACTTTGTCGATTTCAAACCTGACGCTTCCATATTTTAGCTGGTTTGCGTAGTACGGCGAGTAGTTGTACTCCTGCTCGGTAGTCAATTCAAGAGTAGTACTGCGAGGACCTTCAGGGCCGTTGGGAACCGTGAAGAAAAGTGGCCGCCTAGATGTAGCACGACTGCCAACGTCGAATAAAAAGTACTCCACGGCGGGAACAACATCCACACTGCTCAGCGCGCGGGAAACCACGCAGACTGCCCACGCGAAAAAGCCCGCGTACACGTTCACCATCGACGCAGCTACCAAATGGCAAAAGGTCCGTCCCTTCTCTTCCCGGGCCAGCAACAGCCACGCGATGCCCTGCAGGGGGCAGACCAGGGGGGTCAGCGGGAAGACGAAGAACCAGGTCAGAAACACGAGCGGGTGAAGTTCGAAAAACGTGTTCGCCAGTAGAATCGTAACCATAGCGTCGGCGAAAATCAGTGCGTACAGAATGAGGATGAGGACGCGCTGCAAAAAGCTGTTGGTCGGCGGGGTTCGGTTTTGGAGGATTAAATGGTGCGGAATTTTCAGCAGCAGATGAAAGTAGTGGAGAAACTGGCAGCGCTTTTTGATGCGGATTGCCGTTTTTTTCAACAGTCGGAGGCACTGGTCGAAGCGAGAAGTTGTGCATGATGTTGGTGGAATATCATGATTAACACCACCGTGGTCGGCACCAACTACATTTGCACCGCCGGCTAAAGGGTCGTGGGTGCCGTCTATCGGGAGATGGTGATGGTGATGATGATGATCCAGCGCAGCAGCTTCACCGTGGTCACCATCGAAGAAATCGGGTTGTGCCGCGCGACCAGCAGCTCCGAAAGTTGTTGGCGAAGAGCTCCTCGGGCCATAACCGCCAGAAAGCTCAAGGTCTGTGCGGAACAATGCACCCGCAGATGAACTAGCTTGGCTCGTCGTCCCGTGAAGATTGCCATAACTGCTGTTCGGAAAGTGCCACGCCTCCTCCCTACCCACACAACTGCCGGCTCTCGGTGTGTTACTCGGGCTGACGTTCGGCGTCGTCGTCATGCTATTCGTGACGCCCGTGTTATTCGCCATAGAACTCCCACCACCGGAGGCAGAGCCACTGCTCCTCCCCGTGAACAGAAGCCCCACCCGCCAGGACTTCTTCTCCGAATCGTGCGGCACGCAAACGACAGAGACGCTGAGGTTTGGATGTGTCAGAGTTGAAATCGACAAAGTTGAAATTGAAATAATTTGTCATGCATAAAATGGATACCAGGTGGAAGCCCAACTTCCAGGCGGCGCATGACAAATTTTCGGAGCACCGGAATCCAATTTGTCACGCTGTTTGGGCACAGAAGCCTGCTTTTGTAATGCTCCTCTAGCAGCTCTGTCCCAGACCCTAAATAGGCTCACAATTTGCCTCACTTGCCATCCCGGCAAGACAGGCACTTCATGCCTTGCATTTTATGCATGGCAAGTCATTTCAACTTTGACAATTTCAATCCTGACAGATCCATATGAGGCCGCCGAATCGTAATCCGTCAGATCTTTGTTCCACCGCGTGTTTCAAGTGGTAGAGTCTTTGCAAGGCTGCACTCCCGTCGCCCCGCATCGACCCCTGCAGGAAAATCACCTGTTCGCGGAGCTTGGTTGTCAAGAGAGCGGAACTGCGAGCGAGGGAGGTGGAAGTCGTTTGACGACTATTTCGAGTCCTCTCGACAGTCCTCGTGCGGTTCCGGGAACTACTGCTACCTCCGGCTGCGAGTACCCGCATACTGACCTCTTCGCTTCTCCCCCGAGAGATCATGTTGGGAACTGCAACTGTCTCAGGCACGGCTGCTAGAGTCGCGACCGTGGGAAGCGGAACTTGGACGTGGCTAGCCCTTGTGTGTTGCTGCATCATGGTACTCGTCCTGCGTGAACTCGTCTGATTTTCTATTTCATGTTGGTGTTGCCCTGCGACATCATAAAGCTGTGCACTACCTTCTGCTCCTGCTTGAGAGGACAGTCGCCGACCGGTTGTTGGTCCTGCGGTGTGTTGCTGTTGACGTCCCCTCGCAACGGTTCTGCGTTTTTCGTGTAGTAGTACGCCGACGTCCCTGGCGACCGCACTGCCGTCAACATCATCCTCAGAAATGATCTGGGAGTAACGCAGATGCGGTCGCTGGCTCGTTGTCGTTGCGCCCGCCCCGCTTGTCGTTGTCATATTTTCCCGTGGGTTGTTCATTTGCAGGTCCTCTACCGGCGTTGCATGATTTGCCGCAGAGGTTCTGGTTGAGCGGAATGCCCCCGAAGGGTTAGATGCTCCTATTACGTGGTCCTCTTTCGAATGCGTTCTTGAGCGGCTAGATAGGCTAGCGCTGTTGGCCGCCCCCGATCTTGTCATCATCGTCGCGCTGCTGGCCTTCACATAGGATAAAACCTCTTGCGGCAGCAATTGTGCGAGATCGTGCTCTCGACCGTGCTCATCTCGGTAGTAGTAGCCGGCTGGTTGTTTTTTGTTAATAGCCGCTACGCCACGACCTCCAGCTGTTACATTCATCCCAGCAAGATGATTTTCCTGCGTAGTTGTACCACCATACCCGCCACTGCTGTTCTCCACGTAGTCGACGCTTCTCATGAGCATTTCGTACTCCCGAAACCCCGTATCCTGAGTAAAAACATCCCCACCCCCGGGTCATCAAGATGGGGATTCTGCAACACAAACCTTGAAGTTTTGGGAGTCACGCATGACAAGTTGCAGGCTGTACCGTAGTGCAGCTTAGCATTAGCAAGGGAAGCCGCATAACAAATCCGTCTCCTCATCCTGTTTACAGCATTACAAGTTCTTCCGAAACACAATGGGACATACCTCTCATGGGGATTCGCATTACAAATGCTTTTGTGCTTGCAAATCTGCATGACAACTCTGGGCTGGGGATGTTTTTACGTAGGATACCCTGCCAAAATTTCTTCCTTCCGAATCGTCCGCGCGCACCGGTTGAACTGATGCAGCACCGGGAGCAGGGCCGCCGAACCACAGACGGACTGCAGTTGAGCGACCATATGGACTGCAAAAATGTCTGGGTCTGAAAGAGTTATGCTGTTTCTGCATGACACAGAAGGTCTGGCATGGAAGCTCTAGCATCACAGGCTTCGAGAAGCTTCCGCAATGCCGAACCCGCATGACAAGTCCCCCATTTTGGTGACAGAAAGTGAGCAGCTTTTAGTTTTACTACCTATGCGTGAGAGATTTTTGTGTGTTCTGAAATGCGCATCACAGGTTCCATCCTTCCTCCAGACCCAGACACTTTTACATTTGATAGACCAACGGATCGGACAATTCCAACGCAAATGGGTTGTCGTAATCCCCGGTCCCTGACGCAAGCAGAATCTTTTGTTCGTTTTGCTTCAATTCCGGCGACCAATCGAACAGAGTTTTCGAGTCGTAGTCGAGAAAATCCAAGTACGCCAGGGACGCGGAGTATCCAGGAAGAAACACCGTTCCCCATCCAATTTGTCATGTTGGAAGGCTAAGGGCAGGGCGTCCCATTCGTTTATAAACTTAAAACGGTAGCCACCTACCCAGCAAACTCTGAGTGGAATAAGCACGGGCAAAGCGATCTCTACCGAGAGACAGTCGCAAGAGCTCCTGGGACGGCTGCGGGATGAGCTTTGTAGCCATCTGAGTAGGGATAACTTTGCCGGCAGACCCACCAGCGCTGAGGGATAAAAGAAAAGTAAAAAAGCGGTAAAGTCATCTACTATGGCACAGTCCGAAATACGAAAAAACCCATCTTAAAAAAGTGAGGCAAGATGTAATGTAGTTGCTTTCATGGCGAGCAGCCCATCCAATTTGTCATGCAAAACATGCACAAAGTCCACTGTTTGCCATGCAAAAAATGGATGGGGATGGGTGTTTTTTCCTGGATACGGAGTAATCGCAACCAAACTTTACTGTGACCGGAATCATGGCGTTTGATGTGCTGCTTGAGGACGGAGGGAGGACATTAGCGGCATTGTAGTCGTTGTTCGATTGGCCTAATAGTACACCACCAGCAGTAGACTGTCTGTCTATCAAGGGCAAGAGATTCGCAAGCAGCAACTCGTCCTCCGCCGAGTTGCCCATTTCCATACTGACAAACTCCAACAGTCTGCAGGCCCGCTCCCGCTTGAACTTCCTCTTGAACCAAGGTAAGAGCGGGGGGTAAAGCGTTTTGATCAAATGCGACAGGCGGATGCGGAATTTTGTGTTGATCCGGGCAGAGAAATTGAAAATCTGCTCATTCAACCGGGCAGAAAACTGATCCCATTTGTTCATCTGGTCGACGTGAAGATACGTGGTTCCGGCGGGGGGTCGTGATGAAGCTGTGGTAATTATCCTGCGGTCTCCGTGGTATAATTGTTCCAGTCGCCACGCATCCTCCCAGTCGTTACTTCCGCTGAAATAGATTCGTTTCACGTGGTATGGTAAGTCATCGGCGTTGAAAAGCAGTCCGCGGACCGCGTCCTCCGGCAATAGTGTGTCGGCCTCATCCTCAACGGGCGTGACTGCAACAGCCGGCGGGTGCTGGTAATTCTGAAGATGATGGTGGTCTATTTGTTGCGATGAGGGTCTGGCCAACATTGCCGAAGTTCTTCCGCTCCTTGACGTTGCGCCCGCTCGTAAAAAAGTACTATTCCCTTCCAAAAGCGGTTGCTCTCTTGTCGAAGAACGACTACGGACGGCGGATGTAGTGCTGGTTACCGAATTGTAGCTGTCGTTCTGGAGCGTCGTGCTGGGACTTCGAAGTTGGAAGTCATTCACATGATCTGCAGCAGGGGAGTTGCTTGTTGAATAGGTCATCATGGCGAAAGAAGAGGAAGCGCCACCCGGAGGGGGCGGCCCCGGACTGGTATACGACCTTGTAGCAGCTGTCAAGAAATTCATTTTGTTCACACCGCCCGCGCCGTCCAAGCTTCCACCAGGACTGTTCTTGTTGTCTTCAGCCGACGAATGTTCTTGTCCGTACGAAATGTTCGCAGCTCCGGTCACATTCATCGGGGGCTTCAAAAATTGTGGACCTCGAGTTTCAACACCTCCGACGAGTCTGGACGAAGAGGATGTTCGTGCGGATGAGGATCTATTCGAGTTTATCTGAGCACCACGACCCTGATTCTCGTTTCCATCTTCCGCGCTCAAAATCGACAAGAAATCGTGGACCTGGTCCAAATTTTCATTCAGCACTCTTGCTGTCGCTGCGTTCGGATCCACCTCCGCCGGGGAGAGGGGGACGGAAATTTGGGACTGTCTTTGCGATGTCGGGACGGAGGAAAAATGGGAGCTTTTGTTGTCACCGGATTCTTTGTCGATGTCCTTGTCTACATGAAGAACTCTGTCTTTTTTTAACCCAGCCGTTGTAGCAGAAACAGAATTATTCGATGCACCAGTTAGTATAATTGTCGCTCCGTTGTCCTGTTCTATGTCGGAAGAAAACCCGCGACTCGACCTCGTCAGGTTACTACCGCTGTCATCATTGTCACCACTGTTCATGCCCGGTCCAGCAGAAGTTCTTGCCGACGTAGAGCTACCCGCCGATGTGCCACCTCTGGCCCCATCCTGTCGATTCCACAACAGCCTCGCCCTGCTCACGCACCAACTGCAACAGAAGACTGCGGAAAGAAGCTCCACTAACTTGCGGAAAAGTGACCGAAATTTGCCACCGACCTGGGTTGTCGTGTGGCAGATGGTGGTGAAAAACTCTTGCAGACACGTCAAGGAGTTTGGAGGTTGTTCTTCTTGCCGAAGATCGCCGCCCGCGAACAATGCTCCTCCTCGCGCAGCACGACGAACATTATGGTGAGCACTGCCACCGGTAATTGCGCCTGGCGGGGAAGTACTAGTAGACGAAAACCCCATCGGTCTCACCTTCACTTCCGCCCACTTTGCCATGCTTAGTCTTTCCATCCCCATTTGGTCGACGTTTCTGTTGTAACCGAACGTCGTCATCATTCTCCCGTTCTTCCGCAACAGGCCTCGCGCGAAAGAGGTGGATGTGGAACCTGCGCCAGAAGTTGTTGCGCCTGAACCCCCGTTGAAAACAGAAACGTTAGACGAATTAGTTCGTGCGATTCTCGGTAAGGAATGAAAATTGCTGGAATACTGCTCTTCAACGTTCGGCGATGTAGTCCCTCGGTTGTTTGCGTTATTGTTTTGCCGGGATCCATCTTTTATAATTTGCTCGTAGTTAATTCCCTCAGCATGGTGCTTGTCGGAGCCACTACTTGACAACTGAGTGGTGGTTTGATCCCCAGCACTACCACTACTTCCTACAAGTGCCTGCTCCATCGAATACGCCAATTGCAACATTTTTCTCCGTCTTTTTCGCCGGTGCTCCTCGCAGGTTAGGGAGATGAGAATGAATAGAACCAACACCACGCCGATGGTTAAGAGCCCGAATATATCCTGAGTAAAAACGTACCCACACCAGAGTCAGGATGGGGATTTTGCAACAGTACCTAGGAGCAGTTTTGTGAGTCACGCATGACAAGTGGCACTCTGCAGTATAGTGCAGGTTAGCAAGTGCAGCCGCGTCACAGATTCGTCTGCTCATCCTGTTCACAGCGTCACAAATTCCAAAACACGATTGGAAATGGCTCTCATGCGGATGCGCATTACAAGTCTTCTTGTCTTTGCAAATCTGCATTACAACTCTGGCGTGGGTACGTTTTTACTCAGGATAGAACAACCCGCCGAAAAACGCCATCGTGTAGCGCCAGGGGTCGATATGACAGTGCACAACCCCCCCTGCTCCCGCGCATTTGTAATATGGCATGAACAGCAGCGCAAGCGACGGCAGAAAAGGGCCTTTCGCATGACAAACACAAATCTGCGTGCAGATTGTAGTACTATTTGACGTTCCAAATTTGTCATGCTAGCAGTGCTTACAAGTAAGGTTTGCGTTTGGAACTTCGCATTTTTACAAATGAGGGGGACGCGGAGTTGTGCACTGTCATAGTCCAGACACTGTGGGTTCGTGTTCAGGTATCGTACGAAAAAAGTGCTTCACTGTAAGGATTTTGCAGGTTTTGCATCACAAGTTTGTTCTACATGACAGATAAAATTTGCCATGCAAGCTTCCTAAGGGAAAACACAGCTAAAAGTCCACTTTCTTGCATGTGCAGCAAGACAAATGCTTCTGTGTTCCATTTTCTGCATCACAAGTTTACAGTGAAACAGTTTTTTCTTGCGATATCAGGGACGGGTAGTTGATCGGGCAGCGGTACGGGCAGGTCGCATTTGGCCAACCGCTAGTGGTCCACTATCCACAAAAAAACAACCAGCATCTTCCCCATCCATTTTTTGCACGACAAATAGTGGAATATACGCACGCTTTGCATGACAAATTGGATGGGGAAGATGGTTCTTTTTTTGTGGATCATATCCACTCAAACTTCTCTACGTTCCGCGGCGTGTCGCACACCAAACAGCTCGCCCCGCCGTTCGACCATTTTCCGCGTTCGCACGGCGTGCAAAACGTGCCAGACAAGCCGGGACTGCACATGCCCAAATGGGAGGCGACACCCCGTTTTCCCTGGATGGACTCCGTGACCGTGTGGACGTGCGGCGGCGGGTTTTCCAAGCAGGAGGGATCAATTGTGCCACCGGAAACGGTAATTTGGATGTTGCGTTCTCTGCTTCTGGTTCTGATGTCCTCGTGAAGCTGCTGCATTAATAAGTGCGTGTCAAGAAAAACTTCAGGAGCATGTACTCCTACTGCGGCGCGACCTCTTGCTCTTCCACCGGGTGAAGGAGCAGCGTATGCATTGCAAAAGTTGTATTGTACTAGTATAAATGGCATCACAAATTTGCTCAGCATGAAAACTGAAACTTGTCATGCTGTTTTACCTTAAGAACAAGACTTGTCATGCATAATTGCAATTAGTACGAGTACGATACTTTTGCACAGGATACAGCGTTGTGCCACCTGATTCCGACCAGACCGCCTCCCCCCGCCCCGGTATGAAAGCCTCAGGTTGGAAATCCTCAAAGTGGAAATAATTTGCAATGCAAAAAGACGACTCCAGTTGAAGCGCCATTTCTAGTCGGCGCATGACTAATTTCCCGGGCACTAAAAGCGTGTCTGTCATGAGAGTTAGGCAAAGGGGTGTCCTTTTCTCGTGCTAATCAGCAGCCCAATTCTGAACCCGTAGCAGCACAATAGTCGGCCTCCGTTGCGTTCTCTGCAATGCAGTCTTTTTGGTGTCGCATTTCATGCATCACAAATTATTTCCACTTTGAGAATTTCCATTCTGAGGCTTTCATACCCGGAAGCGCCCTTCTCCAAACAGGCATTGTTACCTCCCCGCGAGGTCAGCAGGTATGGATTGTAAAAGTGTCTGGGTCTGGAAACTTGTGATGCTGGGTGGCGTATCATGAAAAGGCCATAAGTGCTGGCGCAGCATGCCAAGCTTTTGAGCTTCTTCTAGGTGTTGCCTATTCTGCATGACAAACTGCGTTTCTGCATGACAGCAAAATGGGGCTCTTGTGTAAGTAACGTGCATGACAGATTTAAGAGTCATGCCAGGCAAGCATGACAGACATGCAATCTTCCAGACCCAGATATTTTTGCATTTCATAGCAGCCCCGAGCCGACAATGTCGTCCAGGGTGTGGATCACGATCTGCCCGTATCCTGAGTAAAAATGTCACCACGCCATAGTCAAGATGGGGAATCGGCTAGACAAATCTGTCAGCTTTTGCTGTTGCGCATGACAAGTTTGAACTCGTAGTGTAATCCTGTTTAGCTTCTTCAGCAGCATCGCAGATCTAGCACCTCATGCTGATTCTAGCATCACAAATCCCAAAACACGACTAGAAACTGCTTCTCATGGATCTCCGCATGAGAAACATTTTCAGCATGCAGATTTGCATGACAACTATGGGGTGGGGACGCTTTTACATAGGATAGCCCGCCGCTGCCGCCCCCGCTGGCCCACCCCTGGCCGAAGGCGCCCTCGGACACCATGCCCTTGTTGCCGTCTGTGGAAAGCACCGATTGAAAAAGCGAAATCTTCACGGCATTGACCCAAATCATCCCGCCCCCGGAACTGGGCTTATTGGGCAACCGGTAGAGAAAAGAGCACTGCGTGATGTCGCCGCAGCCGCCCCCGGACGCCGGCGTGGACACGTCCCACCAAATGTTGGAACTTCTGTTGCTGCGTAAGGTTGTTGTTCTGCGGTTGTACAATGAATGTTGCGAGTTGGTAGATGATGATCTCCGCAGGAGTCCGAGTTCTTGTCCATCTTGCACGAGGTGCAGCTGCTGCTCGTGTTCGTAATCATCATCGTGTTTTAAACTTCTGGAAAATAAATCTTCTTGCTGTACTGCATCTTCAGACGGGAAAGTTTTCTCTTTCGTCTTCTCGTCGTAGTCCTCTCCCGGAAGCAAAGAATTTTCTGGCGTTATTTGTTCTTCATCAAGCTGGGATATCAAATCATGGTCCGGCACATCGTACTCCATTCCGGGGCTCGCGACCGGCATGATCCCCTGCGACTTGGCAATCACGCTGTACCCGCCCCGGCCACTGTGGCTCCCCCCGGCGCCCAACAGTTTATCCAGTGCAAATATGTCTGGGTCTGGAAGAGCGCCAGACTTGTCACGCAGGTTCTCCATGAGCCATGAGGTCTGGTATGTAGGACATAGCATGACAGATTCTGTGAGAGTAGCGTCATGCTTATCCTGCATGAGAAACTGCCTCTCGGCTAGGTCAAAAGTGGACAGCTTTTGGCAATCATCCAACACAGATTCTATACATGATTCAGATTCAGCATGACAAGTTGCTTTGTTCTAGACCCAGACACTTTTGCATTTGGTACAGTTCGTCCCGCGACGATGCCCCCCGGCCTATCCTGTGTAAAAACGTCCCCACACCAGAGCTGTCATGCAGATTTGCAATGACAGGAACATTTGTAATGCGCATCGCCAGGAGAGGCATTTTTAGTCGTGTTTTGTAATTTGTAATGCTGTAAACAGGATGAGCAGATCGATTTCTGATGCAGCTGGCCTTGCGAACCTGCACTACACTACGGACTGCAATTTGTGATGCGTGACTCCTAAAACTCCTAGGTTTGTGTTGCAAAATCCCCATCCTGACTCTGGTGTGGGTACGTTTTTACTCAGGATACGGCCGATACCCTCCCCGGCCTGGCAGCCCCGGCCGGTGGTCGACAGAGTCGCCTTCTTCAGCTGCAGTTCGTCGCTGCAGAAGAGCATGGCCTGCGCCTGAATTTTCGATTTTTCGTCCACCGTTACCTTGGGGGAAACGAAAATGCATCCTGTGCAAAATTATCGTACTGGTAGTAATCGCACTTACGCATCACAAATCCACTTGTTGTTCCGCATTACAAATTGAATTTGTAATGCTGAGCCAATTTGTATTGCCATTTATACTAGTACGATACTTTTGCAATGCATAAAATGAAGTCGAAGGGGATTTTCGAGGCGGTGGATAGTTTGGTGCTGACAAAGTCCTTCGCTAGTTGTCGTAGATCTGGTTGCTGGAAATCGTTCGTGTTGTTGCTGGATGTGTACCAGTTTGCGGTGTAGCAGCTGTTGTCCTCCTCGTCCTGTGTTTCGGAAATTTCATCGTGGTCTCTTCTCGCGATCGAGGTCTTTTCCCCTCCGCCTGTAACCATGTAGGAGGTTTTTCTTCCTTTTTCTCCAGCAGGTGCAGGAAATCTAAAAAATCCACGATGCGCTTCTACTGCTTCTCCTTGTTCATTTTCTTCTGCACCCCCGCCATCTGCATCCTCCGGGTGGTCTTCTTGACTGTGAACAACCTGAGAGAAGTGGCCGTAACTTTCTTGCTGTTGTTTGGGAGAAGTTTTTTTCACCTCCTGCTTCCCGCACGGCGTAGTTATCAAATGTAAAAATGTCTGGGTCTGGAAGAATGCGCGATTTGTCATGCATATTTCGGATCACGCAAATGGCGTCTGATGCAGGCAAAAGCATCACAGGTTTTGAGCACGCCTCGTGATGCCTGTCCCGCATGAGGAACTTCCTACCTGCGGACCAAGAAATGAACAGCTTTTGGCGCTCATGCAACACAGGTTTTTGCGTGTTCCAGAATTTGCATCACAAGTTCCAATCCTTCCAGACCCACACATTTTTGCATTTGATAGTAGTCCACATTTCGCAAAAGTCGATGGCGTCGCGGGGAGGGCCGCCACCGGAAGATGAGAAGGGTCTTGAAGAAAACCCTGTCGCAGCAACAGTGGTCTTTGAGGATGTGCTTGTTCTAAGTGTTGTACCTGATGAACGACCTGCTTCCTCTTCATCTTCTTGCTCATCCTGTTGATGATGTGTCTGAAGCAAGACGTCCTGCTGTCGTGAAAGGTCATCGTCATATCTGGTGTCCCGTTCTTGGCGAGAGAGATCTCCAGGCTGGAGGTCGTCTGATCGAGGCCCGTCTTCTTCTTCATGTGCTAGTCTTCGAGGAGTCTGTCGCTGTCCACTGCTTCCACCCCCGCCACTGTCGCAATCGAACCGGTCCCCGCCCGTCCGCAAGTCCGTGTCGTAGTAGTCGGATTTGGCTTCGAACCGGATCTCGTTGGACGAGAAAACGGCGATGACGTCGCAATTCCACGTGTCCGAGGGGTTCAGCAACACCACGCTATTCAAGCTGCGCAGAATATGCATTGCAAAACTAATATCGTACTACTAGTATAAATCGCATTACAAATTTTTCCAGAAAGAGAAATGTAATTTGTAATGCTGATTTTGCTAAGAAACCAGGTTTGTCTTGCATGATTGCAATCAGTACGACTACGATACTTTTGCACAGGATACAGAAACAAGCCCGGCAAAACGTCCGTGTTCAGAAAGCTCGCCACCCGGGCTACCTGCACGCTCAGTTGCGCGACCGCGTCCACTATCCTGTGCAAAAGTACCGTAGTCGTAGTACTTGCAGTTATGCATTACAAATATTTTTCCTAAAGCCAATCAGCATTACAAATTCCATTTGTCCTGCTGAGCTAATTTGTATTGCAATACTACGAGTACGAAACTTTTGCAGTTCATATCCACATAGATCTTCCCCGAACAAAACAGGGAGGTCTCTGGGCCGAGGGTGATCACTGGAGGGGCGAGGGTGGGTGCAACGGCACCGGCAGCATTTTTTTGGGATGAATGAAGTCTACCGCCTCGACCACGTGAAGGAGGTTGTAGCTGTGTACTAGCTGCCGGTCGTGGTTGTGCAGATTCCAAAGAACTTTCTTCTCGACCAGCGCCACGGACTAGAAATGTTGTACGTTTATCTCTATTTTTTCCCGCAGCAGTGTTTGTGTTTGACACCAGCATCTCATCGTAGACGTTGAACAACCCGTGCAGCTATCCAGGCAAAGACACCCATGTCCATCCAATTTGTCATGCAAAACGTGCATAAGTTCGACTACTTGCCGTGCAAAAAATGGATGGGGATGGGCGTTTTTTCCTGGATAGCAGCAGCTGGATGCTGCCCTTTTCGTTCCCGATGATTTCGAACTTGCTGATCCCCCGGAACTCCACTTTTCGCGTGCCGTTCACGAGAATATCACCGACCGAGGATGAATCAGAAAGAGCATGAGCATCTTCAGTGCTGGGCAGCTCCATTAGAAGTTCCCGCCCGTCGCCGGCTGTTGTACTAGTTGCTCTTGCGCCGCTGGTGTTGAAGATCAAGTGTTCTACAGTGAGAAACTTCTGGCTCTCCGACGACGGCGCCTGCCAGTCGAAGGTCAAAGAACCGGGGGGTAGGGTCGGAGAGGGCTCGTTAGATGATGATGTTGAAGTTGAACTACACGGTGGTTGACAATAAGAAGTGGCCGCGCGGCCTAGTTTATGTTCATCTACTTTATCCAGCGTGGTTCTTGACCTTGCATCAACAGGAAGAGCACCACCACCAGCACCAGCACTAGAAGTTGTACTATTTCCCGAAGATGCAGTTGTTCGAAATTCCAGTTTCGCAAACCGCCAGAAAAACGAATCCTTGACCAGAATACTGCCACTAACGCTCTCGATGCGCAAGGACACGCGGCTCCACGCGGCTTCCACCATAGCCTGGTCGAAAATGATCGTGCCGTTAAATTGGAAGGCACAGCTGGTCGGGATGAAAAACGACCTTTGCCCGTCATTGCCGCTGATTCTGCAAATTTTAGTTGTTCTTGCAGCAGGGTTGAAGACATTTTCTTCTCGTCCTCCGGGGGTCGAGGTTGATGGCTGCAAAATGGTAGACGAAAATTGTCGTTGTACTTGCGGCCTTGCTATAGTTGCGTTCGGCGGTGGTGGTGGTGGCGCGTCGCACTCCAACGCGTGTCCGCAGGAGGGGAGGTTGTATCCTGTGCAAAAGTATCGTACTCGTATTGCAGTCATGCATCACAAGTCTTTTTGTTATAGCTAAATCCGCATTACAAGTTTTATTTTTCATGCTGAGAAAATTTGTAATGCATTTATACGAGTACGATACTTTTGCAGTTCATAGGTTGATGTCAGCAGCAATTACATTGTCGACTGCCTGCTCAAACGCAGACGTCAGCAAAATACAGAAGAAGCTAGTGATGGAGAAAGTCATCGCTGCGGCGCCAAGGCCAACTACCCAGCTGCATGCAATTCGGCGACTATACGCGTGGTGCAACATATTGGCCCGATCTGGCACACTTGGCCGCACTGTGGTCTCTGCGACGGTACCACGCTGGTGATTCAGCAAGCCTCCGTGGACGGACGCAAGTGATGCTGATGGCTCGACAGCAAAACAGCTTGTGCATGTGCATGGTGGGTGTTGACTTCTTTGGGGTGCTATGTATTTCTTTTAGACATCAAGAGTAAACCACAACTGCAAATCAAAATCAAAAACAAAATCCTCACGCCTGTAGTAATGCAGGAGTCCGAATGATTTTCATTTTTGGTTTTGTTGGTGAAAGAATACTTCTAGGCGCAAGGAGGTCGAGCAGTTCAAGTTACACGCTCTTGGGGTCCTGCGCAATTTTCAGTTAAGGAGCAGGCTTTCGAAGAAAAAACCAAGTAGCAGCGAGGACTCTTTGCATCAACACCCGGTAAAACTGAAACAAGAACTACATGGCGAAACTTACTGTTACTAGTCCTGTCCTCGGACACTGAAAATGAAAACGTAAAACGTAAGAAATATACAACGCTCTCTCCTCGTCGAGCACGTGCTCAGTAAATTGCAAAGCGTGTTGCTAGAAGGGCTCTGTTTTCGTAGAAGTACTTACGCGATCACAGAGATGACGACAGTTGCAGGCGGTCTTCACTTGCTGCAAGAAAATTGACGACATCATCCCTAGCACCACAGACAAAGTCGTGTTTGTGTCGCTTTTTATCTCAAATAGCATTTTTCCCTCTCGATCAAGGACTGTTTTTCACGCGCACTTGTAAGAACTGAAAGAAACACGAAGCAGGAAAACTACGCAGTTGCTCTAAACAAGACGAAAGAATGGGAGACGAAAAAGGTGGTCACGCTGCCAGGAAGACGCACCACCAGAATTGTATTTTTCAACGAACTTGTACTTGTTCCTCTTTGTAGAAAAACCGAGGAATTTAGCTCCTTTTGCCCCGGTAACAATTCCAGAACCAGCGATTCGTGCGTCCAGACGTTCTAAAAAATGTTCAGCTCTGGCCTTATTGCATCAAGACCCGCTGCGTACCAGTTCCTTTGGATTCGCCTGGAGTGGAGCAATTTCTTGTGCAACATTTGTACTAGTTTGAGTGAACATTCGCCTGAAGCACTCGAACAATCTGCGCAACAAGCGTCGACAACTCTTATCGAGAGACGAAGAAGTGCCCTACTTCCTACTTTTCCTCAGCCGCGCCGGCTTGGTCTAGAATCGTCGTCCCGGGAGGTTGTTCTATCTTCGTCAGCCCCGCTTCCTCGAGCTGCGACAGCGAGCAGTGCTGTACCAAGTGCCGCAGCATGAACGCCTGCGGGTCTTTCGGCTTTTCCTCGGCGAGCTTGGTGCAGAGTGCGGAAAGGTAGCCATCCAGCCCGGTGGTGTCAAACCACTTTTTCGCGTCGTCCTTTTGCTTGGACACCCCCGGTGGGGCGAACGCCCCCCGCAGGCTGTTGCTCATCGAGGTGGTGGTCGCGGTGTTGTTTGCTTGTGAAGAAGATGATGCCATGATGATACAGATTTTTTACTGTCGCAGGAGCTGGCGTTGACGTCGACCTCCTGCTGGGCTTTAATAAGTACTACTACCACACCAGCGGCGCACGCGGAGCCGAGGTGGATTCTGGTACGTAGTTCAGAGATGACAAGAAGACAGCGGTAAAAAATTTGAATTTCATCAATCTTGGCAATATCATACATCACTCGGCACACTCTCACATCACTGACTCGTAAACTAACAACCTACTTGGACAAATGTTAATGAAGTCGAATGCGCTCCCGGTGCTTGCACTTTGTTGAAATATCTATTCAAACTCTACCCTGAGTGGGGGGAACAAGCAACAGAAGGGAATCAGTTGTAACGCGCCACCCATTTCGATTTTTCACAGAGCTGCTGAGATCGGCCGAAATTGATGAAGCCAATACCTACATGGTCACATTTTTTAAGTGGTCCAACAAAGTCTATGTTCATCAGGTTTACGCACGGACCGCCCGTGATCAGAGGGGGCCTGGAAATGCCTCAGGAATGCTCCAGGAATCTGCTCAGAAATGTCCCGACTTTGCATATATCGCCGCGCATCGGAGTCATCGCCGTGGTCGCTTTTATACGTCGCACATCACTGAGGCGCGACACGATGGGCACGCCATAGCAACGGAATGACGGGCCACGGGAATTATCTGCGCCGTCCTGGACGACCTACATTGGGTTGGCGGACCGCCGGCCGGCGCGAAGATTGGGCGCGGGCAATAGATATAGACCCAAAACCACAGACCCGGCGAACCCCCGGGGCGCGCGCCCTACGCCACCACGCTGCAAAACTGAAGCGCATGCCGCTCGCGTCACACGCGTGACACGATGGCGCCACGGTTCGGAAAAACGGGGAGCGCCCCTCGGAGGGTGTTGTGCGCTGGTTAGGACAAAGGTGGTCGCCCAGCGCGCAAAGCTGGTGGCCGGCTGGCAATCCGTGCGACGGCTGGTGGCCGGCTGACAGGGCGCGCATGCGAGCGCGCGGCCCACACAGTGCGGCCCGCCCGTCCGAGCACGCGCCGCGGCCTGCGTCTGTTGCGCGGGCCGTGTTTCCTAGTTTCTTTCTGCGAAAATACAAACCAGCGCGCCGGCGCACCTTTGCTTGTGCGCTTGTAAGAAACACGCCAAGCAGGTTTCCTTGGGGAAAACCGAGAGGGGCCCTGGCTTCTTCCCCCCAATACGATTTTCCTGAAGAAAGAAAAACCGGGCCCAACCCTCCCAAGATCCCCCAATCGGCGGCCTTGCCCTGGGTGCCCAGCTAGGTAGCGCGCCGGGCCAGCGGCCTGCCCCTGCAAAGGCACACACCGGGCCGCCTACCATCAACGCAGTGCGGTAGGTGTCGCCGGCCAAGGTCGCACGCGACAGCTGCGGCACGCGAAGCTTCTACAAACATCCTGAGCCCGGCGGCCGGGCCGGCCGGGCTTCCACAGCCCTACTCTTTACCCGCAAAAACCTGCACAATCTTGCGCCGGACCCTCCGCCCGCCACAGTTCTTCGCCCCTTTGTTCGCTGCGTGCTCACTGGCCGCGCCCAAATCCCGAAGAACTGCCCGAAGCGCCGGCCGCCCATTCCGGCCCCCCTCCGTCGGACCGGCCGACAGTATTCACGTGCCCAGTCTTAGCAATCGGCCTGGGCGTGCTCTGCAGGACATCCACCCGAGACATCAAAAGCGCGAGGAGCGCTCTGGGCCTGCTCTGTAGATCACTCCGCAACTGCTCTGGAGATGCCGCGGCCTTGCAACATAACACCGGAAAAGACGGCAAGACTGCCGCGCCGCGGATCTTCTTCGCAGTTTCGCGGAAATTTTGACCCTTTGCAGCCTTCACGCAAAGGCATCTTTTTCACAGGGGCGGACTCGTTCGCCACGGCGCAACGGCCCGCGCCCGAGATCGATCGAATCAATCTCGGACGGATTTGCCATCGGTTCCCTCACTCTCGGGTCGCTGTGGCGATCGTTATGAACTTGATCCGCGCGGCAATTCTTGCCGAATATATAAGACGAATGAGGGGCATCCTGAAAAGCAAAAAAAAAACCAGCAAGGGCACTGCGAAACCCGCGAAAAAGCAACACCAGAAAAAGCCGAAACGCGGAAAATCGTGGCGCCATTTCAGCTATTGGGGAAAAAATGTCGCGGCTGTTGCATTTTTCTCCTTCAGGAAAAAACCTGAAAGCGTTTGCATTTTTTTCCTTCAGGGAAAAACCTAAAAAAGTTCGCGCGATTTTCTATAACAAAAAAACCAAAAAAGCTGCGCGCGATTTTCTACTACAAAAAAACCAAAAAAGTTGCGCGCGATTTTCTATTACAAAAAAACCCAAAAAGGTGCGCGCGATTTTCTAAAGGCCAGAAATGTGAAAAATCGCCGGCCTGATCGGCCTCATACCATCGGGGAAAGGCAGGAAAAATGGCCCGTCTTCGGTTTTGGTTTTTTTCGAGGGGGGATTCCCGCGCAACTTTTTTGGGTTTTTTTGTAAAAGAAAATCGCGCGCACCTTTTTTGGTTTTTTTGTAGTAGAAAATCGCGCGCAGCTTTTTTGGTTTTTTTGTTATAGAAAATCGCGCGAACTTTTTTAGGTTTTTCCCTGAAGGAAAAAAATGCAAACGCTCTCAGGTTTTTTCCCCAAAGAAAAAAATGCGAAGGCCTCGGCATTTTTCCTCCCTTTACAGAAATGCGGCACCCGGCAGCGCGTGTGGCTTCGCTTTGGCCTTTTTTTTTGCCTACTTTCTTGGCCCGGTCCTTTCAATTTTTTTCGCTTCATTCGCGGTCTTTTTACTACCGTAGCCCGATTCAGATTCACCATGATTCTGATTCTCATTCGCGACGTTTCTGATTCTGATTCACAACATGTGGCCTCCACAAGCCAAATAGCTTACAACGTGTGGCCTCCACAAGCCAAATAGAGTTTTGTTCTACGCAATATCCACAAAGGGCCAGCTGTAATCGGGGCGCTGAAGCTCCTCAGCGCTCATCATCGTCGGACTCTGGGTCTTGGGGCCGCGCTCGCGAACTCCGGCGGCTGCTGCTTCATCCGGCTGCTGGCCGCCGCTCTCGTTGGTGAAGGAGTGCCTAAGTCGTGCCGAGGGAGAGGAGCGGCGCCACACATGGCGCCAGTGGCTGCGCCAGTGAGTTCAGCAGCCCCATTAACTTCATACGTTTCGGCTTTGCCTAGAAGCCGCTGCAACGCCTTCGCCGGCACTTGCATCCAAGCAAGGCCAACACGGCCCGCGCGGGGGCGCCTGCCTGGCTGTCGGCCGGCGGCCGGTCCGGCTGGCAGAAGCCAGGAAGGGCTCGCGGGCTGAGGCAGGCCTTCGCCCCAGGTGAGGTCCAAGACTGCCTTGGATGCCAATCATAGACACACACACGCGGCAGTCCCCTGGGCTTTGGCGGTAGAAGTGGAGGGAAACTGACTGAAGCAATTCTGCTTGCCACCAAACCACCCAAGACCAGCAAGAGACGAGAAAGAACGAAGCCGGGTCCGCCCGTGTCACGCGCGTGACACGGTGGCCCTGTGATCTAGAGAAGCAGGGCAGCATCCCCCTCGCGCCAAGGGGCGCGCCTGCGCGTGCGAAAGCAATGCGCCACGACAATGGGCTGACGAGGCGCCCGGCTGTGGCCAAGCGGCGCCGGCAGGCGGCCAACCAATCAATGGGAGGCCGGCAGTTGGTTGCTTGCCCTCCCGGGTGAGGCCGGCCGTGCCTGCCGCCCACAAGGGAGGAGGGCCAGAATAGCAGTCCGCCGCGCAGAAAGCAAGGCCGGGCCCGTGCCTGGCTGCCACAGAAACAAAGAAAGGAACAGCGGCAAGGCCAGCACACTGCCTTCTTACAGAGGCAGCCCCGCTGAAGGTCCCAACCTGTCAGAGCAGGCACTGAACCGCCGGGGCGGCGGAAATGCAGGGGCAGACGGGGCGCCTGCAATGCTTCGAACCGGGCTGCGGACAAGACGCCGGCGCGCCTGCGACAAAACGAAAGCGGGCACAGATAGGCCCGACACAAGTGTGGCGCTGCGGCACTTCGCGTCCATATATGCAAGGGGAGGCCGGCAAAGGGATAAGGGGCAAACGGGCGGCGCCCGAACGTCAACGCCAGCCGCGGCCCGCATTGCGCGCCACAAAACTGCGCCAAATACGGCAGCGGGCGCCGCGTCTCGAGGAAGCTGCTTTGCGATGGCCCGGCTCGACGCCTTGTGTGCCCCTCTTCCCTGCAACCACAATGAGGGGCGCCGGCGTTGTGGGAATTGCCTCCGCCTTACATTCCCGAGGCCATTTCTGAGACATTTTTAAAGATGGCGGGATCACGGGCGTGGCAGTGCATAACAGGTCCAGCAGCGACAGTGTGTTTCTGTTAACCTTAACTACTCTTCATCAATCAAAGATAGTGAAAAATTCGGTGCAAGTGTGTTTTTTTCAAAACGTTTCCTTTTCGCTCCAGCATTTTGTCGCATGAGATTCTGGTCATTTCGCTGGTGACCCGAGGACCAATAGCTGTACTAGACGTCAACAACGACGTTCCACAGCGGATTCGGTCGAACCCCAACTCGACCAGAACCCGGGCCGCGATCAATTCCTCCAACACCTCACGAATGCCCTGAAACTGCGCGTCGTCGACAACCAAGATCGTTTTCAACGGCTTAGCATGCTGTGCAAAAGTATCGTACTCGTATAAATGCAGGTCTTGCATTACAAATTTCTTTGTCAAGGCAAGTCAGCATTTACAAATTTTATTTGTCACGGTGAGAAAATTTGTAATGCATTTATACGAGTACGATACTTTTGCAGTTCATACTTAGCAAATCTCCGGCAATTCAGGATGTCCTGCTTCGTCTATGAGAGTGCACAAAAACTACGCTCCCTCGTCGTCTTTATTGTTCCCCTGATTCTGATACTGATTTAAAGCGGCGCATAAAAATCACCTGAGGAAAAACGTCGGCAAAGAGGGCCGCTTCACAGCGTCTTCAGAAAGACTAAAAATCCGCCCTGGACAATTCCAGTGTGGTTTTGGCAGGCTGCCACCTCCTGTCATGCAGGATTAATAAGCGAGAAGAGGCAAAAGGAAAGGGTAACGTTATCGTTATTCTTATTGTTTTATCCCTATCTCGCATGAGAAATAAACAGTGACAGAGGGGTACCACGAGCTGTGCACTCTCATATTGTCGTTTCGGAAGAGTGGGACCCGTCCACGTGAATCAGGTCGAACAAAGTGACCTTCGTTCCTCCAATGGACGACATTATCCTGAGAAAGAAAAAACGCATCTTCAGCTAAACAACATATATCCATCTTTCCATAGTTACTCTAATGTTGTCCATGCGGAATCTGCTATACCAGTCGTCTACACGCTTGCGGACTGAATCGACCATGACGAGAGCTCTAGGCATCATCGGCAGCGTAGTCGTTCCCAGCTAGAGGACCAACCGCATCGACAACCCAGGCTGTGGCTGTCCAAGTCGTGCTTTTTAGAGCTGCATGTCAAATGTACCATAGTCAAAAAAACAACTGGAAATTCGCTGCCACGGCGAGCCGAAACCAATAGAGATCATGTGCTCGTGCTAGACATGCAAATCGACATGACGAGCCCGCTATGGATAGAAGTGGTGACCACACTTTTACGTTTTGATTTCTCAGGATAATGGACATGGAGCAGCCAGGTTGGAGGTTACCAGAATCAGCACTGTCAAATCCAAATTGCGGAACGGTGTCCCGTATGAACTGCAAAAGCATCGTACTAGAACTAGTACAAGTAGTAGAAATCGCATTACAAATTTCCTCAGCTTGAGAAAGCAAATTTGTCATGCTGGTTTACCTTAAGAAAAAGATTTGTAATGCAGCAAGACTTGCATTTATACGAGTACGATACTTTTGCAGTGGATATCCCGGCTGTCGCCTTCCACGAGGTGCAAGAAAATATTCTTTTGGAACACCCCGCCGCAGCCTTTGGATGTGGCCGTCGAAGTCAATGCCGATGCAGACGTGGTGGTAGATGTAGATGCTTCTGCTATTGTGGGTTCGCCTGAAGAAGAAGATCTGGTCGCCAAATTCTCCTGCAACTTTTGCTTTTCTTGCTGCGAAACACTTCCAGTTGGACCACAGAAGTATTTCTTCTGCAAAACGTCGAAGCACGGTCTCGTGTAGAGGTGTTCGCACAGATCGAAGGCCAGGTAAACAAACTGAAACTCTTCTTGTTCTTCTTGGCCCCTGGTGTTTCCTTCCTCGTCGTGGTCCACCCGGTTATTCTGCTCGTGGCTTTTTGTCGGTTTATTTGTCCTGTGCTCTGCTTCAGTCACGAGGACGAGGGGGTGGACCTTTTTATTGGTTTGCTCATCTTCATGTTCTGTCACGTCGACATCTACCTCTCCTGGGGCCGCTGCCGCAAGCGCAAGATGAGCGTTTTTGGATGCCGATGCGCAGCGTGGTCGTGCGCCAGCAGTTCCTTGTCTTTCGACTGCAGCAAGCTCACGCACTGCTGCAGTTTGTGCCTCTACTTGTACTTGTTTATGCGACGCATTTATTTCTTTGCCGCCAAGAAGATTATCCGCCGGCGCCGCCTCTTGCGCGCGCATGCTCCACGCGTGGCAGAAGAGCGCGCAGCTGTGCCCGGCATTGAAACCGATTTCCAGCACGGAATTGATCTTGAAGGTCTTACAGGGGCTTGGCGAGCGCTTGGCCGCACCAGCAGCTGCTTCATTTTGATCTTGCCCGTCACTCCTTCCCCCGGACAGTTTCAGAGTGTCTTGGCGGCACAGCTATGAAATGCAAATAAGTATGTCTGGGTCTGGAAGAATGCAAGTTTCTCATGCACGTTTTGCATAAAGCATGATGTCTGTGATGTCTGTCCTAGCATCACAGATTTTCTGTGGGCTTCTTGATGCCTATCCCGCATGACAAATGCTCTGTCCGCGTAGCAAAAATCGGACTTCTCTTGCTCCTCACGCAACACAGATTTTTTCAGAATCCAAATGCAGCATCACAAGTTGCAGCACTCTTCCAGACCCAGACAGATTTGCATTTGATAACAGCTGCCACAGGTTCTCCCGGACAATCGCTACGTTGTTTTCCTTATCCTGTGCAAAAGCATCGTTATCAACTTGTATTGCAAACATGCATCACATGCCAAAAAAAGTGCCAACTTTGTTAAGGTAAAAGCGCACCTCTTTCGTGCTAATTCGAGTCATTTTAGTGCAAAACTGGTCTTGTTAAGTCAAAAAGGACGAAAACGACGAAAATGCGCACGCTGGCTTCACCTAGTTGAGCCTAAAAATTGCACAAATGCGCAAAAAAGCGAAAACTTAGAAGAAAAGTACGCAAATTCATCGAAATAAACACAAAAGCGCAACACTTTGCACACCAACGAAAAACAGCCAAAACCACAGCGACCCGCGTGCCGATGGCAACGAGGTCGCGCTCTTTGTAAAGAAAGAGCGCGTCTCTTTGATGACAATTAGGCTTATTTTGCAGCAGAATTGCTCTTGTTAAGCCAAAAAGCCAAAAACGCGCAACATTCGGGCCGTGGGCTTCACCTAGTTAAGCCTGGAAAGTGCGCAAATGCACCAAAAGACGCAAACTAAGGCAAAAACGCCGGAAAGCCAGCAAAACAAGCAAGAAAGTGCGACCATTTGCACCCACACTAACCACGACAAGCCAAGAACAGACCAAAGCGGGCGCCGGTGTTTTTGCAAAGCGCTGCAGCGCGTTCGCTGGCAATGACTCATGGGTAAAGCCAAAAGGGAAGCAGACGGCGCGGACTTTTTTAGGCCCGAAGTGTGTCGAAAATACTCAAACTCCGCAAAAGTCAGCAAAAAAGGCCCAAAAACAAAGCAAAACGATCGTGGGAAAGCACAAAAACACAGGAAAAGGATCCAAATGCGAGGAAAAACAGCGCAGGCCTGCTCTTGTTAAGTCATAAAGGAAGCCGCAAATGCGACACATGTGGGCCATGGGCTTCACTTAATTAGCCCGAAAAGTGCGAAAATGCGCCAAAAGACGCAAGCTAAGGCAAAAACGTCGCAAAGCCATCGAAATAGCCGAAAAAGTGCAACACTTTGCAAATTCTCCAAAAAGACACAAAAGCGCAACAAGGCGCGCGCCAGCGATTTTGCAGAAGCAAGTCCGCAGAGCGGTGGCGCTATGTATCGCACCCGCCAGGCAAATTCCAGACCGTTTGGCCGCTCTGAGGACCGAAATGCGCCAAAGAACCTTCCAACAGCTTAAAAAGGCGCAAAAGCGCGACAGGGTGCACCAATGAAATACGGCAAAAAGGCGGCGAGAATAACCATCCCCAGGCAGTTTGTTCGTTTTTAGGCCCAAAGAAACGCGCCGAAAAAGCTCCGCGTAGCTCGAAAAGGCGCGAAAGCGCAACAAAATGAGCGAAGTGCGGCAAAAAAGCAGCGAAAAGACATCAAAAAAGGAAGACGAAGGCAGAACAACATGGACAACGTCGCCACTCTTAGCGCAGAACCTTAGCAACTGCGGCGCCTCTCGTGCTTCCTTGGTAAGTCGAGTCTGGCGCTGCAGCGCAAAAAGGATAACAAAGACAAAGCCACAAACTTGCAGAAAAGGACCGAAAGGACTGCCACGCCACTCCTCTGCGCCCGGGCATGGAGAAAGATAAACGCCATGCGGTCAGCGCGCGAAGCGAAAAACATCAGAAAAATGCCCACACCAAGAAGCAGGCCGCTGGCTGACACGCCGAACCGGCCTCCGGGATTGCATTCCATGGAAAGCCAGCGAAGAGCCTAGCTAGGTGCTAATGCAGGGCGCTTACGCGAAACAGTCGCGCCGCTAGCTCTGGAAGCAAAGTGCGAAAAACACAGACAACCGGCGCAGCGTGGTTTGGCCCACAAAAATACGCGGAGGGGGCCGGGAAGTGCACAGACCGGCGCGGGCCAGTGCAAAGAAGTGCGGCAAACATGCTCGAGCTAGTGAAAAACGGCAAAAGCCACTGGCTGCAACACGGAAAACGGCCCGCGACCGTTTGCGCTGGCAGGCACGCTACCAAAAGGCACGGAAAGGCACAAGCGCCGCGGGCTAGACTATGTACTAGCGGGGCGATATTTACTAACGAAAAAATAAAAAAAAGAGCAGCGGCAAAAATTTCGACACAAAAAAGAGCAAAAGGGCGCCAACTGCAGGGGCGGGCTGTTGTTCATGTTCCTGCTGCCATAAAATAGCAAAAACAAAAAGGCACAAAAAAAAGCCCCGGCAAAATAAAGCACAAAGCACCGCGGAGCCGCTCGCCTTAGCTCAGACATGGAAACCCGCGCCACGCGAGCAACAAAAAAACGGAAAACGCCCCAAGGGCGCCCACATCAGCACGCGAGCCCGCGGCGGGGAAAACGAATCGCCTGCCGAGGCTACACTGCACGCAATGGGAGAAAAAGCCGAAGGGGCGGGGTAAAGTCCACAACTCTTCGCGAGCGTGGGGAGGGCGAAGCCCCCCGGCAGCGCAAGCTTGCGCGCGCTGCAAAAATTCAAAAAAAATTATCTTGCAGCTGTTTCAGATACTCACCCAGTCAGGTCTCGGGCTGTGCTCGTTTCAGATCTCTCGGGGAGTACTCGTATTGCAGGCATGCGTTACAAATTTTCTTGCTAAAGTCAAATCCGCATTACAAATTTTATTTCTCATGCTGAGGAAATTTGTAATGCATTTATAGTACGAGTAGGAGTACAATACTTTTGCAATGCATATTCCTGCAGGTAAAAGGCCTTTTTCTTGCGGTCAAAGGTACACAAACAGTTGCCTTCGAGACGCGAGGCGGCAGATGACCACGAGGTGGACGAGTTTGTATTTTTTGGTGTAGATGTCCTGTCATCTACTACCGAAGGTAGTAATTTCCTTACCACCTCGGCGTGGAGGTCCCGAATAACATCGCGGTAGTGCAGGAAATGCTGTAGGTCAAACTCAAATTTGATGGGATTGGGAACAAATAAACGACGAAGAGTTTCCATATCCTCGGCACTAGAAGACGCCGCGGCTTTTGTACACGACGAGCTGCTGGGCGGCTTGTTCATCTGTGTCATTTGCTGCAGCTGCAAAGGTGCTGTTGCATCGCGTTCTTCTTGATGTGGTGCTTTATTCCGTGCTACATGACCTTCTTGCTGCGAGAAGATGCGAAAAGATCCTTCCCTCACGACGTCAGGAGCAAGCGGCGTGGAGGTTCTTCTACTTGTTCCCCATGATCTTTCAGACCAAGTCCAAGATCCTGCTGCTTCGGGTCGTCCTCGTGTGTTGATAGTAGTACATGAATCTGGTGATACTATCGGCCCCCCCGCCGAAAAACTTAAATAGTCACAGGAGCTGCTTCGCTGCGCGCTGGTCCACCTCCTCCTGTTGTCATCCGGCAGCTGGAGCTGGTGTCGTGTCGGAGCAGAAGCGTCCTGCACATTTTGTTTCTTTTGTTTCGAGGCTATATCGCCCTCAAATACAAAGTTTTGCCTCGCACGCCACCGGTTGTAGTCCAGCTGCACCTTTTTTTCTCCTCGTTGTGGTCGACGAGGACGAGGACGTGGTCGTCCCAGTGCGTGTTCATTGGATGGATTTCGTTCCTGCAGAAATAGTTTTTTCCCAGAGCGCCCAGGAAACAAAGGAGAAAATGAAAAGCTAGAAACGGTTCCTCGAAGCCCTTGTCGTTGTTCTTCGAGGAGCTCCAGCGCCGCCTTCGCCCGCAGTCGCTCGAGCTTTCTCGATTTCCGGCTGCTCGACGTTTTAGTTAACAAGGCGCATGTAGAATTTTTAAAGCGGGCCGCCGGTGCCGGTGCGGGCGTCGCTGCGGCTCCTCCACCGCTGCCAGCGCTGGTTGCATCATCTGCATTGCCATAGTTGGAAGGTCGCAATGTAAATTTCTGCCCTTTTATTCCACTCTCATCTCCAGCATTCGGTGCGTCAGGAAAGGTTGTGTTGTGGCTCCGGCTGCTCTGCTGGTGGTACTCATCTTGTCGATGTCGCTCGACGCAGGCTTGCGAATTATATTATGACCATCCACAACTCCCCCACCTAGACCTATTGTCCCTGCCCTCATTTGCAATGCAAAATTCCAAATCCAGGCACTGCACTGCGCTGCCTTGTGGCTCTCTTTGCATGACATTGACAGCGTTTATTCCACCATCTTATTTATTTTGTATCGCTGTTCATCAATCATGCCAACATAAAAATGAGGGCGAGAAAGCGGAGAAGCAATGCTACTCATTTTGCATTCTCGTAGCTGCGAAGCGCGTGTCCACTCTCGTTGCTGATGACTGGCACTTCCTTCCGCCCGACATCTTCTTTCCGGCACGGGAAGGAGCCGGAGAAGTTGGGTGGCTGGTGGTGCCAAGTACTTCTGCTCATCTTCTTCGACTGGTGAGGACATAGTTGCTATCATACTTCTGCTTTTGCAATGCAAATGCTCACAGTGGTCCTTGTAGTATTGCATGTAACTGTTCTCGTACGACTACGAACGAGCAATAGTTCTCATAGAGCCTTTTAGATCTTAGGAATAGGAACAATAAAATCTATCACCATCGGAAAGAGCATCTAGCTGCTTCTTGATTCAATTTTCTACTTCTATTGAACTTTGTCAATGAATTTTGAACATACAAAATACACGAGGAATTGATGAGAGGTGCCCTATTTCATCTCGTCGCCGTGGTTCTGTTGAGATAGAAGTAGCATGAACGACGATTAGGGCCTTGAACCTTTGATGCCAAGCCCGGGCACGAACAGAAAGAAAGAAAGAAAGAAAGGTATAGAACTTTAAACTTTGTTGCTACAACAAAAACATCAAGCGAGGACATGGACAGCTGTATGAAAATATAAATAAGCGATCGACTTGTCATATCTTACTTAGTCTTGTTCTGGACCTGCATGATCTGAGCGCAGCAAGAACTCCTGGTCTGTTACTGTTTGGAAAACAAGCGCAGGATCCATATATAAACAAACGCCACCAGCACACAGATGGTCGGGAGTTGTAGGGAAAAATAAAACAGTTCTTCGATTCATAGTTCTTCGATTCATAGTTCTTGTGCTACGTATCTCGTCGCGTCTCCATTACTATTGGAATTGGTCATCTTGCTTTTGCAGTTATACTGCTAGTACGTTTATTGGGCTTGACGTCGTCGTGATAGTGCTGAAAGTAGTTGTACTCGAAAACATTAACAATTCACTTGCTAGCTGTAAATAAATTATCATGATGATCCTAATCACAATAAGTCATGCCACTTGGTTTGCTAGTTCTAGTGCCGATGAAAGAACGTAAGATGAGTTTAGGCGAAATCGATAAAATCATGCGAAACATTAGAAATGCAACGTGAAGGAAAAAAAAAAAGGCGGGAAAAAAAAATATACTTTGGACAATCGAAAACAAACTGAAATATTCCGGAGGGCAGTCAGCGAACATCATTCGCTGAGCTTTAAGCTTACTCTAAAAAGTAACTCGACTCTCGGGGATTTGCTTTGAAGTTAGCTACTTAAGAAGCAAATCCGCGAGGGTCGAAAATGTAGTCGGGAATCAGTGGGTGACGTCCGACACACAAAGAAAAAAAGCATGGCAACGAACAAAAAAAAAAACAAAAATGAAACAGAAAACCGACTCGGTTCCGTAACTGTGGATCGTGCAACGCATGAGAACACCAGGAAGCTCACCAGCGACGGAGTGCCACGCACTCCAAAAACAAAGTATATCATTTGCTAGCAGATAGGCAGCAAGCACAAGGCTTGAGCCAGGCACAGGCAGAATTAGTTCAGGAGAGGTCTCCGTGCATTCACGTCATCATGTTATTAGCTAGACCCTTTTCACGTAGCTACGACCCTACTTAACGAAGTAACTACTTGGTTGCTCTACGAGCACAGTCAACACACGACACGAAACCGAATTCCCGTTGTGGAATTAACAAAAAGGGGAAAAAGAAGGAAAAAAAGGGAACAAAATGAAAAAAAAAAGAACATAAAAGCTGAGCACCTAAGTAATACAATCGTCTGCGTTCCACTTCCGCCTGCTTCTCGCGCTATTCGAATATTACAAATACAACGTTGCTACTGCTGCCTTGGCTTGGAGCTGAGAAAAAGAGAGGCATTAAACTTGCTTATGCTTCCATCAATTAAACCGCTACTTTTTGTTTTCCCACAGCTTGAAAAGCTGACCTTGTTCTCTCGGTTAACAACCGAAGCAGGTAGCTGCTGAGACATTTCGCTTGTTTTGTAAAGAAACCCGAAAAGTTGAAAGCTCGCTCGAGCAAAAGCCTTCTCCGAGCTCTGAAAGCAAAAAAGAAAAACTGAAATAAAGATACCAAACAAGAAACTAGAACTACAAAAGCGAAAAACATCTATGTTAGTCGAGCGCTGTTGACGCTAGAATACAAAAAACAAAAAATAAAAAAAGGACGCTTTGAAAAAATAACCTTTTTAATTGGCATTGAAAGGCTACTCACTTATGGTGTACTTATCTGCGACGATGAAAGAGGATGACGGACCCGAATTCAAATACACTTGCTGGAGGCAAAAAACAACCGAAGAGAAACTTACCTATTCTTCAGACATCACCTACCTAGTGCGTTACTTTTGGTTCTGTTTCCTCGCTGCAACTACTATGACAAAGACTACCTTAAAGCTAAACATGAAAATAAAACAAAACAGAAAATGGGACTTCGACTTTTTAATTTTTGTGAGACGATAGTTGAAAAAAATCATGCTTGAGAGCCCATTTATAGATAGGAGACGAAATAAAACAAGTATCTGGATGCAAAAGCCAAACAGAGTAAGTGTGCTTTGACCGTCGACCACAGATAGAGTAGAACCGTGGGCGACAAGAACGAATAGGACTTCTTTTAGCATTTCCACTTGCACTTCGTCTTCGTTGTAAAGTAAGTACTTTACAGCTCATTCTTGCTGAAACATCACATGCAAATGGTCTCGGGCATGGATCCAAAATCTAAATCAGCACACCATGATCTACATTTTTCTGCAACAAAATTTCCGATTCCGCGGTTTTTGCCTTACTTTACGCCTTGCCTTTGCCTTGTTTCGCGTCGCCCGGCGTTAGGGACTAGGCATTGCAGTTGGCAGGGGACCGAGGGAACTTTTAGGCGGACGCATATTTGCATATGTGACATCTTCTTCAGTGCATGTTGATCTACTACCGTCGCCCCCGCGGCTTTGGATTTTCCACACTCCGCCTGCCTTTTCATCGAAATGAAACATGCAGCCCAGCACCAGTTTTCTCTTCGGGTATCCGTTGCTAGCGTCGATTTCGGTCGTGACTTGGAACTGGAACCTTTCGAACTTGAACAAGGTCAATATGAATGAGAAAAAAGCGCTACAGTTACATCCTGTATTTTTGCAGAACCGGCGAGGACCCCTGGCGCCATGCGCAAAATGCTTCGCGAGTCTCGCTTTGTACCTGTTTCCATCAATTATGATCTCCGCGTTGCAAGTTTTTTGTCATGCAGAGCATGTTTTACGATGCGTTGCAGAACAGGATTTTATGGTAAATGAAAATGCAGTGTACTAACTGTAGCACTTTTTCCTTGGGATAGACAACGCGCCATCATCAATGCGCCATGTCTTCTTATTGCCTAGTTTCTTCTTCCACTTCTTGCCATTGATCGTTCTTAGCGTGTCCTGCCTCTTCTTTTTTTCTTCCAGCAAAGCGTTCAACTTTTCCTCAATTTCCATGCTATGGAAGCGCCAGACTGGAGAAATCGACAGAGTTGAGCTAGCTTGTAACGCTAATGCATGGGGATCTTCATAATGATCAAAAATTGAAATTGAAATTTTCCGTATGTATGCGAGGTGGCCTCGCATAATTTGTCAAATACAAATTATGTTTATGCAAAGCGCAATTTATGAGCGATGTATCCCTTGTACTACAGATGGCAACATCAAGTGAGGGGGATAATTGTAGAAGACTGTGGTGCCTATCATGCAGCCTGGAGCCAGAAAAACAGCTACTAAAGTCGCACGAGCAACAAGACAGTCGAGATCTTAATCTTCTTTGCCCAAGCAGTGCGATCCAAAATTTGCCATGCCCCGCTTAGAGCTTTGGCAGGCTCCAGCTCGCAGCTCGTGGCGTCGAGTTTACAACTATGAATACTATGCATCGCGCAAAATCGTTTCAACTTTGTCGACTTTTTCCAATCTGACACTCCGATACTTGTTGGGACCAAAATTGAAGAATGGAAAGTATTTAAATTTGCGGCGGCCTTTAGATTCACTGCTCACCGCGGAATCCCCCAATGCGTCGGAGTGGGACGACGCGGCCACTGCGTTGGCTATAGCTTCCGCGGTTTGCTTTGCCGTTTCAAGTTCCAAAAGCGCAAGTTCCTTTTCTAGCGCGCCGGAAAGCTCGGTGAACAGTTTCACACTGCACGGAGAACTCATGCTACTGAAACTATTCCGGACTTTGGCATGATTGCCGCCGCGGTGCGAGTCATCTTCGACAATGAGCGCAACCCATTTTCGCACTCCTAGCAGCGGGCGCAACACGTCGCGGTAGACGCTAGGAGGAATGTGGTGAAAAAACGCAAGCTTCACCTCGTTCTCATAGTGCGCAGCCAGATCCCGGCCTTCCGCCGCAGCCTTTTTGTCAGCATCCCGTACCTTCTTCCCAGCGAACCATCCCGCTTGGCGTTCGGGATTGCGCACCTCGTCATGAACTCGTTTTGCCTCTTCCGCGAGCTCGTGGCTTTGGTACTTGTCGTAAACCCGCATCTCGCACGGTTGGGCCCCACTTGGGGCCATGCACGAGGCAACATGCAAAACGTACAGACGGACAGCTCCCGGAGGTAGTATGCACTGCCAACATGTCTGGGTCTGGATACTTGAGACGCTGAACTCCGGATCATTCAAGTTGAACCGGATCCAGGTCGTGCTGCCATGCATGACAAGTTTATAGCGCGCTTGCTTGTGCGTAGAAGAAGCTAGCAGTACGCGGTGTACGCAAACGCATCTAAAATCTTGATCCTCATGATCACCAATCTAATAGACTACTCAATGCCAAGAGTTGCCGCGTCCCTGGGGGTAGTGAGGACACAATGGCTTTTTCGACTGTCAGCCCCCGACGCGTTGCCCTGCATGGCGTCGGGGGCGGTAGATAGATATCGCGGCCACAAGTCGCCCGCTTCCAGTCAGCCTGCATAGCCAGAAGGCCTTCCCACATGCCATGATGGCCCCGCTAGGGCCTCCGCGAGGGTCGGCCCCTTGGGCGCCCCAAATCGGGCCCGTAGCATCCGGATTAGCTTGCTGCCAGTGGCGGCATTTGCGTTCTTTGGTTTTTTTCTGTTGAAAAATCACGCCTCCGCTCCTTTCAGAGACGAAACGCTTTCCCGCACGGTACGGCCCCGCCAGGGGCTCCACCAGGGCCGACCTTATGGGCACCCAAAATCGGGGCCATAACATGCGGCATGGCTTTCACCTTTTCGCGGACTTTGCTTTCGCGCCCCAAATCGGCTGAATTAGGTGCGCGGGTCGCCCCAGAAGGGCGCCACTTTTGCCAGCTCCCCTGCGTCGTTTTATCCATCGATTGGAAGTCGATAGAATTCGACCGGGCTTGTTTGTTGGCAACGCCCCGACCGATTGATAAATCAAAACTCTTTGCGTTCAAAAACACTTCCGGCCGATTGAAAAACGCCGGCCGTTTTTCTCGGTAAATGTCAAAAAAACTCCCCGGCTAGAGCCGTCCGGTGACCTCACTACAGTACATACACACTGCGTTTTTGCATGGCGAATCGGGCGCCACTTTTGTTCTTGGTCATGCAACACAGAACATGATCAAGATTTTGCAGAAATGCAAAACAAGCTTCAGCGGTCCCGCTTTCCCAGAGGACCCAGATATCAATCTTTGCAATGGATAGGCAGAAGAGTCGCGTCATCCTGCTCCGCGAGAGGTCTTCGAGAACCCTCGCGCGAAGTAGAATCAACTTCGGACCACAGAGCTCTGGGGCAGTTCTTCGCGGTCTCGAACGAAACCCAACGACAGGGGCAAGTCGCTGCTTGTGCTTTTGTTGCTTCTGGACTCTGGTTTGGAGATGTTGACCCTCTCAGGGCACGACAGGTTGCGCTGGCGCCAGGGTCCAGGAGTTGTTCCACTGAGCACTGCGCAGGCTTCTGATCGATTTGCAAGTAGGCTCGCCGAAAAAAGTCGAAGCTGACCAGCAAGTTCTGAAAAAATCTCAGGTCGAAGAGCTCGTTCAACTTTGGAACCACCAAGTCGGTGAGCACATTCTCGATCTGCGCGAACACTTGCGGCTTATCAAGTATCGACTGTGCGGGGAGCAACTGATCCAGGACATCCACTACGCCCAGCGTCAGTGTTACGAGCGGCCACACGTCGACCAGCCCGCCCTTGCCGCGAACATCCAGCACTGTTCTGCGATCGTCGCTTCTCGTCCCTCGGCTCTGCCCGTCCAAGGTCAAGCTCAGTTGCCTTTTGAGCTCGCGCATCAAGTGTAAATATGTTGTCTGGGTCTGGAACAAAGTAAACGCATATCTAGTTCTTTGTGATGCTTGCTGGCTAGCAAGTCTCTCATGCACGCTGCCAAAAAGCTACTTCTTCATTTTTTTGTCACGAAAAAAGCAGTTTGCAGCTATGGCGCTCGTCATGCAGAAACTTCTGAATGGAAAGCAACAATACTCAAACACAACTTCAACTAGGATTGTCCGTCAGTTTTTGGTTGCGCCGTCGCCGTCCTCATGATTCCTGAACCAGCAATAAAAAGAGAATTTCATTCCAGACCCACACTTCTTCGTTGCACTCCTTAACACGTTCACCGCCGAAAATGTCACGCTGCACCATTTCCGGAAGGCGGTGCAGCCGTTGGCTCGAGCCCTGCTGCTTTTGAGGGTGCTTCAACTTGAAAATTCCTTGCTGCTGTTTTTCAGTCGTCTCAACTTCTGATGTATCAGATGCAAACATGTCTGGGTCTGGAAGGAAGATGCAAGGCTTGCCATGCACCTTTTGCATGACTCCTGACGTCTGTGAGGCATGCCCTAGCATCACAGAATTTGCGACGGCTACTTCCTGATGCCTATACCACATGAGAAATGCCATTCCGCGTTGCAAAAACTGGACTCCACATCCTGCTCATGCAATACAATTTTTTTCAGAATCCAAAACCAGGAGCACAAGTTACATCCTCATCCCTCCAGGCCCAGGCATATTTGCAATGCATATCCTGACAGTCTTGGGTCGGTAATCCGCACAAACACACCCGACAAAACCGCTTCGACCAGGTTTTCTACCGTATGCATTGCAAATGTGTCTGGGTCTGGAAACTTGTGACGCTAGTTTGTGAAGAACGGTGGGCGCATTGCAGCGAGCATCCAGCCACGCGTGACAAGTTTTGGAGCTCCTGTGTATTTCGCTTTGCGCATGACAAACTGCATATTTGCATGACAGAAAAAAGGAAAAGCTGCCAGCCTTTATTTTTCCTGCTCATGCATTACAGATTTAAGAATCATCATCATGTGAGATGACAAGCATGACAAACTTGGACTTGCATTCTTCCAAACCCAGACACATTTGCAATTCATATACCGTGCCGCCCATCAGTCCAATAGCTTCCTCCACCTTTCTCTGCACGAAACCCTTCTCGTTGTCATCTCTACCCTTGTCCGGCGTCAGCCGGTCTTCTACTGCACCGGACAGCTTGTTTTCGCCGTAAGAAACAAGTGCCGCCACGTTAAGAGGCATATTGCAATGAAAAATGCCCCCTCCCCATATCAAAGCGGAAATCTGTGATGCAGATTTGTGGTCACAAATCAGCTTTGTGATGCTAGAAGGCAAAAGATGCGGACTGTAGTGCTGTCTAGGGTGGCAAAGCCTTGCAGCTCCGGGATGACAGGAGGCAACTGGAAGTGGGAAACAGCATGACAGATTACCTGCAATTTAGGCCGCAGCTTCGTCTCTTGGCCTTCTAGCAATACCAGTCGATTTGTGTACTCAAATACAGCATCACAAATTCGCGCATCTTCCGTTTCCGACATGGGGTGGGGGCTTTTTTCACTTTGATACGGCAAAATTGACACCCTGGGATTCCCGTCAGCATCTTTCTCCGAATACCCGCGCGCGCTTATCAAAATGAAAAATCCCCCCTCCCCATCTCAAAACGGAAATTTGTGATGCTGATTTGTGCCCACAAATCTGCTTTGTATTGCAGAGAGGCACTGCAGCCAGACCCCCAGGCTAGCTAGGGGCGTATGGGTCTAGTAGTTCAGCATGGCAAACGGCCCCCCTTTAGGCCCAACAGCATGACAAATCGCTCCCATAATGGAAATGGGTTGGAAGCTTCTGCCCGTGTCTTCTTGCAAGACAGATGTGATTTGTGACCTCAAATCCGCAACACGACAAATTTTTGGAAACATACCTTTTCAATATGGGGAGGGGGGATTTTTCCTCTCAATATCGCTAATCAAGCGCTGTGCTTCGGCAGCAGAGTTGAGGAGTTTGCTTGGGGTATCGACATTAAAGACGGCTTGCAAAATTTCCGTCTTGATGTCGTCGGCTTGCAAAAAGGAAGTTGATTTGATGACTCTCGTCGACGCCGGGCACAGCGTTAGCATTTGCTTAGAGTTCTTCGGACCGCAACCCGCCTCCACGACGATTTTTTCGGCCTGCTCATGTGCTGCCCCCTTTGTGTTTTTCCCACTGCCTGCTTTGCCCTTTTTTTGTTGAGATCGCAGCTCCAACTTCGTCTCTTGCGCAGAAATTATTTTGTCTGTTTTCTTTTGCAGCTTTTTGCGCATGATTTTCTCCTGCTCAGCAAACTCCCGCGCCAAGAACTCGTTCAGTTTGTTCGGGTAGTTGCCCCGGTTCTTGGCCTATCAAATGTAAAAATGTCTGGGCCTGGAAGATTCTGAGACTTGGTTGGTTGGTTGGTTGGTTGGATAGCGCCTGTCGCCGGTGCAGGTCCCGCCCTCCATCGATTGCGATCTTCCGGAGTAGCCGGAACACAAGGCCCTAGTGGCACAATCGATGGACGAAGCCCGTTATAACCAGGCCACGGACATTATAACCCGCTCAGGAATTAACTTCAGCACTATTTTTAAAAAAAAGTAGCTACTATTTTTTGAAGAATGTTCATTTAAAATACGTAGTTCAAAACCCACACATTAAACTAGCTAGTTAGAAGGTCGCCCAGGTCCTTTGCGGATGCGTCCCTAAACGCTAAATCCACCGGCGGTACGGCGAAGGTGCTGATGCGGCAAGTGGAGCTGTGCTGCGCGAAGATGAAAGGAAAAAAAGCTGTGGCTGTGCTGCTATGATGTGACTTCGAGTTGTTACGTTTTGAAAAACTGAGTATGTGGAAGGTGTGCTGTGTGTAGATAGTAGTCTTGACGTCGGATTTAAAGAAATAGAAAAAAGGCGCGAACGTCTTGATCATAAAGAAGAAAAATAGCACTGCAAAGGTTGCAACTCTAACACTGCGCGCAAGAAAGCTCTATTTTTTGGGTGTTCTCTTCGATCTAAAGCGTACCCGTGAGGACTTTGGGTCGTCTACATACACCACCACAGACATGCTTTTTCAATGTCATAGATTGTCTGTTCGATCTCGTCGTGCCTCGTCTCGTTGATTTTGGGTCAAGTCGGTTCTTTCGTTTTGGTTTTTGCTTTTGTGCTGATTGACTGCTTGGATTTAGGAAAAGAAACTACTTTTAAACGAGTGACTGAAGCAAAATAATATCAATCGCGGAACAAAAGATGCGTGCTGTTATGGCTCCTCCGGCTGGCGGTGTGCCAACGCAAATCCAGGTCCGGCGCTGGACCGCCAACCAAAAAGCGATGGTGAAGCAGATGATCCAAGAAGAAGAGGATCGCATGGCCCAGGTGCAACAAGGAATCACCCCGATCGAGGCCATCTCGAAGCAGCCGTTCACCGGAGCCACCCAGCGTATATGCTTATTCTTTATTATGTTTTGGTGAGTAGTACGTGACTTGATGCGTTGCATGACAAATTATGCGTTTTTGGATTGACAAAATTTAGAAGTGTAGTATTTGTTTTTAACATCACAGAACTGGTCCACTTGTTGCCCAACCAGTGCCACAACACGATGAGCTGCTGTTGTGAGCAGCCGCTGGACGATGTCACCGAGGCCATCACCTGCCGGTCCCAGTGGTGTCAGTTCGTCTTTCTCTGCGGACTGTCGCCGTACATGGTATTGCGTCTTACACTTTTACTTGCTGCATGACAGTGGTCCATATGGTATGCACAACGTTGCTTGTCATGCGCGATCAGTGCAAAAGTTATTCATTTTATTTTCTAAATTTAAAAAAAAGGTGTTTTCCGTGGCCCCGATCCAAGGATTTCGGTGCGAGTACGGGTTGGCCCTGTTCATGATCTTATGCTGATGAAACTCCTCGTCTAAAAGGATACTAGCATCACATCCTTTGTTCTTTATGCAGATCTGCGTCGTGGATTCAAAAAAACAGCGTTTAGTCAAGGAGTTTATCAGCATAATTTCGGAAAATTGGAAAGGAAAAGATGACGACGGTCATATGGTCTGAAAATCTCGAGTCAGTACTGCACTTGTTCGCAGTCAGTTGCTGCGCATGTTGTAGCATATGAATGCTAGCGTTTTCACCTTTCTAACAAGTGCCTAACTAGTAGCAAAATGCTGATCTCTGGGTGTGTATTGACTCGCGATTTTCGTATGGATATCAGTACACGCAGGTCCAGGGGCCGAACATCACCTCGCAGTTCTTTCCCACGGGTTCCTCCGACATCCACATCAAACCCATGATGCCGATGATGCAGTCTGGTGCCTCCACTCCGCAGGGGATGCTCGCGCTGATGAACGGCGGAATGACCCCGACGGGATTTGGTTGTCAAACTCCGATGGCGAACATGTTGATGAACAGCGGGATGTCCGCCGCCGGCAGTGGTGCCATTACCCCGTCGCCGGTGCAACAGTTGAACTTCACCCCGAGCCACCAGCCGAACCCCATGATGAACGGCATGCTGAGTATGTCCGCGCCCACCATCCCGGCGTCCACAGTACTATCTGATTGGAATTTAATTTTTTTATGTTTATTGTGTAGCTGTATCTCGATTTCAGCCAGGTCGTTTTGTAGTTTGAGAAAATAAAGCCGCATGATATCGGTTACATAGACCACTACCTCAGAAGCTGCGTGCTTTGCAATCTTTAAATTTTATTTTGATAAAAACCAGGTGGCGCACGTTCCGGGGGAGTCCGCGATGACCCCCCGGATGAACACCAGCGGCATCGACCTTGTCGGGCCGTCCCCCCAAATCCCCGCGATGGACAGCAGCTGGTTTGCTGAAAGCCCCATTCTCGAGAAACCGCTGGACGAATTGGACGCGTTGTTCTCGGACCCGCCCTTCGGCCAGAACCCGGTGGACGAAGCCGTGGTGGGGACCCCGGCCAATGTGAAGTTGCGGTCCAAGGAGGTGGAGCCCCCGCCGTCCAGCAACCGCAAGCCGTCCGAGTCCAGTGTCGTGAAGAAGCGCGATGAAAAGGAACAAAAGCCGGTCGGCAACAAAGCCACCCGTGAGAAGAAGGCCAAAAAGAAGGATTCATCTTATGCGCCACAAATAAGTGTGTGTGTTTGCAGTTCTCCTCCCACATTACTCATGCAGAAGCCAAATCCTGGTAGGTGTTGGCTTGAAAAACATGTATAAGAGCGAGAAAAAGATGCATGATAATAGCGTTTGTGGTTCATAAAGATGCTTCTGAGACGCAGTCGACCATGCCCAACTCGATGCTGTCCGAGGACATGACCCAGCAGGACGAGGAGACCGTGGAGGAGGTGAAGCCCAAGCGAAAGCCGCGGGCGAAGAAGGTCACCGGCTAAAGTGGTTTCGAAGCAGGCTGACGTCGTGGTGGAGAAGGAAAATTTGAGAATAAAGAATTTAGGAAATTTCGATCTGTTAGTGTTGTTTACAACAAAATTACAGCAATCTTAATTTCAAAATGAAGAAGTATCAGAGTTTTCTTTTGTTTTTAGTGGCCACCAAATACAGGTGGTCACTTAGGAATCAGTCACGCCCTCTTCCAGCCTGCATGAGGACAGATCCCGCATCTTGTACTCGTGTGGTCTGGCTTATGTTTGAAAAAATGCATCACATTTTACTGTTTTAAAATTTAAATATAAAAAGTTTCGAACTTGAGTATTTGTATTGTAAATACAACGACTTTTCCTAGAATCAGGAACATAAAGGAGCTTCATCCAACACGAAATGTACAGGATGTCAACCTGATTTAGGCCGTATTTCAACCAAAATAGCTTCTCCATCAGATGACTTTGATCACGACCTGTGGGGCCGGCCGCAGCCAACGAGCTGGTGTTGAAGCTTTAGATTTGGTGCATATGCTGAAACTCAGAAGCTGATTACAGAGAGGACATACTCAGCATTTCTGACATGTATAAAGCACCTATCAGGAAGATCTACACGGGAACAAAATGGCACTTGGCGTCAGTTAAGAGCGAAAAAAAATAAAAATATACCGATTGTGAGAGAAAATCACTCTGCTGGATAGGAGCAGCGGGTGCGAGTGTTGTTCGGTCGAATGGTAGTGCTTTTGTGAGGTTTGTTGCGAGGATGTTCGACGCGATCGGCACCACACCATTCAAATCCGGTCTCGGTTGCTCCGTTTCATTTATGCGGTTCGAGTAATATAGTACATGTCTCGGGTCGTCCAAAGCGTCATTATTTTGGGTGTACTTGCACAGGACCAAGTGAAAAGACCCGTCGCACACCACGTCGCATCTTCGGCACCACAGCAGAACAGCGTCGTAGTTTCCGCGTAATATAGATGTAGTTTTTGTCGTAAGATTAAGTAAGTCCCCTGATGTTTTGATTCACAGCTGGCTAAAGAGCTAGCTGCATCCACTTGAAAATGAACGGGCTCGCGCCGCTCCAGGGGAATCCGAACAACGGCCCGCCCAACCCCATCGCCGTCCACCTTTTACAACACCCAAATCCGCAACCAAATCAATATGTCCCCGGACCGGTCCAACTTGCACCAGGAGCACCCGTCGTCCTGGGACTCAATCCATTTCCGCTTGCTGGCATACCACCAGCGGGGCACGGGCATCTGCAGATAGGGGGCGGCAACGCGCAGAGATACGCGCCTGCGCGTGATACGACGTGGTCGAAACCGATGAGGTGCATCCACACCGGAAGAGCGAAATTTTACTTGAAGACGCTGTGTCCACCGGGGTACGCGAATTACCTGTATTGGTTACAGACCATCGTCCGCATGTGGTGCCGGAATACGCTGTTTCTCCGTATGAATTTGAATCCCCTGGTCAGACGTCTACGTTGCTGCCCTCTAGCTAAGCGCTAGAAGCTGTCGTAGACGTCTGTCGTGTTTGCCTTGATATTTTCCGACAAATTGAAAGAAACGTTCGGTCCCGCCGAGTCACTGGTACACTTTTGTTTCTTCTGCATGAAGAATTATCACATGCGACATCTGATGAGAAGAAGTTGTAATGCATGCCAAATTGCACTCAATTGTCAAAAACTCAGGCTATTTGCTTCTTGTGGTGGATGCGCACTGCCCCGGGAGGCGAGCTGGTGATGAAGTTTGCGGCTTCGGAGTGGCGACACATTTTGATGAATGTGGACGAGACGAATTGGATGACGGCGTATGAAAATGAAATAAATCGAAAGGAAAGAGCAGTAACAGCATAGAAGGAGACAATTTTCGAGGCACTGTTCCCTCAGCATGACTTCGAACGCGCGATGATGAAAAAGCAAATCGTGAGTGTGATGCGTGGCCTGTAGATACTGTTTTGCTCTTTCCCTTTCGTCTTTTCTGTACGATATACCGGTGTGTGCGCTGGAAATCCAAGCACAAACAAAATTAGGACGGTTGGGTAGTGACTGCAACGACTGGCGAGCACGAGTACTAAGATTTTTGCTTTTCTAGTAGACGATAATGATCCATATGGCTGCAGCATAACAGGATGATCAGGGTTGGCCACCTGTGGACAAAAAAGCGTACTAAGTTGCTGGCTTTCAGTCAGCGTCTGCTGCTCCTTGGTGAGTCGCTTTCACAGTCCGGCTGTGTGGGACTGGTACTACGCACAAAAGCGGGTGCCCTGGTGCGCGCCCAGGGCAGCGCAGTACCCACTGCAGACCAAGCTACACTTCGCCTTTTGCTGAACATTAACGGCTGTGGTGCCGTCGTGTATAACGTTATACACGACGGCACCATTTGAAGTAAAATTCTAGAAACTAGATCGGCTGCAGTGCCGTCGTGGAGAATATTATCCACGATGGTACTATGAGCGACATAAACGTAGCGCCTCCTTTGTAAATGATACCGTCGTGGATAACATTATCCACGACGGCGCCACAGAGCCTAGAAAAGCGGACTCCTTTCTAGTTTTGTTGTTGTTGCTGCTTTGCCGCGCTGTTTCCCAGCTTAGCTGGGCCATTTATTAGTGGTTCAAAACGCGGCGACAAGGACACGAAGCGGATAGTTCTCTGCTTCTAGAAAGCGCGCCGCCAAGCCTCCATCTACAGGTGGTGAATAATATTACTCTGCATGGTGTTCTGAATGCAAATTCTACACCTAAACACAATCAGACTTACGGCCTCCATCGCCACATGTGGTACACGATGCTGCTGCACTTCATCCCCCTAGCGGACTGGCACGATTTGTGGTGGTGGATGCAGGAGTATTTGGACGACTGGCAGCCAACCAGTTACAAGCACGTGACGATGGGCCACGACAAAGGGCAGGTGCGGTCCCGCGGGGCTCTTGGGGCAAACGTATTGAATGTTTTTTGTTATCATGTGCAGCAATACAAGTCGCATCATCCATTGACTTTGCATGTCTGGGATTTGCATCACAAACGAAGTCGTTATCATGCAGCACTATCCTCCGTCGCAAGACATCAAATGCATGAGCTGGCAGTATTTTCATCCTCCTCGCCGTCACAACTCAGGTTTTCTGGCGCGGAAAAGTTGACACGTCCGACCCGAAGTTCGGCTGCACACCGTACGGCACAAGGCCGGTGCGTATCACGTGAAAAAGCAGTACTGTAGTCAATTTGTAATGCATATCAAAGGTAGTAAAAGTACAGAGCTTGATGCTTATTTTGCATTACAAATCGACGCCAGTACTGCTTTTCAGAAGGATACTTGAGTGGAAAGTGCAGGGGCAACACAAGTTCAACGACCTGTGCATGGTGGCTCTCGCCTTCCAGACCGGATCCATCAACAGGTTGTACGACGGCGGTGAATTGGTCGCGACGCAGTTCCTGGCCTGTGCGATTTGGGCGTTGCTAACACAGTACTTCGGCTTGAAACCATTCCAGGAGACGTTCATACACAAGAACACACCGATTGGCGATGTCAATGTCGGTGCTTTACTATGTGGCTTCGGGTTTCACAAATTTAGCTTTGGACGAAACGCATGCAGAAGTGGTTTTTTGGTTGCCTTTTACTAGTGAATTACCGCATTACAAATGCCTATTTGATAAATAAACCAGATTCTATGCAAGACCGACAGAACAGCAAGGGCGCCTTCGAGTGCCACCAGATGGTCGACCAGGGAAGCGACAACATCCGACTTTTGGAATCCTGGTACCAGCACCAGCCGTATGAAAATCAAAGAAAATCAAAAAAAATGTTAAATTTATGCACGTGTAGCACCATCCTGCATAACATTATCCACCACCTGACTACATGGAGTAAAATTATGGATGTAGTCCGCTGGTGGATAATATTACGCACCACGGTGTCATGTTAAATTATGTATATCATTATCAGAGAGCAGCCACACCATCCTGCATGACATTATACACGGTGGAACTACGTTGCAATCAAAGATGACTTTTCTTGTCATCAAGCCCATTAGCGAGCTGTCACGCGGTGCGTCTAAGCCACTTCTGCACTCTATTGGTGGCCTATTTTGTCGGTTACTATGATGATGTAGTCTACGTGTGTGTCTTTTTGATTTTCTTTGTTTGTTCATAAACCGGGCGCGATGCAATGCGCCAAGATGCACATGTGCAACAATATGGTGAAAGATGATATCCAAAACGACCTTGAAGCTGTCCATTGTAACCAACAACTGTAGCGCATGGTGCTGGTTTTCGCATTAAAAACGATCTTGCGGCAGGTTTGTGATGCATAATTCTAAGTAGCATTTGTAATGCATAAAATGGATATTTTCAAGATTTGTAATGCATAAATATTTTCCCGAACTTGGAAGCGTACCGCGCCATGGAGCGGAAGATGATGACCCACAACATATGATAGTGAAAAACTTCCGCTGTCTCTTCTGGTTTCATTAGGCGATAAGGCTTCACAACTTCAAGCCTCATTATCCTGTGGAACCAGCAAAAGAGCATTTTTTTTTACGTGATACTGCAGTGGTAGCATCCAGGCGCAGCTGCTGAAGCTCGCCAGTGATCTGCTCGCGGAGGAATTGGGGCCGACCCCGAACGTCCACCGCCCGTTCCGTGATCAAATGGTCCGAGATGGGGACTACCAGAATGCAGAAGCTGCTTTTCGGGACCGTAAGCTATAACAAAAGTTGTTTCCTTAGACATGTACAGTATACATCTCCCTACTGGTACTGATTCGATCCATATACAAAAGGCGCAGCATCACAGAAAGAACCTACTTTCTTCTTGTCTTTTGATCTTTGACAAACCAGCACTTTTTGTAATAAAAACAATCACTTTCTCCGCTAGATGACCAGGACGAGGAGACGCCCCTTCTAGGGGGGGTTGGTATTTCTGTAATGAATAGACCTACTCAGGTCGTGGAACGGGTCAATTTTTGGAGCCAGAATCAAGGCTCGTTTCTACCGGATCCGGAAAACTAGTTTTTTCACAGGTCCGAACGAAAAAATCAACCTCGTTAGCTCGGGGCTAGCTTTTGAAAATCGTCAAAAATGGACTCTTTTTTGCTTCGTGCTAGGTTTTTTCACAGGTCCGAAGCCTCTCCAGAGCACCATAGCATGCGGATTGGCTTTCAGAATTGATCAAAATTGATCACTTTAGTCTTTTTGCCTTTTTCAGACGAAAAGTCGTCTGCTTTCCTACCACGCCAGCTTTGCCAGTCGCGCTTTTTTGCCCGCGCTGCGCCAGTATGGCGCCGGGATTCAGTTTTTTTCTCATCAATTTAGTACACTTTAATGAGCTTGCTATCTAGATTATCTATATTATCTTCCCCAGCGTCACGGCCTGTTTTTGTCTTCAACCATGTCACAAAATGAATCATATTTCAGGTCAGATGATTACGCACAACAACGCAACCCGGTGGCAAGGTGCGGCTATCGTTGCGCGGGCTCTTGCGCAATGTAAAACACGACGAATAGTCTGCAAGCAAAGCGCATAGATAGTGCTACTATGTGCTCGCATCTAGTCGGTTTCAGATAGCCTTCCAGCATGACACTGTAGCTACATACTTGCATGCAAGAATTTCATGCTGTTGAATGTGGAAAAGCAACGACTTGTCATGCAGAGAAAGCATGATGCGCAGGTGGGCTCAAGATGCATTACCCCCTCATGACTTCTGACTACATTCTATTCGCCGTAAGTTTTACATTTTCATACTGGTGAAGCCAAACAAGGGGAAGTGGTTGATGTATCTCAGCGCTCTGACCGATCCGGTGGAATCCTTGAAGTATGCGAACATCGAGAACATGAACCCGGACGAAGTGAAGCAGATCATCGAGCGTGAGGGTGGAGAGGTGGTTGCGCAGACCGACAGGGACCTCCAGGAAAATAATCCGATCGGTTGGAGAGGATACATATGGGGTGAAAAAAATACCAAGTGTAGATGCCTTATTACCTGACTATCGCATAAATGGCATGACAAATGTCTTACATCGTGGCTGTCATAGTCTTGATCTTTCTTCATTTTTTGCATGACAAATTTGCACTTGGTTTGTTTTTCATCTGCATACCCACCTGCGGAAACTTTGACTTGTCTACTCAATTTGAGTGAGGAGGAGTTGGACGCCTGCGTCGACGTTACTGCAGCCCACTGTGACCTGAGTTTTTTGATCCACAAAATCGAAACCACGGGGCGGCTCACGCCAGTTCTGACGGATCCGGTTTTGGTCGACACCGCTCGCAGATTTTTTGACGACCCCACCGCCGAGCTTGGCAAGAAGTACAGCACGGTGGAAATCCAGAACATCTACAAGAAAAAGGGAAAACACATGAACTACCAGCTGCTGAGCCACCTGGCGGAGCAGTACATTCGCGGGAACATGTACACGTCATCCTCCTGGAAAATCTACCGGAAGGTTGTGAGTTTTGCTCTCTGGATATGATATGCAAAACTGTCATCTTTCCCAGAATGCAAACCAAAACATTTACTGACTTCTATCTGTGCTTTTTGTGATGCTGCAAGGCGGAAGTGATGGTGCCAGTTTTGTATTGCATATTCCGACCGGTACGACCCCCAGTTGGGGTTTTGGGTGGAGTTGACGTACGGGGACCTGGAGGTGTCGGACGAGCAGCTCGTGAAGCTAAAACAATTCATTCCCATGATGTTCAACCCGACCGTGTCTGCGAAGCGGAATCTGCGAACGTTGGGGAAGTGGGAGAACGGGGAAGAGTTGGTGGAACAATGGGTCGACCAAGTGTTCTACTCCTTGCCGATAAGCGAGTTTACCAATGAGTCGCAGATTCGCGAAAGCTATGAGATTGATAATCTCTGGGAGTGGGAGAGTGAAACTTGCTGGAAACCAAAAGAATACTCTCTATTCGAGTATCTTTATTTTATGCGGTCTGCCATACTGAAAGCGGGAGGTGGTTTCGTTGCTTGTTTACCGATCACTACGAACAGCTTTCACATGCAAAACGAAAACGTGCGGCAAAGAGGGCGACACGCCAACGACGACGCGATTGGTATGGCATATATAATCTATATATTTTTGCTTTTATTTTGTCATGCAAAGTTTTCCAGGTTTCGTCTTTGATTGCTTTGTTTGTCATGCTAAATACAGCACATCTCCCATGACCACGCATGCAAGTTGTATCTAGCCAGCTCCTGATGTAGGGGAAATCCAAAAAAATAATGTCAATTTGCAACACAGTTTCGAAACAACTCGATCGAATCGAGCACGCCGAGTCGCACCCGCGATACTGGCCACCGATCACGATCTGCCCGGAAAAAATGTGGCCGGTTACCCCCGAAGAATTCGAAAAAATTGTGGCCGACATGCAGAAGTCGCAGGCGATGAACTCGAACAATTTTGGGGAGTACCTGAAGCAGAAGGGTGAACCGCGGATCAAGGCCAACAAGAAGTACACGATGATCACGCAGTGCTACGACATGATGCGGAACATGGGGCAGAAGGTGTGGAACAAGAAAACCAGGCACATACTGACTTCATTTTTACCCTAGGCCATCCAGTGTTTTTCATGTTGTGTATCTGATGGTCAATCTCCCTAGTCAAATGATCTTGCGCATGACAAAAAAAACTATCTCTTATACCACAGTGCACCCCTGCAATTATCCGCGATGCTGGACGACATGGCCGATGACACGTGGACCGCCACCCAGCCGGCCAAATTCGGATTCAAGGCCTGCAAGATGTTCGAAATCCTCGATGGACCGTCGGAGACGAAGGAGGAGCTCTCGTTCATGCGCAGATGCGGAAATAAAATCTCTGAAGTTTTCCGCTTCGGAACGCGCTTGGAAAACCCGGATGAGTTTATCGTGTTCAACCCGTACGTCGGCAACAACTACGAATTCAGTGACGAGTACTACCGTGTGTGTGCCTCTGACGATGACTGGTTCCAGCTGACCCGCCTGAAGGTCTACGGAAACCCGGCCAACAAGGAGTTCTACATGCCGTATGAGATGGACCACATCAAGACTTATGGACGAAACATGGCAAGTATATGCTTTTTCAGTTCCTTTTTATGTGCTGGTGCCCAGTAAAATACAAATGATCGCACTATACAAAAATGCACGACAATATGACGTTTCTTTCTTCGGTATGATTAAGCAGCATGAAAAACAAAAGCTTTCACTCTAATCACTGCGCATCGTTTCAATATTCAACAAATATAATCGCAGGTGGTCGCATCTACGGCGGCCAGCTACCCGTGCTGGCAGTCCTCGATCCGCCGGCGTACATCGTGAAGCTGGCGAACGACACGTGGATCACGCCTACTGGGGTCGCCATGGATCACTGGGATGGATTCAGTACGTTCTTCCAGCTCCAGGCACTGCACAAAATCTGGAGAGGAAATGTCGCGACCTATCTATCTGAAAACACTTCCAAGCTTCGTCGTGTCTGTCATGCATTGCAGAGACAAATCTGTCATGCGGATTCGTGTGCAGCTGATCACTAAAATTAAAGCTACATCAGTGGAGTGAAGTTTTTTTTTGAATTTGTGATGCAAATTTTCACCTCGATCTAACTTTGGAAGGTTTTTCAGTTTCATACTAGCCAGATGCTGAGCAAGGACCTGCTGACGCGGTTGACCAAGGATAATCGCAAGGAGTTGTACCGGAGAATCGTGACGGGTAATCTGACGCCTGACCGGATGGCGTTGCGACAGGAGATCGTCGAGGTGCTGGGTGGTGAACGAGTGGAGGTGAGGATCCAGCCGGCGATTGGACTGGCGCCCGCGGATCCCAATAACACTGGCGTGGCACCCCGGAACGTGATGTTCCAGCCGCAGTTGGGTCGTCCGGAAGGCGGAATCAACAATCCGATCAACCCCGACCTGGGACAGCTAGAACGCCACAAGCCGACCATCATCTACCAATTTGGGAGGCTCACCTCCCAAATCAACTGGTTGTGCGAAATCAGATCCCACCGCGTGAACCAGGGGGCGGGCATGGACAAGTTGCGGATCCACTGGAGGGTGAGACCCAATGTCGTCCAAATAGCTCCCGAGATGAGCTTGACCGACAATGACCTCGGGTTGGACGAAAACGTCGCTTTGAACCTCCTCCCCTTCCCCATCCGGGAGTTCAAGTTGAAGAAGAACGAGTGCTGGTTCAAGCGGATCGACATCCACGCTCCCAACAGAAACGAACTGATCCCCATTCCGGAAGGCTGTTTCATCATCGCCGCCGACGACTTCGTGAAGAAACGAGCCAATGCGAAAAACAAATCACCGGCGAAGCCCGCGCTGAACACGCTGGAAAAACTCTACAACATGTGTATGCAAAATGAAAAAACGCAGCTTCATCTGGTTGATATATCATTCTATAAAGAAAAAACGCTGGATTTTTTCTTTGTGGGCTTGTTGTGATGCTGAAATAATCAAGATCATGCGGCACAGGTCACACAACCATGCGAAGCTGCGTCTTTTCATTGTGATACATTTCGTGAAGCCGAAAACCCCGCCCCGGCAGGTGAAGAAGGATAACGACAAGAAGAACGGTCGGAACCCGCCTGGCAGTCCCGCGCCCGGTGCTGGTGGTTCCAAACCGTCCGGGAACAATGGTGCGAAGTAGTTGACTTTCTGGTATGAAAAACCAAAAATAAAACCTTACGTATTGATGGAGTTTTGGCTCGTAGATAGTTCTTGAAACAGCAACTCACATCTGCACACAACATCTACGGTCAACAGGTTATAAGCTACAACGTATTTTACACTTTATCGGGAAGCTAAGCCCGATTTTTTCCGCACCGGCGACTCACTACAAAATATTATTTAATTTTATTTTATGGAGGAGAACTCCCCTCGACCAGGAGCACTGGAGCTAGAAAGTTCCTTTATTAGTGCTCCTTTTACGTGAAACTGATCACAATTTTAAAAAAATAGAAATGAAAAACGACTTGTACGTCGATGTTTCGCACTACAAAATTTTAAAAAAATATAGTTGATTACGATTAAAACACGGCTTTAGGCGCGATGTTTTCGTTTCCATTTTCGAAGAAAAAATATGTTTTATCACTTGATGTGTCATGCTTATGAAGGTAAAAATTAAATTTGAATTTAGAAATTCAGGACTAGCTGCCACAGTAATCGCACAAGATTGGTGGCGCTTTTTAATGACAAACTACCCCGCGAGCACTCCTCTCCTCAGGAGAAAATTAACAAATATTCAACTTCATCAACCATTTTTGAATGTTCTTTTGTAGTAAACAGCCACAAAATCACATGCACTGTGTACACCAGATGGTATGGCATTTTGATACTCCTCTTCCGCGGAAGAATCAAAAATCTGCGTCCTCTTTTCCAGTACTCTGCTCCTGTTCACCACAACAGCCCGGCTATCGGTGGCTACTTCGTGATCTCGTTCTGCTTGAAGATGCTGTAGTGCTGCTCAGCTGTGAATCGGTAGGAAAGGGCATCTCAACCGCCAAAATAATCTCTTTGAGTCGGTCCTGAAAAGCCTGAACGTTCGTGCATGGAGCGTAATATCGTTCGAGTCGTCCATTCGGTCGTGGGGTTCGCACCCCAGGAGCAGTCGGATAGATGCCAAGAATCGTCCGTCCTGCTGTTGCAGCTGCAGTCCTGTGTCGTAATATTTGTGCTTTTCTTTCTCTCATAAAAAAACAGTGCCTATTTTTGTCCCATATTGCATGAGAAACGCGCTGCGTTATCCTATAGAGTGACCCTTTAATCTGTATCCAGCATTAGACATACACAAAAAAGTACCTAGTTCCTTTTGTTGCAACATAGCCCCCCTCCACCAAGACATGCCATGGTATTAGCGCCGAGCCGTGTAGTTCTCCAAATTGGTTTGGTTCTGGAGCTGTTCTGCAGTGGAGAAGCAAAAAATCCGCGTCGGAATCGGAGTAGGGCTTTCCGGATGCTCTGGAGTTGGCGGTTTTGGTACGTACTGCATATGAGTTTGCCAACCGGTGGAAATTTCATGGATGCGCTGGGATTAGGTAGCAATTCAATACTGAGAAGGAAGACATTAGTGCGCAGAAACCACCTTGATACCTGCGAAGTGGGCACCGAAGTCCTTCTCATGGAAGAAAAAAAACGAAGTAGAAAGCATACTAGCTTGTCATGCGAGACCACATCGAGCGCACTTCCAGACTATGTCCAGCGTCGGCAACTACATCAAAAGCGCTAGTCAATCTAATTTGTCATGCTAGATTGCATCTACTTCATGTCTCTAGTTGGATACGATTTGTTTGCCGCGCTCGGTCCTGGCTGTCAAAACCTTCTCCTGGATAGGTATCAAAGCTTCCGGCAAGAAACACAACCCATCTACGTGGTAGTACTTATCGCGAAGCAGTGCGCTTTGATAGGTTTAAACTTGCATGCAAAGCTCCCTGATTGCATGCACTTGTTGTGTAGTTTGGGCATTTAGTGGGTGTTGTGTCACAAATTCATGCCATATCACGCCAAAGCTGGTGCGTGCCACCAGATACCTTGATCTCGCCGTCGACAGCGCCAGACTCCGCACTTGTGGGCATGTATTCGATAGTCGAGCCAGCAAGCTTGTCCATAAACGCTTTACGGGCCATTTTCTCGATACGGTTTTGCGGACTGTAAGCGGAAAGCATACCAGTCGGCTGCGGATAGTGCACCAAATCATCTCCCCAATGAGCCCTCCGCAGGTACGCCTGCGCCTCCGACTTCGTTTTCATCTTCCCCTCCACATCGTATCCCTCGTAGGACTTGTATCGGTGCACCGACTCGACGAAGATTTGATCTGGTTCGGCTTCACAAAACCCCAACAACAAGTGTCCATGCAGTGCATCACGTTGGTGGTTCAACACGTATCGCAATCGCCGAACCCATTCCTGACTCCAGTTCATGCTAGTTTTGAGCTGGATACCGACCCAATCGTAGTGCTGGGAGCCACCGCCTGCCAGTAGTTGTAGAGGTCCATGTAATCTAGGTCGAGTATATAGATCAGTTTTGGACTCGGCGACGACATGCACCTCAAAATCGTCCTCCACTAGCTCCAAAACAGCACGCAGTACTGCTTGTTCAATTTGTCCCGGTCTTGTTCCCATATTCGTACTCGATTGAGAGAGGAGTATGCTTGTTTACTGTGAAAATTGAGGTCGCTTTGTTTAGATATACAAAAACAATGCAATTTGATGAGTCAATTTGTCGTAGTCTGCTCGTGGGATCTTGCTAAAAATACTACAAAAATTGGGAAGTTCTAACCTCGCCAGGCCCTGAAACAGATCAAACGCAGTACATTCACACTGAAATCCATACTCCTACACCATGAATATTCAAATTATCACCGAGCTTTCCCTTTATTCGCTCAATTTTCACAGTTTTTTTGCTTGATGTCTATGCAAAGAATCCGAATCAAATCTTGCCCAGCAGGTAACCGAAGTAGGGCACGCTTCTCATAGGTGTCGTTCCGGTCGAGCAATTCAATAGAAATAGACCACCAAAATGGCCTCCAACGCGAACCGTCTTCGACCCTCTCCAGCGTTGCGGGACGCATCCGCAAAGGACCTGGTCGACCTTCGATCTAGCTAGTTCAAAGTGTGGGTTTCTACATAGCTAATTTAATTTAAATAAGTAAAGAAAAAAGTACCTACTTTTTTTTAAAAATCATGCTGAAGTTAATTCCTGAGCGGGTTATAGACATCCGGCTGCCGTGGAGTCATTCGCGGGCCAGGCAACGTCTAGGAGCTACGGATTAGGGATCTTGATGGGCGAGACAGGGGACTTGTCATGCAGGTTTTCCATGACCCATGATGTCTGTGATGCATGCCCTAGCATCACAGATTTTTTGAGGGCATCTTGATGCCTAGTCCGCATGACAAATGTCCTCTCTGCGTAGCAAAAATTGCATTCTCTGTCTTTGCTGCTCATGCAATACGAAGTTTTTTTGGAATCCAAATGCAGCATCACAAGTTGCAACCTTCCAGACCCACACATTTTTGCATTTGATATGGCCTCTTGTATCTTTCTTCGTTTCTCCTCCACAGCGTTCATCGCAATGGCGCCCAACTTTCTCAACCCCTGCAACCGTGGACCTTGTTGTTGTTGTTGGGGGTCTGGGTGGTCTTGCCCCCGTTTCGGCAGCTTGTCCTGATAGGCTTCGATATCTTTCGACAGCGCCTCGTCCAGCACGCGCAGAAGTTCTGCATACCTTCTTTGCTCCTCTTCCTTCTGAATTTGCTTGGCCTTTTCCGAACCATGGTAGTCCGTCAATTTACTCCACGCTGACGGTGTTCCTGGTGGGTATATGCGGTTGATGCGGTCCGCACACTCGTCCAGCTTTGCTTTCAGCGGGGTCAAATACTTTTCATTCAAGGTCAACTCGTCCAGCTCCTCGGCGTCGTCCCTGCTACGCTGCCCCTCCTCGACTTCCGAAAAATCGTCGGCTCTTCTTCGTGTTGAGTCAAGAGTGGAACCTCGATTCGATGCGTCGGCTCTTGCACTTCGATTTGGTCCCAACGCCCGTAACTGGATCAGTTCTTGTTTGTCATACAGTTCCTTCAGTTCTCTCTCGCATTGCTGTGCATCTTCCGGCAGCTCCATGTGTTTGGAGGCCATGTCGCTCTCCACTGCCTTTTTCTGACGAACGTGAGCGTCTAGCTCTTTTACTAGCTCGCCTCTGACACTTGAGAGTCTCGAGGCACGCACTGACTCTTTCTCTTCTTTCCTAGCAGTTTCGGCACGAATGTCACGCAATTGCTCCTCGACAAACGCTGTGCAGTGTAAAAGTATCGCAAGGGTAGTAATTGCAGTCATGCATTACAAATCTTTTTCTTAAGGGAAATCCGCATTACAAATTCCATTCTTCACGCTGAGGGAATTTGTCATGCGATTTATCATACTAGTACGATGCTTTTGCATTTCATAAACGCTGTGCAGTGTAAATAAAGTATCGCAAGCGTAATAATTGCGGTCATGCAGCAGGAGAATAAATCCCCTATGCCTATCTTAGGTAATGTACTAGCGCTACAAGCTTCACTTTTCATCTTCTTGCCAAAGTCATTATTTTCATCTGTGATGTGATTTATACTAGAAGTGCGATACTTTTGCAATGCGTAAACGCTGACAGCAGGTCGTCGCTGCTCGCCATCAGGCGCAGCTGGCAGCGGCCGAAACGCGGCGTCCGTGCGGCACCGGCATAAGGCTTCACAGACTCCACCTTCACAATTGCTGGGGGCTTCGGACCGCTTGTTGGTTCGTCACCGCTTCGATGCAGATCCAGTGCAGCTAGCAACATGTCTTCGGGAATGTATCTGGTAACCTCCTGGGCGACGTGGTCCCCGGTGCGTAGGCATAACTTGAGAGCTTGTTTGGGAGGTTTGGCGGTGTTGACAGCACCTGCTCCGTTGCCTCCAACATGATCCAGCGTCACTCTCATCTTGTCCAAACCATCAGCGATGACTTTGCCGGCTAAATGCTTTTCGCACCAGTCCGCATTGTTCGCTGCCTCGTCCAAGAGCTCGTCTGCATCTTCGTCATGCGGGACAACAAGCTCTCCAATCAACAATTTCCGGCCTGCCGCCACGTCCGATCGAGTGGCGGCAAAGTTCTGGTGTATCGGCAGAGCGGAGCAATCACAGGGCAGGTGTGGCATCTCCCTGTCAGCGCTTGATGGTTCAAAGTCCGCTAGGACCAGGTAGCTCGTGGCTTTGTCCAGGATCGCGCCAATGCGCTGCTGCGCTTTTTCCATCTCAGTTACAGACTCACCTTTGGGAAAAGTCTTTGTGAGAAATCGGTCCAGCTGATCCTGGAAGTACCATTCTTTCTGCAACACGCCCGACTGCCGCTTGTAATCTTCGAAAAAATCGTTTACGAGGGGACGACTCCCGTGCCAGAATGCTTTAGCTTCTGCGCCAAGCTCTTGCAACTGCGCGAAGAACTTCGTCGACTTTGGGTTCGGATCTTCCTGTTCCCGGTTCCTCCAGTATCCAGTGCAAAAATGTCTGGGTCTGGAAGGTTAGAACTTGTCATGCTAAATCTGAATGATGTAAAAATCTGTGTTGCGTGAGCGCCAAAAGCTGTCCGCTTTTGACCAAGTTGAGAGGGAGTTTCTCATGCAGGAAAGGGATGATAGAGACCTCAAAAAATCTGCCATGCTGGGTCTCGCATTCTAGACCTCATGGCTCATGGAAAACCTGCATCACAAATCTTGCATTCTTCCAGACCCAGACATTTTTACATTTGATATCCAGCGCCAATCTACCATCCGTGTCGATAAAATCAAAGGCCGCGTTTTCGTCTGATCCATAGACACTTTCAATCTATTACCCCCTTCTCCCACGACCATCCACTCCACCGTCTTCTTGCGCTGCATCAGTGGACAGTACGCATGGGACTGGAAAACCAGAGCCGTGTAACCATTGTGGCTGTTCGTGTAGGCAGCGACGTCGTTGTATTTCAACCCGTTCGTCCCCGTACTTGTTTCGTCCAGAATGCGCAGGGAGACCGCCCCCGCACCATGGTCCAAGTCGAACGCCCCGGTCGCGAGCGCCGCGCGCACGGCCAGCCGGCTGTGTAATTCGAGTTCCGCGACCATGGTCGCTTTCGCGGGCATTTCCTTGTCTGTCTTGGAGGGAAAGGACAGGAGAATCCTTTGCGCCACTTGGAAGGTTTCAAACTCCGGCCCGACCTCCTCTGCGGCGATGCGAAAGTGAATTTTCCAATCCTGCGGAAAAAGGTTTTTATTTCCGACCCAGAGGCAACAAGACCTTCATGGACTGTATAATGCCGGCGTATAATATTAGTACCTACCTACCTATGTATAAACAAGTTGGCTGATGTCGGGCGTGCCAAGTTTGGACCTCCTCCATCACAGTCGTGTACGTGCAGTCTTCGTGTTTATTAGCTAGCGCTGCAGCAGCAGCAGCACCTTAAACCGATCTTCGCCTAAGTAATAATCCTGATTCTGGCCGCATGACAAACTCCCCGATAGTGTGAGAAAATCAAAATGCTTCTCAAATCGAGTCCGCGCGTGAGTGGCACGACGACATTGCAGGCATGATGCAGTTGCAGATTTGCACTTGACAAACCTGGGTTGGGACGTAGTTTTTCCTCAGCAGGATATTTCTCGTCAATGTGCTCCATCCGATCCACGTTTGCGACGAAGCGACCAGCCATTCCTGCGGCAAATTTGCTCCAGCCTTTTGCTCCTTCTTGGAGAATATGCATTGCAAATGTGTCTGGGTCTGGAAAAGGAAATTTGCAAATGCCAGGTCTGCGAAATTGCGCCTCGGCTGGAAGCATGTCTGAAATCCATCTGTGATGCATCGGCACGAAAACGTAGTCTTCCTTGTTCCTGATCCTCCTGCTGTCATGCAAATATTTTTGAAACCTAGCCTGGTCGTGCTATGCGGACGATGATGAACAAGACGAACTGCAAAATACTAGCGCAAAGAACATTTAGTACCATCATGCAGCAAGTTTGTTGCGTCAGCGTATTGCAATGCGGCGCGTATGCCGCCCATGATCTTCGTTCATCATCATCACGGACGTGGCTGCTGACATGATCCATCCTTCACCTTCACGGCCTAGCATTAGCATTACAACCTTCCCGACCCCGACAAATGATTTGCAGCGGATAGAGGGGCGTGGGACAGCTGATCACTTCCTGGACCGGCTGCGGGTCTTTCACGAAAGCGCGTTCGAGGCTGCGACAACCTGCCGGACTCGTGAAGGGCGCGGCGTGCCGCACCAGGGAGGCCGTTACGGGCACCAGCCCGGCCGAACAGACAGTCTGTTGCTTGAGACCCCCAGACAGCACGGCGACGGCGTGCCACTCGGTTTTGTCGAAATTTTTCTCCTCTCGTCCACCAGCAGTGGCAGGAGCTGCGGCATCGGTTGAAGATCTCGTCGTATGAGGATCAGACGAGGACAGGGTCGTGGACTTCTTCTCGTCAAACATCCCGATCCACGGCTGCAGAAAGAAACTTTTCCACGTGCCGGTGTCCCTGGACGGCGCCGCGACGAATTTGGTCTGCGCCCGAGTTTGCCCATTCGGCAAAGTAACCTGCCTGGTAGCGAGAAACAGCTGCGGCCCGGCTGTGATCACTTGGTTATCTTCCTGAGCAGTAGTGGGCGCGCTGTCCAGGGAGATCGGCAGCTGGCACGGGTTGCCCCTCACGTAGTTGTCCAACGCCTGCATGCCCATGAGTGTAGCCTGCTCCGCGGCGCCTTTGGCTTTGTCCAGAGCCTGGCCGGCGTGGCGCCTCAGGCTCTTGACGAACTCGGACTCCTTGAATTTCTTCACCATATGCGAACCAAGGCCCACGGCCGAATTCTTCACCTTTTCCACTTGCGCCAGGGCCTTGTTCTTCAGCGACGACACGTTGTCCTTCAGCGATGAAAAGGACGGAAACCAAAACGATATGGAACATGTCAGCACTGAAATCCACAAAGTTGAATAAAAACAAAAAGAAAAAGCTGCTGCTGATGTTTATATCTACAGTACATAAAAATAAAACAAAGACACCGGGCGACACGACCAGTTCCAGTTACCGACCCCAATTTTCAAGCGGGCTGTGTCACATTTTGGAAGATCCGAAAGCCAGTCTGTCATGCTGATGCTGTTGGAGAAATAAAGCAGACTGCTTGTTCTGTGCTAGTGCTAGTTCGTCACTAGCTCCATTTCTACTACCTCTACTTCTGAAGAGGTGTACAATTATCGGCCTCACTTGCCGGCTGTTTAGTAGAGGCACACTTTGCCTGTCGCTCGCATTTCATGCATGATGAAGTGCAAACTACTATACTTCAACTTTGTCGATTTCGATCCTGACACTGCCATAGACGAAGACGGTCCACTCTTTTCACTTTTTGTTTTTGTATCATGTTTGATTTCTTGTCCTTTACCGTTACCCCGAGCTTCTTTTTCGCCGGTCGCAGCAACAACTCCACCTCCGCCAATCGTTTTTACTCCGATATTTTTATCCCTTGGAGATGCATACCGGGACGCCCGCCCCGCCCGCGCCTGCTCCACATTGGCATTGGTTTGCTCCATCTTCTGCCCATCTTTCGAGGATGGTGGGCCCACCTGCGGCCTTACTCGGCCTGCGCCTAGCAAAGTCGGCAGAGGAGCTTGACCTCCTTGAGGTACTGAACCCTGATTCGTCGCTTCTGCCGTCTTTGGAGCGAGATTGAGTTTGTTTTTGCCGTTCCCAACACCGCTCCCCAGTCCCGCCGACAACGGAGGCAGCAGCACTGAAGTATGCGAGGTCCGCTCCGTCGCTCCTTCACCATGATTCGTCGCTTCTGCCGTCTTGACCTGCCGCGTGACAAAGGACGAGGACTCCACACTGCCCCCGGACGCCCCTGACGAAGCCGAAGCCGAAGCCGTACCAGTAGCAGAAGATGTTGACCCCGACATCAGAAGAAAATCGTGGTCGTTACTGGTGCTGGCACGACCTCCAGCTTCTACAGCATCAACAACTTCGCCGGCTTCATCCACCCAAATGGAGGACGAGGCTTTTTGCTCTTCCAAAAAGTCTGACGAAGTACTAGTTGCAGCCGCTGACGACAACGTAGAAGCAAGAGTGGTCGTAGTTGCTTCGGTTTCTTCTTCTACCTGCTGTTGCAAGAACCCCGCGTGCTGTAAAAGCCGCTGCGACTGCTCGCTGGTGTCAGCCAGCACGTCAACATCATCTTCACGGAGGCCCGCCCCTACTAGAGGTATTCGCTCTGCCCCCCGCTGCTCGACAACGCTTTCAATTTCGGGCTGCTCGACAAAACTTTCGGGCTGCTGCTCAACTTGGATGTCGGGGCTGAGAAACTTCCGGGCGTCCCGTATGCACTGCAAATGTACTATCGCACTCGTAGCAATTCCAATTGCAGTCATGCATAACAAGTCTTTTCCTTGAGCAGCAGCAGCAGCAGCAGGTATTAAGTCCGCATTACACATTCTATTTCTCATCATGCTGAGGAAATCGAAATTTGTGATGCATTTATTTTTATACGAGTGCGAAGATACAACTTTTGTAATGCATATCCCGGCGAGGACGGTGATTTTGATCATGATGTTGATCCCCTTGTTGACCCCTGATGAGCTGCGGTCCTCGTGCGGCCGAAAATAAGTAAACAAGTAGCCGTGTGGTTGAACAAAAACCAGCCGTCTTGGTCTTCCACCTCTTCGTGGCCGCGGCCATGGTCTTCATTTCGCTGCCGTCCTTCCTTGTTGTATGTACCTCCTCGTGCCGCTAGTTACAAGATAGAACAGAGGATCATTGTGGACTAACTGTTGTAGTTAGATGTAGTACTAACCCTCTATGAGCACAAATACCGCTTCTACTGGGGAAGTAGAAGAAATAATCAAAATACGTGATTGAGGGGACAGCTAGGGGATGAGACTGTGTTTGAAGATTTTAAATTTTGTTATCGTCATGACGGCACCGCAATTATATCGCGGTGTTCGTGTTTTTTAACGTACGACAATGATTATTATGGACGTGGTGGTCAACGACCTGGAACGTAAGGACGAGTCAAAGGCTGGTGAACGATAAAAATGTTAACCATCTATGACAGAGTCTCTGTCATATTTTAGTAAGAAGAGAGCTAGTACAACGTGCGACCAGGACGTACGAACCGACTTCGGAATCTTCAAAAACCGACTCGGACTTTCTTTCTGCATAAGATAAGTCCATTTTACGACAAAGAAAACGAAAGCACGCGTGCGTATTGTACTTCTATCTAATTCTAGCTACGTATGGGAATTACTGAGCATCCTCATACGCATACCGATGATGAAAAGTCTGAGAAATAGGACCGAAGAGTAGAGACCGCCTTTGGCATGGCGCACAAGGAGAAAAGTGGTCGTAGAATCGAAGCAAGACAAATGCCGTGGGAGGACGTCGTCAAGGTCAACGCACCGATCAAAAATTCTTCGTGTTAAGTATATCAGATGAAGAAGTCTCCAAACCGACATTGTAGCTAGTGTGTGCATCATCATCGATCTGCACGACAGAAAACGAGAAGTTCTTGTGGTTGTGCAGCTATTATCATTTAACCACAAATAAAGCATGAATCTAGCAGACCGACATGCAAAACGGAAAGGAACAGAGATAATCGTGAACAAGATCTTCAACCCCCAACGAACCGGCACAACGCGCTTCCTCGTCCTCAAAGCACGCCGCTGCTTCGACGAGAATCTCGTCGTGTAAGTTAGTAGTCGCACGAAACTGTAAAACATGCTTCCTATTGATAGATCGCCCACAACTTCACAGATATTTCTAAATACTCCGTTCTTACGATCTATGTTTGACAGTAATAGGTTTTAATTTTTTTGAAGAACTTCACTACTTACAAGAAGATTATACAAGAAGAAGTAGCAGCACAGTTATGTTGATAATGATGTTGAACTAGTACGGTAATATTTTTGATATTCATACGAAAAGGCAAAGAAACAGCAAAAGCAAGATCGGTTGTGGAACACGAAAAAAGGCAGAGATCAGATCGATAAAATTTTGCATGGATTGCAATTTGATGAAGAAAGAGGTACTTAAAGAATACTTAAATGAGAAAAAAACAAAAAGTGTCGCGCAAAAGAAAGCAGCGCGTTACGTTTTACCGTAAAATAGGTTTTGGTTTGCTCTCCCTGATACCCACTTACTCGAAATAAATGATGTTGCTGCACCGGGGTGCTGGTGCACCATTCGTAGTATTAATTTCGCTTCGTTCCTTATCGTACGAAAAAAGTGTTTCACTGTAAGGATTTTGCAAGTTCTGCGTCACAAGTTAATTCTACATCACAGAGAAAATTTGCCATGCTAGATTCCTAAGGAAAAAGACAGCTAAAAATCCATTGTCTTGCATGTGTAGCAAGACAAACACTTCTCAGTCAGATACAGTTTCTGCATTACAAGTTCACAGCGCAACAGTTCTTTCTTGCGATATTCCTATCGTCCTACCAATCTCGTAGTCAACCACCCGATCGACGTCCTATGGCGTGATCGAAGGAAAGAGGGCAAGGACGTCTTGGTCCCGGATCGTAGAGACATCAACCAAGCGGGATGCCTCAAGGCCCCGTCCCCATCAGCATGGCCGCCCTTTTGCTCGCAACGTCCTCCTATGAACTGCAAAAGTATCGTAGTCGTATAAATGCAATACAAATTTCCTCAGCATGAGAAATAAAGTTTGTAATGCAGATTTACCTTGAGAAAAAAATTTTGTATACACTAACGCATGATTGCAATACGAGTACGATACTTTTGCACAGGCTACCTCCGCCAGCAATTCGGAGCAGCCCGTGCTTTCCTCCATCTCTTTTTTGCATTTTTGATTCAAGTATGGATTGTAAAAGTGTCTGGGTCTGGAAGGTTGGAACTTGTAATGCTAGCTTTCCATACCTAGAAAATCTGTATTGCATAACCAACAAAAGTCGCAAGCTCTTTTGTCATTGGTTGTGTCCGGCAAGAGGACGGCTCTGCGTGGGCAAATGTTGGTAATGTCCAGCAAGAACTCTCCCGTGGCCCCATTTTCTGCCGGTTTTTGGCTTTCGCCAGGATTACCCGCAACACCACCCGTGTTTGTCATGCAAAAACGCAGTTTCTCACGCGGATTGCCTATGAGAAAGCGTTTTGGGAAGTTATCATGCCGGACTGCATTCGGAAGTGTTTTCATCGTGCACATTTTAGCATCACAAGTTTCCAGACCCAGACATTTTTGCATTTGATATCAAGCTTTCTAGGACCTTTTCGTGTTCGAGATGGGTGTCCAAGTCCATTCCAACCAAGGAAGCTGTTACTTTCCCTGCCTCGACGGATGCTTCTTGTTGACATCGTTTGATGGTGGCCGCACAGTGCCCGAGGCGCAGGCGCTTGCATTTGCCGAAATCCACTTCCCTCCGGGGGCAATACTCGTCCCTGAGCGCAGCTTTCGCCCTTTTTCTCTTCGCCCCGGCCTCTTCACCCATGTCCGTGCTCAGGACGTTCTTGACAATTTCGTCGGTCCATTGCTTCAGCTGAGTAAGGTACTCGTGGTCCTGCTGAGCGGCCCCATTCAAAAGGTCATCCTTATCTGGTCTTTCGTCTTGGAAAAAATCGACCAGCGAGGGCGAGCTGAGATGTTCGCTTCGGGGGAAAAGCTCATAGCTCAGCCTGCACGCTTTGCATTCCAATTTCCCTTGTTGGCGCAGCAGAAGACATCCGCGCACCTTGGCCTCCACATTTCTCATGTCGCACTGATTTGCAGCCTCTGGTGCGATGTCGTACTTCGCTAGTACTACAGGGTGTGCAAACTCCTCCACGGCTCCGACTGGTACTGAGCCGCTCCGAACCTTTGCAAACCAAACCGCTGCGCACTTGTCGCACTGCGCGTGATCGACCATCAGACCAAACAGGAACCCCCCATCTGCGTCGAAGCTGGTGGTGGGCGACGTCTTTTTGTCGGCGGTGGAGGTCCTCACCAGCCTCTCTGTCACCCAGTCTGGCAGGCATTTCGTCTGTCTCATTGTGCTGAAAGCGAACTGCTCTTGCTTCTTAGAGAAGTCTACTCCGCGCGGCAGGCGGGCATCATAGTCGTCGACCGAACGGGCGAAGTTCAAGTGCTCCAAGTTCAACTGGGTCGTCAAGTGCTGTTTACTATCTTTCAAGGATTTAGGGCACACCACGTAAGGGTTTTGGAACAACAGCTCCTGCGCAGGAGTGCTGCTTTTTGTTTTACTGCTCACCGCGCTCTGCAAGACACAACCGCCGGGATCCTGCGTATCCTGCACCACCTGCGCCACAAAAGCGCCGGAGGTCTGTTCCCTGGCCAGTTTGTGCGGCGCTACCGTGCCCAAGGACTGTTGTATGAATTTTGCGTTGTAGTCCCACAGGACCGATTTCACGTCGTCGATGGGCACCCCGATCCGAGACATCTTTATCAAATGCAAAAATGTCTGGGTCTGGAAGAGTGCAAGTTTGTCATGCTTGTCTGGCATGACTCGAAAATCTGTGTTGCATAGGCACGAAAAGGCCCTCTTACCTGTCATGCAAAAACGCAGTTTGGCATGCGGGATACGTAAGACATGGGAGCCAAAAAATTTGTCATGCATAGCTGCGCATTGCAGTCCGTCTACCATTCACTTTAAGCATCACAAGTTTCCAGACCCAGACATTTTTGCATTTGATAATCTTTCGCTGGGGCTTATTTTGCCAAATGTAAAACTCGACGTACTTTTTTCCCGCCCGGGCCGCTTCTGCCATATCAAGTGTAAAAATGTCTGGGTCTGGAAGGATGCATGTTATTTGTCATGCTTGTCTGGCATGACTCTCAAATCTGTCACGCACGTTGCCCAAGAGCGCCACTTTTCTGTCATGCAGAAACGCAGTTTGTCATGCAGAATAGGCAACACCTAGAAGCTCAGAAACTTGTCATGCTGAGCCAGCACTTGTGGCCTCTTCATGATACGCCACCCAGCATCACAAGTTTTCAGACCCAGACATTTTTGCATTTGATATGCCAGCCGCTGCGGCAAGTTCTCCTGTTGGTTCCACACCTCGCTGTCAATTCCCAGCGGCGACCCCGTCGTCATGGACGAATAATGGCCCCACGGGTCTGGAACGGCTTCCTCGAAAGTGAGTAAGGCCTTGGGGCCGGCGCGAACGTACTCGCGGTGCTCCAAGGCGGCCACGGCGTCGGTATGGAAGTGCCAGGACCGAAATCAACACAATCGAACTAATTTGGCATTGGCATGCATAAAATCGACACAAGCAGTTGGGGTCCCAGCTTCCGACTGGGGAGCACCAAAATCCAGTCTGTCATGCTGTTTGGGCAAAGAAGACTGCTCGCCCCGTCATGCTACTCTACTGGCAGCGCGAGCGCATCGTCTTCCCCTAAACAGCCTTGCAAAAATCGGCTTCATTTGCTTGCGGCCCAAGAACACAGGAGGACATGATATGTTTATGTGCTCAGCTTCAGCAACATTTTATGCATTTTACAAATGAATTCCTCGACTTTGTCGATTTCGATCCTGAAACCCGGATAGTCGGACCGCGTCACATATTGGTCCAGAACGACCACCTGACACGTCGCGCCCAGATTATCGCAAGAAAAAACTGCTTCACTGTAAACGAACCTGTGATGCAGAAAATGGAGCACAGAACTATTTGTCTTGCTACACATGCTGCAAGACATTGGATTTTTAGCTGTGTTTTCCCTTAGGAAGCACGCAGGCCAAGTTTTCTTTGTCATGCGTAACAAGCTTGTGATGCAGATCTTGCAAAATCATCACAGTGAAGCAGTTTTTTCGTGGGATACAGATCAAGCAGCAGATAATACCGAGCCTCCCTGCGTGGCCGCGGCACCGCGCGCATGGGCTTTAACATATCAATCTGTCGCAAAGCAGGCGTTGTAGCTCCTGCTCCTGTGCGCCACGACTTGAAATCTTTCCATTGTTTTTTGAGGACATGCCCAATACCTCGCACCCGCGCCTTTACACCTTCCACGATCCCCTCCCGGCGTCGCGCCTGGGCGGCCGCAGCAGCTGTGTTCGTGACCACTTCGTCAGGGCATTGCCGATGCATGGACTCCACCAGGAGCCAACGACAGTGCTTCGGCGGCTCCGGCGTGGCATTGGGATCATTGAGACCTCTGCGATCCCGCCACCAGTCGCAGTCTTCCTCGGGACGCACCAGGTTGCTGACCGCATCTCCCCTATGCATTGCAAACATGTCTGGCTCTGGGTCTCGAAGAGCACAACTATGTCATGCACATTTTCCATGATCCATGAGGTCTGTGAGGTATGCCATAGTAGCATCACAGATTTTTTAAGCGCTTATCTATGCGCATCCAGCACGACAACGAAATGCCCTCTCCGCGTAGCCAAATTTGAATCCTCGTCTTGCTGGTCATGCAATACAGGTTTTTTTAGCATCCAAATGCAGCATCACAAGTTTGGCTCTTCCAGAGGACCCAGACATTTTTGCAATCCATATCCCCCCGACAGGTGCACCACGGTGTGCTTCAAGAAGTCAAAGTCTTCCAGCAAATGCACGTAGTTTTGCGGCACCAAACTACCCTTCACCACGTCCCCAAGCAGCTTGAGTGTGGGGTTCTTGAAGAAATCAATGATTTCCCACAGCAGCCACTTGATCTGGCTCAGGAGCCCCCGAGGGTGCAGGAACTTCTGCCAGGATTTGGTATTTCCCGTCATGCTGTCGCCGTTGTTCTCGTCGCTGGCCCCGGGCTCCTCATCCTTGTTGTGGCCTGCGCCCCACAGCGACGTGAGCAAGTTGGGCAGGTGTGCTTTTATTCGCGCGATCGGTTTCTCGGTGAACCTGGAGGGGTGCCCCGCGTTTAGCGTGACGTCAAGCTGGCGGCCCAGGACCCAGTCTGTCTGCGTCTTCCCCAGGACTGACTGCAAGATGTTGCGCGGCACCGCGCTGAGCTCGCACGCCGCCGCCTCCTGGGCAGCCAGCTCAAGCCGTTCCGCCCAATCTCGTGCCTCGAAGGAGGTTCTTGTGGCTGATGTTGTACTAGCGCCACGACCGTAGTAGAAGTCCCCACTGTCACTGTGGCTGTCTCCTTGACCGCGTACGACGTCATCTAGATTTTCATCCACCTGGCCCGTACTAAACAACGTAGAAAGCATGGACAAAAGCGTCCTGCAACTACCCGCGGAGCTCTGGCTCTTCTTTCCACCTTCCGGAAGCAAATAAAACTCCTTCGGATCATACACACGCAGTACCAAACCGGAGAACAGGGATTCGGCTAGCGCTTTCAGTGATCCTTGCAAATCATCCCTCATTTTGCCTGATACGAAAAAGTTTACAATACCGCGATCGGCCGCGACCTTGGCGATATGACCCCAGTTTCCCTCCTCACCGAGCCCCAAATCGATAAGAGCTTTCAACTTTCGTGACAAGAACGTCGCTAAATCGTCCACAGAGACCGGTAGCACACCTACCGTCGCCCGGTCGCGATGGAGCTCCGCGGCTGTCGTGGCCGTTTCCGGCAGCCCGTCCTCTTGCTGGACCCGTCCGCCCCGCGGCCGCTCGCCGCGACCCGGATTTTCTGCCGGGTTTATTTCGATGGCATCTTTTTCTCCTGGAGGAGGATCTTGGGTGCTTGTTGTGGGGCTCTCTGCTTCTCCGTTTTCTGTCATTCCAAGAAGTGCCCTTTTAGCCCTTCCGACCGCCGTTTTCCCCCACGCCAGGGGCAAGCGAACCAGCGCTCCCACCGTGCCGGCTGCCAGCCCGAGTCCTTTTTGTACTCTGCCCGCACCTTCGGCCCGATTTTCGTAGTCGTCCTTCGTTGCCGGGTAGTGCAGGGTCGGTAGCACTCGTAAAACGGGACCGACATCCACCTTCTGCGGTATTTTGAGGACGTCGCGGAGTAGCTCCGGACCAGGTTTTCTCATGAGGAAAAACGTCCCCGCCCCAGCAAAGTCAAGACGGGAAGCCTCATCATGATCATCGTCATCGGCGGTAGTGCTCTTTGCCGACCGGGTATTAACCCAACGCCTCTCCATATTAGCGAGCCCCGTTGTGGGACAACTGCGAGACAAACCAACAAGCCTTGGCTGTTCCGCGTGACAAGTTTGGCCTCGTAGAGTGTGATCCTCAGTAGTTCAACAGCAGCAACACAGATCTAGCACATGATCTCGCTGAAGATTGGAACGTCAGAAATTCCGCAACACGACCACTGGGAAGTGCTTCTCTTCTTGCGGATCAGCCGCATTTTGATTTTCAGCATGCAGATTTGCATTACAAATACAACTGTGGGGTGGTAGGGACGTTTTCACATAGGATAGTTTTTTCCGCCGCCAGCCTTTCTTTGTCTTTCAAAACGGCATGTGCTGCATAACTCGTCCCGGCAACTGCGCTTGCTGCTTTAGCAACTGCAAGTGCTGGCAATGCGACGTGAGGTGCCACAACCAGCCCCACCGCTCCAAGCTTTACAGCCGCCCCCGCTCCCACCATCTTACCAATATCTTTCTTGTTTTTGTTAAACCATGCCCCCACTGGTCCGGGTTCTTTTGCTTCCTCGAGTTTTTTGTTAAACCATGCCCCCACTGGTCCGCGTTTCTTGTTCTCTGCAGCCTGCTTCTCTGCAGCCTGCTTTTCTTCCTCGAGTTTCTTGTTCTCTGCAGCCTGCTTCTCTCTCTCTTTTTCTTTCTCACTCGCAAAAAGATCGCAAGCTTCCTGTGCCTATAAAATGCAAAAGTGTCTGGGTCTGGAAGATTGCGAGATTTGTCATGCTTGTCTGGGATGACCAAAAAGTTTGTGATCATGCGTGTCCAAGAAGAGAGGACCCATTTGTCTGTCATGCAAAAACGCAGTTGGTCATGCGACAAACGCAGCACGCAGATATATATTTCTCATGCTTGGCTGGGCATTACAATTTACGAAGCATTCACTAGTCCCAAGGCATCATTACAAGTTTCCCGACCCAGACATATTTGCATTTGATAGGGCCCTCGTTCGTTCCTCCTCCCGGACCGCGTGGAACGATTGCTGGAAATATTTCGCTATCATCTGCTAAAGTATCGCACTCGTATAAATGCAAGTCTTGCATTACAAATCTTTTTATTAAGGCAAATCCACAAAACAAAATCCATTTCTCATGCTAAGGAAATTATTTGTATATTGCAATTTATACTAGTACACTTTATACTTTTGCAATGCATATTCGTCAGTTGGCCGTTCAGCTTTTCAGCTTCTATCGCCGGGAAAACCCCAGTGAGTGACGTGCGGCGCAGCTGACACCGGCTGAAGTGCCTGTTTCTCTGCCGCGTGTATTTTTGGGAGGCGGTCCGCCCGCCCTGCAGCTTACTCTTTCTCACCCTAGATGATGTTGCAGTAGTACTACTAAAAGCGCGACCACTCTCGTCCCCTAAGTGTCGGGGCTCTACCGACAGTAATCCAATCTTCACGTCGCTCTGGTTCGGGGCGGCGGAATCCTTTTCAGTGGGTTCCTCAACACCTCGGCTTTGCTTTTGCTCCGCAGCCTCCACGAACATGCTCTCTGGAATGTGCATGGTGTACTCCTTTTGGACGGCTTCTAGGGACGGGCTACGGTAGCACCAGGGAAATCTATCAGAAAAATGATCAGAAGCGGGCGCAGGAGAAGATGAACCGGAAGGAGGACTGCTGGGAACACCAGGAGTTAAGATCCGGACATCTTGGGTCTCGCCCCGACTTGTCGTTTTTGTTGCAGAAAAGGGGAACCAGACTTGGCGTTGTTCTTCATCTTTCTCGCCCAGCGCCTGGACTTCGACGTAACCCTCCTTCGTCAGGGCCAGCAGAACGCCGCCGTTCTTGCGGCACCAGGCCCTCCAGTCCTGGTCTAATCCGCGCAGGGTGTCCGCTATTGTCTCCAGTTGTAGTTCTTGTCTTCCCTGTTGCTGAGGAGTTGCTTGCGCTTGGTCAGTTCCTGATCCTGCCTCTTGTCCTTCTTGTTGCTGAGGAGTTGGAGTTGCTTGCGCTTGGTTCATATTTCCTTCCTGCGCTGAACTTGTTGTTGTTGGTTTCGGAGACTGAAAGTGCGACAGCAGTGCTTCAACTCTTTCATCGTACTCCGACAGCAGTGCTTCAACTCCGAGATCAACCGCCACCACGTCATCGTCAGCTGATGTGGGAGGACTTCCATAATTGTATACCACCTGCACAATGACGTCACGTAGCACTCGTGAAACGTCCACGAGTATGAACTGCAAAAGTATCGTAATATTCGTATAAATGCATTACAAATTTCCTCAGCATGAGCAGATAATGCGGATTTGCATTTGATTTTAACAAAAAGATTTGTATATGCATGATTGCAATACGAATACGATACTTTTGCACAGGATAACGAGCAGAAGCTCAGCGAGTTGCAGCTTCTTGACCTGCGCCGAGTCCTGTCGGTCCAGCCGTTGCGCACTAAAGTTTTCGTACCACACCTCTTTTTCCATGTTCAAGGAGCACCCCGTTTCCCCGTATTTGTTCATGTTCTCCCTTTCTTTGTCGAGTGGCTTGCGTTCGTACACACTCGCCAACACAACCGCCTCGGTGTGCGCCACAAGCAGGTCATCCAGCCGCAGTTGGTGCTCCAGTCGGGGCGTAGCGTGTTCCTGCATGTGTTCCCGCAGCCGCGCCTCTTTTTCTTGCGGCGTCCGGAGCGATCCATACAGCGCCCAGGGAAACGAGTTCGTGGAGTCTAGACGGCGGCGGCCGCCCATAAACACTGGCTGCAAATAAGGGCCCAAATCATGATCACTCGGCCTGTTTAAAAATACTTTTTTTTTCTTCCCAAACAGAAGGGGGAGCCAACTTCCTCTATCTGACCCCTCCCTCTGCTTCTCCAGCATCGCGGCCGTCGTCGCTGCCGCCTGTTGCGGCACGGTCTTCCCGTGGTTGACCAGGAGACAAGGGCACATGGCGTGTGCACGAAAGGTATGGAGGCGTCAGAATCGAAATTGACAAAATCGAAAAACTTGTGATGCATAAAATGTAGAGCACGCATGGCCTGTGTTGGGGAGCAAGCAAATGCGACCGATAATTGCAAGCCTGTTTAGGGAAAGAAGACGCGCTTCCAGAATAGCACGACAGGAGCAGTCTTCTTTGCCCAAACAGCATGACAGGCTGGATTTTGGCGCTTCCGAAATTTGTCATGCGCCACTTGGAAACTGAGGCTCCAACTGGCATCGATTTTGTGCATCACAAGTTATTTCGATTTGGTCCATTTCGATTCTGACACTCCCATAAAAGGACACGGCAAAATACTTCTTCTGCTTTGTGGTGGTGTCCGTGTTGCCGCCGGCGGGAGTCGTGGACGAAGCTGGCGAGGACGCCGCTCCTTCCTCGCCCCCTACAACTTCTTGAGCTGTTGTTCCCGTTCCTGTTGCTGTTGCTCCTCCCGCCCCGCCACTTTCCACACCAGCAGAGGGCGCGTCAAGCAGCTGCAGCGTAAACTGCCCCGACCCCAGGTCCCCGAACTCCTCGAATGCGTAGAGGAGGAGGCGACCCACGAGATGGCTCTGGACATCCAGTTCCATCACGAGGCGGCCCGGCAGAGGGTCCGCGTCGTCTCGGGTTGGGTCGCCGACCTCGAGGAACATCTGGTAGTTTGTGTGGTAGAGCTCCGTCTTTTCTCCTACCAAACTATGCATTGCAAATACTATATCAATCTGGGTCTCGAAAGTCAGAGTGTCATGCTCATGCTCGGCTAGCATGACAAGAACTCTCTGAGAGTTCTTGTCATGCACGTTACCGCAACTAGTACAACCCTGCGTTCCTGTCATAGAGAAGAAGCGCAGAGGACGGTATTCAACTACATGCAGAATAGACAACACCGCAGTAGCATGATCTCCAAAACTTGTCATGCTTGGCAGCCAATGGATCCGTCTTCGTTTTTCTGCAACCAGCATCACAAGTTTTCACTTTCGGACCCGGAAGAGATCACATTTTTAGCAATGCTTACAAATGCGAGTTCAGCCACGGGCTCACCTCTTTGTCCACGACGTCCCAACGCTCGCCCTTGTGCAGCGCCGCGCCCTCTCTGACATTCTCCTGAAGCAGCTTGAAAATGTGGAAAAAAAGACTTTTCGCTTTACGAAAACCAGACAAACCCAACAAGTCCGAGACGCTATCCATACTGCACACCGGCCCGCCGCTGTCCCGCCCCCGCAGAATTTCTATGTCGTCGTGGAGATCGCGCTTCTTTTGCGCGGCCTCGTGCTCGTGCCGGCACGGCTGCACGTGGTCCCCGTGCGGCAGCTGAATCCGCTGCACGCGCAAACTCATCGGAAAAAACTGGAACCATTGGGCCAGATCGGGGGTAGGAACGGGCAACTGCAGGGGGAAGACCTGGTGCTTGTTTTCTGCCGCTCCTCTTGTCGTGGTTGATGTCCCCTCACGAAGATCATCTGCTTTGTCCTCCGCCTGTTCTTCGTGACCGTCTTGGAGAATTTCAATTTGAGCAGGCTCCAAGTAAGTCTTGTAAACCCACTTGATGTTCGCATATATGTTTTTCGTATCAACTGCAAAAGTTGTATCGTAGTACTCGTATATTAAATACATTCTAAATTTTAATTTCCTCTTCCTCAGCATGAGAAATAAAACTTGTATAATGCTGATCTACCTCAACAACAAGATTCGTAACGCATGATTGCAATATGAGTACGATACTTTTGCACAGGATATTGCGCCACTCCGATCGTGAGGATGTGGACCAGGTTGAAGTATGCGAAGAAAAAAGTGCTACAGTTACACGGCATTGTGTTGCGAAACAAGCAAGACAGGCAACCTTTGTCATGCAGGAAATGCTTGCCAGCCTGATTTCATTTTTCGTGTTTTCCCTTATACTAGTCTGCGCGTCACAGGTTTTCTTGTTTCCCATGTCGAGCAACTTTGTGACGCTGCAGAAACTCCAACATCAAATGTGTACTAACTGTAGAAACTTTTATTTATCTTGGATATGAAGAAAGCCTTGCCCAGCTCCATCACTCCGCTGGTGAAAGCCTTCTGTTTTGGTTGGCACTCCTTGCTCTCCGGGTTCTGTTGGCATTTCAGTTTGTGTTCCGCGTCCGGATCATCTACGTCGGGCGTGAAAAAATCAATCCATTCCTGTGAGCCTACTTTTTCCGGCGGTTCGCTCCAATAACTGTTCGTTTTCTTGTCTCGTTCTTTCGTCCAATACAGCTTTGGCCCCGCGTGCACCACGAGCGCCTTTCCATCTGCGTCCTTCTTTCTTTCGGAGGTGTAGCCGTCGTGCTTGCCAACATCTTCCGTTGCCGCCCATTCTTGCTCAGGAGGATTCTCGACGTTCTTGGGTGTACTTCCGTTTCTGTCACTGTCGTGTGTCTTAGCCTTCCGGTGAAAGTACTGCAACGGATTATGACGTTTCACAGTAGCGCTGACAGTCTTCAACGCGTTGCGAGCCGTGTCGTCGACGCTCTTTGCGAACCGTGTGATCCCCGACAGTCCAACCTCCGGAGAAGATGTAGATGTTGCCATCTTCTTCTTTTCATCAGGATCGAATGTTATTGATCCATCTAGTGAAGCGAGCTTGGCCTTGGCTGCAGCACCGTCTAGTATGTGTATGTTTGCGACAGACGGCGGATCAATCGACTGTTGACCATGTGCATTATATTCGTTTATTTTTGTTCCCGTTTCCGTCGCTTGTGCCGTCCGCTGGAGAAGTCCGCTGCTTCGTGCTTCTTCCTCGGTGGAGATGATCGAGGACTTATTTTCCAGGACGTCGGCAACGATATTTTCCAGTGCGTCGTCGACAACGTCCTCGACACTAGCTCTACCTGTACGGCCGGCACTGCTGTCCCCTGAGCTCTTACGAGAACCTCCAGGGGGACTTCTACTGCCAGAGCGAGGTGAACCTCCTCCCACTTCTACTAGTGCAGCAGGGCGGGTGATCGATGAAGCTGCTGGTGGAGATGGCGGCGTCGCTGACGTTGGCATGAGAAAGTCGTAATCTGCGTAGGTGCTGGTGGTGGTCCCCAGCGTCGTGGAAGGAGGTAGTTCGATCTGCATCTGCTCCTCCTCCTGCTCCGGTGTTCCTTCAGCATGAGAAGATGGCGCGGCCTGCTGGAGGTGCGACCAGCTGTAGGAGTTGCTGGCACCACCACCACCAGCTACTTCTGCAGCTTCGTCTGTGCGCTGCAAAAATTTCGTCGGATAAGACCGCGTGTTTCTACTTCTTGAAGGTAACGTTTTTTCTTGTCGTGTACTTTTCACTGTAGTCGCACGGCCGATGATGTTCTTGTTCTCCTCATTGGAAGATGAAGTAGATGCTTCTTTTTCAACATCTCCGTTTTGAAGATGAAAAGTATCAGAAGCGGGCGAAATCATGTCTAGAAATGCTGTTCCGCCGAGGTAGTACTGCTGGGCCGTTGTGGCGAGCCAAGAAAAAGGGGATGGGGAGAAGTTGTGCTGAGCATCTTCTACACCTCGACCTCCTGCTCCGAGGTGGTCGTGGTCCTCTTCAGAAGGGTCGTGTCGCATCACGACCTGCACCTTGTCCGCTTGACGGTCACCTGCATCAACGACCTGTTCCACCTCCGCTTGAGAACTTCGTTGAGGAGGATCTACTTCCTGGTCCTCGCGCCCACGGCGTGAGCTGCTCCTTTGCTCGTGCTGCTGTTGCTGTTGCAGCTCCAGAAAGTCTCCGTCAAGCTGCCCTGGGGCGGGGGCAAGCACACGATCCACTGCGGGAGGAGGTGGAGGAGGAGGAATGACAGTTGCTGCATCAGGATCCTCGTCGTTCACGCCCGCATTTATTTCAACAGCATTTTTGCCTTCTGCGGCGAGCTCGCCGTCCGCACTGACCGAGATCATACTTCTTCGAGCTGCACCTACAGCATCATCTGTCTGATGATGATGTTCTTTGACATGTAAGAGTGCGCCGCCGGCGGGTAGAAGTTCCTCGTCAGTAGAACGCTGTAGTGCGGGATCTGGATGATCATCTACTTCAAGCAGCCGAGGCGCCGTCGGACGAAACCTAATAGTACCGCGGTCCTGCTGGTTCTTGGTCCCTCGGTTCGGATCACGATCACCATCTACTTCGCGCTCTGTTCGTCGTTGCTTGTTACCCGTAGTTCCCGCCTCCCGTGCGGTGAGACTGAGAGCGCTTGTTTCAGGTTTTCGTGGAGCTGGAGCACCACCTGCAGCTGCTCCGTCGCCGCCCTCTAGTACTTCCAGTTGTTCGAATATCAAAGAAAAAAACTGTGTAAGTGTAAGTCTGTGATGCAGAAAATGCAAAACAGTTACGCGTGTCATGCTGCAAAGGCATGATAGACTCGTTTCCTACGTGTTTTCCCGTCGTATCTGCGCATGACAACTTTTTCCTGTCACGGCAGACAAATTTGTGATGCTGTTTTCTCAAAAGACCTACACTAACACAATTTTCTTCTTGGATATCGAAGGCCTCTTGCTCTTCGGGCCGCGGCGTGCTGGGCACATAAACCTCCTCCTCCTCGTCTCGTCCCAAAAATTTCCGCTTGTTGCGCCGCTTGATGGTTCTACTTCGCAATGTTCTTGCCGGAGGAAGAGTAGAAGGATCATGACCACCAGTAGCTACTGCTACACCTGCGGTTCTTGTGCTGCCATCTTGATCTTGATGTTCACCAGGATTGATGTCCTTTTCCTGATGAGGAGGTGATGTCGGAACAACAGCATGCTGTTTTGTCCTCTCGAGCTGCACCAGGAGTTGAAGATGCGCGTCTGCAGGAGCAGCTTCTGGTGTGGACGACGAGAGCTCGTCCTCCAGAGAATCTATTTCATCTTGTCGACCGGAATGAAGATAAACGCGATCGTGATCATCATTTTCAACAAGATCATCTTCTGTATGTGCCTCGCTGCTGGTTGAAGCTGCACTACTAGCTGCAGTCCTAGCTTCGTTGTCCTCCGCCTGCTCGCCGACCACCTCCACCAGGCTCGGAGGTGCGGTAGAAGTTGCAGCAGTCGTTGTCGGCCCCGCCCGACCACGGCGGGGGTCCTCGTGATAATTTTGGCTTTCTTCATCGCGGGGACTGTTGCTCCTTCCTCCATCTTCAACAGCACTAAGATCATCATCCGGTGCTAACACAACGACCGCATCTTCTCCGGATAGCGAAGTTTTTGTCGTCCTCGTCTTGGTCCTCGCGAGTGCTACTTGATGCACAAGTAAAATTTGCTGGAGCGAGTGCGAGAGCACAGAAACCCTCAGTGTGGTCAACATGATCCTTGCGAAACTACGGTGGAGCGCCGACGGGATGAAGCAGGAAAAAAAATGAGCTTATTTGCGCTGCTGGAGGTGGCACGGCGCAGAAAAGAAGCTCCTGGTGCTCGTCGTGGTTGTTTTTTAATTACAATTCACTGGTGGTTTGTCTCGGGTTACAGTTCACGGGTCGTGCAGCGGCCTGGTAGTGCAACTTGGGGCCGCAGTCATTTTCATCGTCGTCTTTCTGCCCTTGGCTTCGTAGCTGCTGATCATGTGCGGTCGTACTTATTTTTCGCATTTCTTATCTTTCAAGCTGCAGCATGAAACCTTCTTGTCTGTTGATAATCTCTTTCGAGTTTCGCCGAGCGGCGGCCCGGGGTGGTGATTTTCCAGAAGCACTTTCAAGATTGGGTCGTTCTTGAGTCATACTGGTTTTGAAGATTTCATGCTAATTTTGTTCAAGATTGGGTTAAACTTAAATCGTGTAGAAGAGGGAGTCGCAAAATTAAAGGTAAAGTGGGTCGTCGAGGCCGTTGCGCTGGGGTCTTCAATTCCGGAGGTAAAACACAACCTGCAGCTTTTACATCAAGAAATTAGTAAAATCTTATCCCCGAGAAAGTAGCCATCATCATCAAATAAATCATTCTTGCATAGTGTCGTGTTCACTTAGTTTATTTTGTGGGTCGCGTGTCAATTCAGTGACATAAACCTCAAGATTGCACGAAGAAGAATGTGGACGAGGAGGTGGGACGATTTTCACGTAAACCGACGAGTAACTCTTATGAGTTGGAACGTTGGACGGTACGACAGAGGCAGAGGACTGTTCCAAAATCTGAGTAAACGACAAACAGAAGTGCACTTGTAGTTTGTTCTATACGGCAAAGCATTCTTTCTCGATGTTGACGACGCACGAGGACGCGGCGTTTACTAGACCGACTTTACGCTGAAGGAATAAACGTAAACCGAAAGCGAAATACTATTAGAAATACGATTGACGATGTTAATGAAGAAGAGCTCCAGCTCTTTCTGCTTTCTGCTTGCCTAGGTAGTAGTAGTTAGAAAGTAGCAAGAAGACCGAGAAACCGGACGAAGCTGCCAGGACGAGCAAGTTTAACAATTTGGGTTCATGAACAAGATGGTGGACCACCATGATCTTCATGAACATGAAGATGGTGGCACCACTGGTGCCGAGGACGTCTGAACAGAAACTACTACCTTTCAATTCTACTTTTCGACGGAGTCGACTACGACCAGGGGCGATCATCCAGCCCTGATACTTTTATTCAGAACAGACGGACTGAAGAAAGCACCGGACCAAGAATTGGCCTTGCAGTTTCTTATTTTCTTCGTCGTTTATACTGTTGCTCGACGGAGCTGAGTCTCATTGTACAACGTAAATTCATTCTTGAAACCAGAGACTCTAGTACCTTGGCAATCATACAACAAAAAGTAGCATTCTAGTAATCTTCGTCGTGCTGTCACGACGTTGCTGTAGTTCAAGAACAAAAACATAAAATCAAAAAACCGGTATATAAATGTCAAAATTGCAAGCCACATTGACCAGCGCTTGCTTGCACAACTTGCGCCGGGTAGTTGACAACGCACGAAAGAGCAAGAACTATGATCAATAAATATGGAGTCGAGGTATTCTTGGCTCAACAGCTGCTCCACATCACATTCTCTAGAATTACGAAAATTTGGAACTACTAGTAGCCCCGCGGCGATAATTTTCCCCTGCGGCGAAAGCAGTCGGGTAGGGGTGGTTTCGACTTTGTACACAACTGCTCCTCCTTCATCTTCTGTTTGGTAGTTGCACCTGCTCCAGCCCCTAGTATGCCCGACGGCATAATTACAGTACCTCTATTCACCCGGTCCTGCGGTGCAAAATTGAGGCCGAAAACCGCACGCTCGCTGTAGCCGAAGCAGGTAGTTTGTCGGGCTTGCAAGGCGACGACAGAGGCCTAGAAGTGACAGGTAGTCGTGATGTACGTCGATATCATGCGGTATTTTTTTGAGGAATAAAGAACCGAGTAGTTTGCATCTTCGGCTTAATAAGCTTATCGGGTGAAAACTGACAATGAGTATCTTCTAATTCTATGTACACAGATATACCTCTTTTCGCCGGTTTGCCCAGGCAAGTGCCAACGCCCGGTTTCGCTCCGCTTGTCGTTCGATGGCCGAAGCAGAGAAGGACGAGCTGCTACTGTGCGACTGGCTCACAATCCCACCGCCCGAGGCCGCTCCTGCGGCAGTGCCAGGAGCTGCACCACTCGCCGCCACCGTGGTCTCTTTCCGACCGTCAAGCGACGCAGAAGAAGAAGATTTTTTTCTGTCTACGACGAACGGTGCGGCGGCAGCGGCCGCGACTCGATGGGACAGCTTGGCCGGCGAGAGGCGCTGCAGCATGCGGCTCAACATTTCCTGCGCTGATGTTCTTGATGTGCATTTACTGCACGACGAAGTTGATGTCGAGGTGCTCCTGCCTGCTACAAGAAATGCCGGACTTTTGCAAGCAGACACGGGAATCATTACCGGAATGGTGCTGTCGAGCACCGCAGTTGTACTTAATGCCGATGCAGACGCACGACGATCCGCAGCTGCTGTGCCACTCAAGAAGTTCTTGATGTTGCTGGCGTCGTTATACTTTCTCCGACTCCGCGTTCTTGTGCCTGAAAAAGAAGTTTTTGTAGTGCAACTCCTGGCCTGCAAACGAGAAGCTGAACCTCCCGGACGGGCCGTTACGAGAGTGGAAGCCGCAGCGTCTGGAGTTTTCTCGTTTGTTCTATCGGCAAAATAAAGGTCAGCCTTCTCATTCGTTCCCTCTGCAGCTCGATCGAAGCTGGAGGCCATTTCCATTTCCCTTGTCTGCTGGAGGTCATTTCTCCCGGTCGGTCGGTACCTGAGATCATTTTTAGATCAGACGTTGTTACTTTTGGTTTGGACACATTAGGATCTAGCTTCTGCTAAATGGATCGACTAACGGATCGACTGCGTTTCGTTGATGTCTGTGTGTTTAGCGTGTTAGTGTTTTGGTTTACTCGCGCCCACCTTGATCGATGGCGGAACTAAGAGCTTAGCGGCAGGAGGATCGCCGAGATTGGAGCCGTGGGCCCCCTTGATCTCGCGGGAGTATGGCAGATTGCTTTAGGACCAGTTTGCGTGAGATCCGTGTGATCTCAGTGGAACTTCAGCTCTGCTCTTTCTAGAGGAGCGCGAACACATTCCGCCGCGGTGCCGGCTCGTGTCGCCTCATGTCGATTCGCTCAGTGGAGCTGCCCTTCCTGCGTTGTCTTACAGCTTTCGCAGTTCACATTCTAGAAGGGCTCATCATTTTCTCTTTTTTCGATCCGCCGGCATGGTGCCAGCTTCCTGCACGCTGGGGCGTTTTACGCGCGAGGCGTCTGGTAGGCGCGAGCTTGCCCCGCCACTGCCGAGAGCGGCCGTGGCTTCTTCTTGTGTGCTCATCGTGAGCATGTCCAATGCCCGGTCAGGCAGGTCCAGAATGTTCTGGCCTGTGAGTGCTGGAGAGCGCTCCTTCCAGGTGCGGTGCCTTGCAGCCTGGGCCGTTGTGTCTCTGACCGGGTCAAAGGGTAGCTTTGTGCGGTCGGGAAAAATCTCGTGCGGGTCGATGGGTTTGGCCTGCTTTGCCAGGAAATCCGGGTCCTCTGGGTGGTTTTTCTTGTGCGCGAGCTCATCGGGGCGCCAAAAGTTGAGCGCGGCCTGCAGGTAGTCCTTGCGGCTGAAGGCGTCGGCCGGGTTCCTGGCGGTATTGGTGTACCGGTACCAGCATCGGGCCCCGAGTTCCTGGTTTTTCACGGCGACGCGGTTCGCTACGTTGCACACCCTTTTTTGCCGGGAGCTAAGCTTCACGAGCGTGAAGAGCTCCACCACGTTGTCAACGGACACCATGGAAAGCGCGCCGCGCATATCCTCGCTGTAGAGGTGCTGGGCTAGTCGCACCGTCAGCGTTTCCAGCGTCATTATGTCGCACGTGGCAAGTTCGTGCCCCTCCGGCAGGGGGTATGTAAAGGCCTTCACTTTCCCGTCGGCGGTGACTAGTATGCCCCCAAGTCGTGGCGGCTCCTTGGGCCCCCGGTCCGCGAGGCACGGGGCGTCCGGGGTTTTGGCGCCGCTAGCGTCGAGATACAGGAAGTTAACCCTCTGCACTCGGTAGATGTGCTCGTAGGGAGGCAGATGCTCAATCAGCGCCCTCAGAGTGGTTACGGCCGTGGCGAGTGCCTTGCGCAGACTGCGACACGTGATGTTGGCCTGGAAGTAGTCATCCGAGGCCCATGGGTACAGATGGCGGACGAATTCCGCCCCCGCTCGATTTGTGTTGCATATCACGTACTGGGCCATGCCAAGGAGTTTTTGGATGTCCTTTTGCTGGATTCTACCTCCCTTTTCGCTGTGGGCCGCCAGTATCTTGTCGCAGTCGCGCTGCGCGGAGGCTACTTTGTCGCGCGGCACTACGGAGAAGAGTCGGGCGGGGCGGCCCGCCCGGTCCCGTATCCACACATACCGTATTCCTAGTGCTCGCACGAAGTCGCGCGTTCCTCCGGGGATGTTGTCGCAGGATGCTTGGTTGCCCGCTGCTTTTTTGCTTAACGGGATGCCTAGGGCTTCGACGACAGCAAGGTAGAGGTCCCGACAGAGGTTGAACGTCTCACGGTCGGTGCCGTAGAGCATAGCGTCATCGATATACAGACTCGACACGCCACCCCCCGCCTGGTGTATGGTCCGTATGGCTTCCGATACGCGGCAGGCTGTTTTTGTTTTTTAGGTCAGGTTTGATTTGTGAGGCGTGGCTTACGTGTTTTCGCGAATTGCGCATGCCCGTACTTTTATCCCGCCCGGGGAGGCGGTTGCGTGCCTGTGGGTCATGTATGTACCTCCTGGCACCGAGTGGGTGTTTCCCATGTTGAGGACGTAGCTTTCGACGCACTGCCATGACCGCTGGTCGGGGTCGAAGAATGCGATGCCGTTGAGCTTGGGGTCGAGGCATCCGAAAGCGTAGTAGTACTTTTCGAAGTCCTTCGTGCCCATTTCTGGGATGACCCCTCCCCCTTGGTGGTCTGCTAGCTGTGCGTTCCATTGCTTCACCTCTTCGAGGATGTGGGCCCGCTCGAGCTGGCGCGGTTCCGAGCCGGGCTGGCTTGGGAGTGTGGTACTCTTTTCCGCAGCTACCTGTGCCAGAGTCTCGGCCGTGTCCCGCCAGGTTTCCTTTGCTGACACGCTGCTAGGGAGGGCGTGGGCGTCCTCTCTCCCTATTGGCCTCATGAAGGCTTCTAGGATCTCGTTGATCGTGCGCGTGCCTTTGATTTGCACTTTCTCGACTAGCCGACTGCACACGTTCTGCGCTCTAGAGTCGATGATCTGGCGGATCTTCTCTAGCTCGACTTTTGGGAAGGCTGGGCTGGGCCGCGCTTTGAGGTTTCTTCTTTCTATCGGCTTGTAAAGTCCTTTCTCCACCATTTCCCTGCAGCCCTGTAGGAGCTTCCGGAGTACCTCCGGCGCGAAGGAGGACGTGAGCGGAAGGTCGTCCTGGAGTTTGAGGAGTGTGGCCTCAGCATCGAGGAAGTCTTGCACGTCTTGGGGGTCGATGGCCGTGACTGTGGGGTCGAGGTCCCAGACTCCCCCCGTCGTGTCTGCGTTGCCAATCGTGCGCACCCCTCGGAGTAAGTGGCTTGGGAGGGTTATGTCCTTGTGGTGTGTCCATTCTATGAGCCGCTGAAGGGCGACCAGGTTGCGCTTGTTGGCGCCCCATCCTAGTGCCTGTTGTATGTGTGGCTCTGCTGTGCTGTGTCGCTCGGCGTTTTCTTTTCTTGTGTCTTTTCCGATTTTCCGGATTTTGGCTATGGCCGTTTTGACTCGGGCTACCCAGGCTGTCCGATTTGCCTTCATCTGCTTTATGTTCGCGACCGTGTCGCTCGGGACTGTGACGCTACTCGCCATTCGAGCCGCTCGCACGTAGTCTCTTGTGACGTGTAGCATCTCCCAGGCCGTGCGCTGCATGGATGCCTGTTGGCTTGTGTCTGGCGCCGCCGCTTCGGCGGCGGTGAGGTCTTCCAGTTTTTTCGGGCTCATGGGTGTGGCATCTAAGGGCGAAACAAAACTGCGGGCAGTGCGGTGGGCACGTCCGGTTCACAAAAGAGCTATTACAAATTTGGATCACTGTATTTATTTTGATACGATATTTATTTTGAAACAGCATTTTTGTGAATACACTACAGGAGAAAGCAAGCATACCTTGCCGCCCAGGAGACGGGTTGGCCTCTCCCGGTCGGTCGGTACCTGAGATCATTTTTAGATCAGACGTTGTTACTTTTGGTTTGGACACATTAGGATCTAGCTTCTGCTAAATGGATCGACTAACGGATCGACTGCGTTTCGTTGATGTCTGTGTGTTTAGCGTGTTAGTGTTTTGGTTTACTCGCGCCCACCTTGATCGATGGCGGAACTAAGAGCTTAGCGGCAGGAGGATCGCCGAGATTGGAGCCGTGGGCCCCCTTGATCTCGCGGGAGTATGGCAGATTGCTTTAGGACCAGTTTGCGTGAGATCCGTGTGATCTCAGTGGAACTTCAGCTCTGCTCTTTCTAGAGGAGCGCGAACACATTCCGCCGCGGTGCCGGCTCGTGTCGCCTCATGACGATTCGCTCAGTGGAGCTGCCCTTCCTGCGTTGTCTTACAGCTTTCGCAGTTCACATTCTAGAAGGGCTCATCATTTTCTCTTTTTTCGATCCGCCGGCATGGTGCCAGC